GAATTCAAGTTTTCCTTGTCACAGTCTTAAGCCTTATTTCAAACAAAGAAATATATAACCATTATTGCTTGAATTTGAAAGTGAGGATTGTGTGAGTTAAGAAGACACCAAAAGGTATTGGAGGTAAGAGTAATTGACAACACACCATATATGTATATATGTTGCTAATTGCTATGCACATTAATATGTAGAGATTTAGAAACATGAATAAATAAACAAATCTTTTACTGTTTGCACAAATCTGTAAAATAAAAGTATATCTCTCATATCTGTAATGTTTCTTTATATATTCTCTCATTTTCGTTTTTTCTTGATTCTTATTTAGCATGGAGGCCAATCACCACTAATGCAATAATTCTTTGACCTCAATATTTTTCTAAACAAGTAAAATTTAGTAGGACCAATCCGCGCACCAGCTTATTTATTCCTATCCCTTTCCATGCGGTTCCTTTCGGAAAAAACTATCATTAATTCTATCGAATTATTATTATTTAGGTCGGTTGTCATATAAATTTGTATGCAATATAAAGTTGTTTACATATTTTACATATGAGATATGTATAAATTAAATACCTTATCCTACATCTTTGATCACCAATAAATTCATCCACCTAACTTAGTTGATATAACACATTTGTGTGGGAAGTCTGGGCTTGGGCCAAAAGGCCCAAGCAGTTTACCTGGTAGTCCAGTAACAGGCGATCTGGCTACCCCCTGGCATTAGTCGGAAAGCATTCCAAACTCGGGACAGACAGTGTGGTGGCCCTTCGGGGAGTAGTCCACTCTGAAGCACTTCGGTGCGTTTCTACCGGGGCTGACCGGATCAGCCGATAGGGTTTATCAAAAAAAAAACTTAGTTGATATACTTCACGCGACATCAATTTTGTTTTGCTACATTATCATATATTAAGATGCAAAAAGATTTAAATTCTTTAGATTCATATCTGTCAATTTTGATCTGGAAAAAAAATTGACTCTTGCTATTATTTCTATTTTTGGATATCTATGGAGTTATGAACTTGTGGTCCGCATATCTCTCCGGGACAAAGACTATGAAAGATATTATAACAAATGAGTTTTCTTCTAAATATGTAGTGTTGTTAAATTTGGATAAAAAAACTTGCTAAATATTATGTAATTGATTTAGCGCGTAATAACAAAATATATACCCATATAATAAGTTAGACTCAGAGAATCGATTGATGTAAAGATTTTGAGAAATGTACAAGATTTTATGAGTGGGTGGTGGAAAGGCCTGAGAAAGGCCAAGTCTTTTGACATTATAACATTAAATGTCTTTATGTTGAGCACTAGAGCCACTTGCTATAGGAATCTTTCGCTGATGGTCGAATATTTATATCACCAAATATCTAATTGTATATTATACTGGACCCGAGACGTTGTATAGTTTATAGGTCTCTCTCTCTTATAAATACTTCCTCTCACTCCACTCTCTAAACACATCACAAACACAAACACACACACACACACACACACATTGATGTACATGCGTGCCCAACGGAGTAGAATTGCATGAAGTGGAGTAGAGTATAATGCAGCCAAGGATGACTTGCCGGAACGTTGTTAATCATACGTATAAATTATGTGATGAACATATTTCTGGCAAGTTGTCCTTCGGCTACATTTTGCTCTCTTCTTCTCATGCAAACTCTCCTTGGTATATTCTACTTTTTCATTCTTTCTAATCCACGATCTGAATCGGAATAACAAGACGACGTTGGTATTGATCAGAACTCCATCGACGGTATGATAGTAAATTTATACATAGATATCCATATATACATGAATACATATTTTTTTATTAAAACGTTTATTTTATTTTATTCAAGCTTAACAAATCTAAACTAAAGGGGGTTTCTCTATTTAAAAGACGATATGTATTTTCGAAAAAACCTTTTAAAAGTACATGTACACTATATATGTGATGATGATCAACATATTGATATTAGAGCTATTATAATGAATTCAAGCGGCGGAGCGGATTTGACCTTCAAAATTTTTAAAAATGCAACGGGTTTTGCGGAATTAAAATCTGTGGACAAATGGGTTGGCGGATATTATCTGCATAAATCATTTCACATGTTTAAGATTATTTTCTAAACAAAGGTCACAATATAGGAAATTATATGATTGTCCTGCGCAGGTTTTGGGAGCCAAAAACAAAAAAAAAACCTTAGGTTTACAATAGGATGATTCTAACTTCTCGTTGGCTTGCATTAACCTAATCTAAACAAAAGTTCCGAAAGGTTACAACACACGGACCAAAGCGGATGGGAACATACGAAGCCAACACACTGTCGTTTTTGGCATTCTCATTCATGAACCACTCGTAGGTTGTTTTCAATTAGTGATCAACTCAGATGTAATTTTACGTAAAAATCAAGGAATAGTATATAAAAGCGATGAAGAAAAGAGAAAAGAGGCCGAAATTTGTGGAATATGTTGAAATGTGCGTTGTCGGTTTTTAGAATCTAAGGTACTGTAAGCCGACAAAAGTAGAGATGTAATAAAGATTTTGGTCAGGCAATCATAAATCCAAATCTTAGTGCATTTTAACGATGACACTCATCATCACTTGCCTCTTTTAATATGTCTCAGCTTTTAGTTACGTGCTTTATCATCATGTTCCTATCTCGTATCGTCTCTCTTTTGTTTTGTTTATTTAACAATCTGCGGAGCTTATAAAGAACCGGATAGGACAAGAACAAAACGTCACCGTTTATATTGGAAAGCAAAACCACTCACTCTGAATTTTGATATGTTTTTATGAATGATATATATCACAAGCCGCATCTTTTCATTCACACTACTTGTTTAATTTATAAGCTAATTAAAAATTTTAAGTTAGATTGCTAATTTTTAGGGTTTCACAAGTTTATTTATGTTAGGTTCTCAATTCTCGCATTAAAGTCAACATAGACATATAATATATACAACAAGTCATAAACTAATTAGTTTTGAGTTGAAAACTGATTAAACTTAAGATGTATCTAATTCTAGTTTGTAATGGACTAAAGTAAAATGACACAATGAAGATTTATTGCTATAGAATGATATTCGGTTTGAGATGAGTTGATAATATCATCATCTCGAAGACGACATGTTTGGAAAATATAAAGCTTCAAAAATAATATATAATGTGTGCACATGCCAATCTCATTCATCGCCAACTGATTTTGAGTTGGTAATTTTTGAAACTTAACAATTTAGAAGAAAAAAATCATTGCCAATTTTGTGAATTTCTCTGCTAGTACATGCGAATAAAACGATTGAAGATGAAACGTCTAAAATATTTTTTCCTCCACCACATTTTATATATCTTTAATAATTTGTTTTGAATAGGATCTACAAGTAATTTGAGACGGTTATAGAGTAGTGTCTGATATACTTTCGCCTCTACCAGTGAATTTAATATGGGTCCGTTCAATCACAAGGACTCATCCATATTGTAATACCACACTTCAGTAATTTCAGTCGATAATTTTTTGTTTTGTTTGTAGCGTGTGAATCATATATGTTTCCATATATGATACGTACCCAATTTTGACCTATACTTATGATTACATAAAATCTTTATGCGTCAAACTTTATGTATATACGTATGATTTGCACTTTTCCTGTGGGGCAAATGACAGTAGAGCAAGTTGATCGAGACCAGGCCTACGATACAAAGATTAGCACCAAAAATCAATAGTACTGTTGTATATGTCGGGTCTATCATGGTCTTATGTAAAATATATATCCATTTAATACTCATGAAGTAGTGGTCGATATAAAATCCAAAGATTCTGAATAGGAAAGTGGAAAATTGAGGAAAGTTATGAGAACGAGAAGGTGGCGGTCTTACCTAAAATAGGTGGCGGTCTTACCTAAAATGGATAAGGCCATTAAAAGATTCGAGCCTACGAAAACGAAGGATATATATGAATGTATAATAAGTGTGTTATATATAACAATTTATTTAATATAAGAAAAACTGTGATTGATTGATTTCTCTCTTGCGTTACCTTTTTTTTTGATTTGCAAGTTGACTACTTGACACACACTTATGAGACATATGTGAATATAATTGTAGGTCGGCATACATATATATCAACGCACAAATATTTTAGTAGAAAAATGTCAAAAGAAAAATATATATGGATTTTTAAATATGGTTGGAAAAAACATCAACTCGCGTTTGTACGTGTTAAATCATAATTTTGTTGTTGATTTTTTAGTTGCTCTTGATTTTTTTTTTTTTTTTGCTAAATATGTAAATATCATATAAAATGATGAAAAGGTTTTACAAAGAGTAAGCACCTACAGTAGAGCAACCAAGGCAAAAAAATTAAAACAAGGTTACAATAAGACAACCAAAAAATTAAAACAAGGTTACAATAAAACAAGGTTGCTCTTGATTTTGTTTCTTCTATAAAGGATATGAATTAGGGATTATTGTTGATTTTGCCTTTTTCATCAAAATCTTTTGAAAATGCTATTTTGACTAAAATCTTACGGATTTGCCTTTTTTAACACTTAAAAATAAACGTATTTACTATCTTTTTTGCAAATTTACGTTTCAATTTATTAGATTTTTTATTTACATTATACAAAAAAATTATCCAAACATTTTCTACTATCTATTACTGACACTCTGACAGTGAACAGTGACAACTGTTAGTGATTTTTATTGAACATAACTGTTACTTGTAAATATAAACCTGAAACAAGTCAAAAAAAAATATGAAACTAAGGCCCGTCTTAAGCCTAAGCCTATTAAGGATAGTTAATGGGCCATAGCCCATAACAAGCAAGAACCCTAATTTTCGCCATCTTCGTCAAACTTGCCCAGAAACCAATAGCTTACCTCAGCATCTGATGCCATTTTACAATCTGGATCAGCTATGCAAATTCTCTCCATTACTCGAGAATTTCTAATCAATCGAAACTGTGTGTACCATTCACGCGTATATACACTCTCAATTCAATCGCTAGCTTCGTGTCTCCTTTGTGATAAAGTTGATGTTTTTGCATAGCTTATCTGATTAAATCCATGGCTGTAAGTTTTTTTGAAGAACTCTGTGTTTTTGTGTACTGGGTTATACAAAAGTTTTGATTTTTACTGCTTTAAATTCGAATGCAGCTTTTCATTTCTTGTGGGGAAGTTTCATCTTCTCAATTCACTCTACTTCGTTTTCTCAACCAAAGCCTTGATTTTGTTAGTGACAATGTCTCTAGAATCTTAGCTCCTATATTCACCAACCTAAGGTACATTGAATTGATTCATTTTATTGGTTTCGATGACCATCTAATCTGTTTGCTGATGATTCTCTGCTTTATGGTTTTGTTAGGGACTTTGAAATGCGTCTTTCTTGTATCGAACGTCCTCTATCCAGCTCTAGCAATCATTCTCATTTGTGCACTGAGAAATGGTTTTCTGATCAAAAAGATTATGATCAAAAGAGAGACCCGGAAGCTATTTTCAATGTGCTTGATTATATCTTGAAAAGCAGCTTGGATCGTCTGGCTTCGTTGAGGTTTGTGTTTTCACCAGTAACTTCAGGTAGTTATATTTGCAAACTGCTTCTGATAAAAGTCCACAACTTGCTTCTTTTGTAGGGAGAGTGTATGTCAGACAAAGAATTTTGATTACGATGATTCTTTATCTATTCATTCGTCTATAATGAGGGATCTTTGTTTACAAGGGAAGTTGGACGCTGCTCTCTGGCTACGGGAAAAAATGATACGTAGTGGGTTTATTCCAGGTTTGATCACGCACAATCATCTTTTAAATGGGTTGTGTAAATTAGGTTATATCGAGAAGGCGGATGGGCTTGTTAGAGAGATGAGGGAGATGGGTCCTTCTCCCAACTGTGTCTCTTATAACACCTTAATCAAGGGTCTGTGCAGTGTTAACAATGTAGATAAAGCTCTGTATCTCTTCAGTACTCTGAATAAATATGGTATTAAGCCAAATAGAGTGACTTGCAACATTATTGTGCATGCGCTTTGCCAGAAAGGTGTTATAGGAAACAACAACACAAAGCTTCTTGAAGAGATTTTAGATAGTAGCCAGGTGAACGCACCCTTGGATATAGTCACCTGTACCATTCTGATGGATAGTTGTTTTAAGAATGGAAATGTTGTTCAAGCCCTTGAGGTTTGGAAGGAGATGTCACAGAAAAATGTCCCTACTGATTCGGTTGTGTACAATGTCATTATTCGTGGGTTGTGTTCGAGTGGAAACATGGTTGCTGCTTATGGGTTCATGTGTGACATGGTAAAGAGAGGAGTAAATCCTGATGTTTTCACTTACAACACTCTCATAAGCGCATTGTGCAAAGCGGGAAAGTTTGATGAGGCATGTGATCTCCATGGTACCATGCAAAATGTTGGTGTTGCTCCTGATCAGATCTCATACAAAGTTATTATTCAAGGTCTATGTATACAGGGAGATGTGGACAGGGCGAACGAGTTCCTTCTAAGCATGCTAAAAAGGTCTCTGCTTCCAGAGGTTCTGCTGTGGAATGTGGTTATTGATGGTTATGGAAGATATGGCGATACTAGCAGTGCTTTATCTGTTCTAAATCTAATGCTTTCTTACGGTGTTAAACCAAATGTTTACACAAACAATGCTTTGATTCATGGGTATGTGAAAGGAGGAAGATTAATTGATGCATGGTGGGTCAAAAATGAAATGCGATCTACCAAAATCCACCCAGATACAACCACCTATAATCTGCTAGTAGGTGCTGCTTGTACATTGGGTCACTTGCGGTTGGCATTTCAGTTGTATGATGAAATGCTGAAAAGGGGATGTCAACCTGATATCATTACTTATACTGAGCTGGTTAGAGGGCTCTGTTGGAAGGGTCGATTGAAGGAGGCCGAAAGCCTTTTGTCGAGAATGCAAGTATCTGGTATAACAATGGATCATGTTCCATTTTTGATACTAGTAAAGAAATATACCAGATTGCAGCGACCAGATGAGGCGTATTTAGTTTACAAAAAGTGGTTAGTGACGAGGAACGGAGGAGTTTCTTGTCCAAGTATCCTAAATCACAAGCCTACCTGAGAGCTGTAATGCGCTGGTTTAATCAAGAAACAGAGCAAGTCTATCCATCCCGAAATGCCTATTGCCTCTCCGGTAGTTGTTTTATGGACACCTGAGCTAAGTTCAGTTTCTTTTGAAAACATAGAAAACCCGATATGAGGAACGACAGAACCTGTTTCCAGATATCAATCTTGGTGAAGTCGCAAGAAATCACTTTGGTACATGCGAGGAAACCTCAACTGGTATTCCTCTTTCCTTTTCTTGGGAATCAATCGATATGTTTTCTTCACATCTCTCACAAACTATTGTTACATTCAGGTATTGCTGGATGGTTTGGCTGTTTGGGGCGTGCACAGGGCTGTTTCTTCAAAAACTCCCAATATACTTTCTTGTCTGAAACATGAAAAGCCTTTCATTACAATTTGCAAGAAAAATGTGAATATGTTCCTTTACGCATGATTCTTGAGCCAACTATCATCTTGGCTTATTGCATTATAACTTTATATTGGTAGTGTAGTTAACAATCTTGCTATGAAGATTGGATCATGTACAACAAGATGGTAACATAACTCTCCATCATGATGTCTTCATAGAACAATAGTTTCTAAATTTCTGTAAACACTATCCCAAAATTTTAAGATTAAGAAAGAAGCTTTTGTTACAACAATAAGATTACTACCAAGAGAAAGACTGAATTCAAGAAACATATGCAATGCGTCTAAAAACTGCTCTGAAAGTCTGTCCTCCATTTCTGGCAACTTTCTGTCCTTCCTCAGTAGCATTGCATAGAAGCTCGACGACAGGATCTGAATCAAGCTCTTCTTGTGTAAGAGATTCAAACATCGGATGTTTCTCTAAGCAAGCCTTCATCCACTCTCCAAGCTCCTCCACATCAGTGATTGTGTAAATAATCCCACCAGCTCTAAGAACATAAGCATACTCATCTAACAAATGAGTACTAATCACTCTCCTCCTGTGATTCTTCTCCTTAAAATGTGGATCAGGGAAGAGGAAAAACATCTTCGAAAGCTGTCCTTTCTCAAAATAATTCGGAATGTACTTCATCGAGTTTGTCCTAACAACAGAGATGTTCTCGTACTGTCCCTCCGAGCTCGTTCTCCTTAAAGCTAAGATCCGTTCCTTAACGTATTCCGTCACTTTATCTCTCAACTCCATACCGATCATTAGTGTATCAGGGAACAGCGTCGCAAGGGAAATTAGCAGGCCACCAAAACCGCATCCGATATCCGCAAACTCAACCTTCTTGGAGGTTTTGTTGTCAGCTTCAACGAATTTGGGGAAGTGAAGCGAAAAATCAACATGAGCAGGAGAAATCGGGATCGGGAAGTGAGAATCGCTAAGTGGGTTACTATGAGCTCTTGCTCTGTAGAATCTCTTCCGAGGAAGCCCCGTTGATTTGCTGAAGGTGGTTGCTTTCGTCTCACTATCCATTATCACTTAATAAGACAAAGATAGTAATAACAGTGAGTGACAATAACCAAAACATAACCTCACGAATAACAAATGCATATTTTGTTCATCCGAGATCTAATCTAGCTTAAACATTGTAAAAAGAAACAAACTTTGAATAAACTGAGACCTAATCTGAAAAACCCAGTACATGCCTAAACCCTAAACCGTAATTCTCTAAAGTCTCTGTTCACTGAGAAGCTTGAGAGCAGGCATGGCTAAGAGAAATCCACGAGCATCGATTCACAGATAATTATACACTACGAGTACAAAAATTAGACTAAGTCATAAGTGGATTACCTGATTCAATCTGACCTTGGAATCAAAAATCTCGAGCTTTTCGTTCTTCGCAACAAACCCTCCGAAAGAAGCAGAGAGAAGAAGAAGATCTTACCTAAGAAGAACTAGGGTTCCCACAACTCTTAGTGGGCTTCGTTCCAGCCCATTGACTAAAGAACCCCAAGTCTTTGGCAATTGTCCAAAGTACCCCTCATGTACACAGTTCATCTAGGCTCCGATCGGTAAAATTGCATAATTGCATAATGACATAAGTTGCATAACGAAATTTTCTGTTGATTGGATATATTTATGAATGCGGATATATATACCCACTTATTTACGTAATGAGATTTTACTTGTAATTTTTTTGACGAAAACGCAAGATTTGCGTTTTTGCGATTTATATGTTATGTAGATTTTCTTGTTTTGTAACTATTCTGCATAATCGTATGAGAAAACGTCATTCCACCATTATGCGCGTTACCAATTAGTATTTGGAATAATACCCCAAATCTTTTGGTAATCAACTGACTCTCAATCTTTTGGTAATTTACATAAATCTTAAAACTTAAAGAGTATGAATTTGTTTAATTAATTTAAGCTGAGAGAATCATTGATTTCTCATAATAGTGCACAAGAATCACAAAAATAAGAATATAAAATACAACAGACTCGTGTAAAGAATTGTTTCTTAAGGACCATTGTGTCTAGAACGTCTCCCACTGTGACTCCCTCTGAAACCACCACCAGACTTGGACCCTCCAGCCATTTGACCATTACCATGCTTCAATGGTACAACTGTGTCCATATACATCAATCTCCCTGGCCAATGTCTCTTCTCTTTCGGAAGTCGGCGTAGCTGCTGCAGCCAAAACGCAACGTATTCTCCTTCTGGATCATAGTTTTGTGCCTGAACAAACCAAACACACACATTTTCAGTCTCTTCTTCATTACTATAATGACTTGATGTTAGAATTTACTCACTTGCTTGGGAATGCTGAAGTATCGGTCTTCTCGGGGATCATTTCCAACTCCTTCAATGGAACAAAACCAGATTTCAATCATAAAGTTTCCACAAGTCACAAACTGTGTCATGAGTAGTGCTTACCTGCTCCATAGGTCCAGTTTCCATAATTAGAACATGGATCATAGTCTAATAGACATGTCTCAAACCATTCTGCACCCATGCGCCAATCCAACCCCATGTCCCGGACAAGAAACGAACAAACTATCTGTCGGCCTCTATTTGACATGAAACCTGTAGTGTATAACTCCTTCATGTTTGCATCTATAAGAGGATACCTAATGCCATTCATGAGCAGTCACTAAAGGTTATAACTTTAAAGCCTCAAACATAACTTTGATTGTTAGCTTTCAAGAAAAAAAAATCATAACATCAGATAATTACCCTGTCTTGCCATCTCTCCAAGACTCAAATAGTTTCTGATCTTGACTCCACTTCCCTTGCACGTTTCTCGGGCCACCTACGAAGAAAATGCGCTATTTAAAAAGTTCACTGTAACCAAATTGCATTGAGCTTTAATTCGAAAGCATCGGTACCTAGATGAAAGAGGGAATTTCCACACTTAATTGAAAGAAACCTAAAGTAGTCCCTCCATATTAATTCAAATAACACCCTGTAAACATACATATTAAACCAGTAAGGACTAAGAGTGAAGAGAATGCAACAGAGATTCAATACTCAGAAATAAAGACATACCAGTATGTTGAATTGTTTGCTACTCTTTCTTTTTCATATCTTTGGACCTGAAATATTTTACAGTTGCCACATAAGTGAGAAACTGCTATATGTTTTAGGATAACGAATTAAGGTTTTGAAAGATCTGACCTCTTCATATATAAAACGAGGAGAGATACACCCAAAGGCAAGCCATGGTGAGAATTTCGTCGAATAATCAGGTCCCAACATTCCGTTTCTCGTATCTTTATATACTTTCAATAGATCCTACATGAAAAAAGAGACAAACAACATTATGTACACACAGAAGCAACGCCAACAATAGACACAAGAAGAGCTCATTATCCTCTTGCCTTCTTCCAAAAGTACTCAAATACTCTGCCTACTCCTGCACTTTCGCCACCCACAAATCGCATTCCTCGGGTCACCTGTATCAACATACATACAAAGACTTAAAACTAATAAAGAATGATTTTACTTACTTTTGTCTCATCTAAAGAGCTTCTCAGAGAGACTCACCTCTTGTGGCTCAATTCCAAGTTTCTCAAGAGTTGGAACATCTCCCCAATCATCAACAGAAGGTATTGGCCCTAGAGAAAGTGGAATGCGAGTTGAGCTTCTGATACTACATTTGGCTTCCACCGACTGCAAGCGAGTTTTCAACCAGAAACAAACATTGATACCAAACACAAAAAACATAAATCTAGTTTGGTGTACTACAAATTCTTGTACTAAATATCATAAACCTATCAGCATTTCCTATACTCCCTCCTAATGTATCAAGAAACACACCAACCGAAGAATCATACCTTACGAAACTGAGTGTAAACATCAGGCAAATCAAAAACATCAAAAGGAAGATCATCTTTGTGATACATAGTACTTCCCCAAATGAGCTCAAGCTTAGTACCATTTCCAACTCTTTTCAAACCTTGATTCACAAGTCTTTCAACAACTAGCTCTTCACTACACGTTTCTTTATGAGCAAACACCTGAAAAACATAATCACGTTTTTCACATTCCCTCACAAAACTCTGATAAGTTTCTTCAACACAAACAATTTAGAAAGACCTAACTGTATGAGCTCCAAAATCTTTAGCAAGAGAAGGAAGAATCTCTTCAGGTTTACCACTTCGAATAAGAAGATTCAATCCTCTTTTCATAAGATTCTTTCTCAAATCAACCAAACATTCCAAAAGAAAACCACCTCTTAAAGCTGAAAACATTGCCATAAAACATTGAGTGATCAAGAACACAAAAAAGGATTGATTTTTAAGATTGGAAACATTACCTCCAGTTTTAGGGAAGTTAAAGAAATGAGTAGTGTGAAAGAGACGAGGATCGAGACAGTAAACAGGCAAAAGGGTATCAGAGGAAGACCAAGCTTTGTACAATGCGTCGTTATCAAGAACTCTAAGATCGTTTCTAAACCAAAGAATCGCGGTTCCTTTTCTGTTTCTTTTCACGGAAGAAGAAGGTAATGCGTATCTCTCAAATGTTTTTATGGCGATAGAGTCAATCTCTTCCTCGTTGAGAGCTGGAACACGGTGGATATGGTCGTTCATTGTTGCGGCGGAGCAGAGGAACAGAGAAGAAGAAGAAAAGTGTTTGTTAGAGAGGTGATGATGGTGAAGAGTAAATCTGCGGAGTGGGTTTGACAGAGGAGAAGAGAGCGAGAGAGAGGAAGCCGCCATTTACGGATGATGCTTCGTGTAACGTCATCTAGTTTTGGTGTTTGTGTTTTGACGAGTTGTGAGGGTGACACGTGGTGTTGTGGTGGGAAGTGTGACGTGGCGGATGTCTAGCCTTTTGTCTGGATCTGGGGTCGAAAAACAATTAGGTGGTGTTATTCATGGATTTTAATAGAATTGAAATTCAATACTAATCCAGTTTTATTCAACTAGTGATTCTAAATATAACTTTAAAATCTGGTGTTATTGGATCTTATACTTCATTAGATTTTAATAGTTTGGTGTTATTCAACTAAGATTTAAAATACTTTATTAAAATTTAGTGTTATTCAAAACTAATAAAAGACTTGTAAAATCTTTGTATATTAAATTATTTGAAGTGAAACCTCTTTGAAGTTTAAAGGGAAAATTGGATATAAAGGATATCTACTTAAAAATTTGTCCATATATCCCTTTTTTTTGTAGATTGGTCAAATAGGTTTTTTAAAAATCAAAACCCAACTTTACCCTCATTTTCTCTCAAAATTAATTCAAAAAATAAAACTTCATAATTGAGTTTACAAAATTAAAATAGAAATAGAAAAATCACAAAACCTCCAAATGAATAAAAGTCTTTCATAAGACCTAATAAAAGACTCCCCGATTTGCGTGAATCGTCACAATGTAAATCACTGTCTTCAAACCTTTGTGACACACGACTCCTTACTTTTCTCTATCAGTACTTGTCTTCCTTATTTTTAGACTTTCCAGTTTATGTTAGTATTTGGTTATTTTAAATTTTTCGGTTGTGTTAGTAAATTTCTTGGTTCATGTATAATTTGATCCGGTACATACTTAAGATCATACGTAGAAGTGAATCCATAACTTCAAAACAAAACCATGATCATAACTAGTAGTGAATCCATAAATCAAAACACAAAAACACGAACATAAGTATAAGCGAATCTAATACTCAAAACAGCAAAACGAAAATTATTAGAATAAAATCAGAAACTCAAAACTGAACCCCAAAACTCAAAACTCAAATCAGAAAATCAGAAACTCAAATCATATATTAGATCGTAATCTAAACAATAAATATTCATTTAAATCGTAATCTAAAAAAAATATTTTGTTTCTTTTTCTGAATATTTACTTTCTATATTTAGAGTATTCTAAAAATTACAGAAATCGAAATCTGCAATACCGTAGAATTTACATTCTAAACGAAGATTACAATTTCTAACGATGGCAGAAGATGTAGAAATTATTAGAACGTCTATTCTAAAATATTTAGAACATAGAGAAAAACGTAGAATGCATGTTCTAAATATTTTAGATATATGATTTTCGGATTTCTAAAATTCTCAGAACAGAAATCTAATCTGAAATATGTAGAACATGTACAAAAATGCAGAATACACATTCTGAGTTTCGCAGAACTCTAGAAAACGTGTTCTACCAAAATTAGATGAAACTTTATTGATCAGTTTTGGGAGTTGTCTGAGCTGAAACTGAAGGAGGGTATGAATTAAAAAACTTTTAGCAATTTGGGAATCGAACTTGTGATCTGAAACTTTTTTGGATGCTCCTCTTTTTTGTGCCGTCGAGATGGCCGAGAACGCCAAAACAGGTACAGTGGGTTTCAAACAGTTCTCGCCAGGCTTGGTAATTAAGTTTGTTCATATCGAGAGTGATAGGAACATAGGCTTTGATTTGAAAGATGCTGAAGGGTTTTTCGTTTGGGGTGGAAGAAGGATTAGTCATAGTGAAGAAGATGAGAAAGGAGGTATGAAGAAGAAGAAGAGGAAGAAGATTGAAAGAGAGCGGAGATAGGATCGATCGCTTATAGCTTGGTGGCTAGGTTAAGCGTCTGATACCATGTAAGATTATGAAAACTCCGTAGAGAAATATATTCATGAGACAATCGTTTATATAGATTACAATAGTCTTGGCCTCCAAGTATCTATACATATTTGACATTATCGATATATAGAAATATTCTATATTTCTATAGTCGAGGATATTATCTAACAACTGCTAGTCTTTCATCTTTATGGAGAAACTGGGACTTGGACGAGAGATCTAACGAGCAAGACCAGCTCCATTTGTTGCATGTTGATGAAGAAGAATTAGGCAATTGGGCTCTATCTAGGTTATGGGCTTCTATTTCTTGGAACATCGTTGGTTCGAGTTGGGTTTTTTCTTGGGTAGAAACTAATCTTTATATTGTGGATGTTCTTATGGTGGCTACTCTTGCTTCTTTAACTTTGAACTAGGCTTGGACATTCGGGTTTTCAGATTAGTTTGGATCGGTTTTCTCGGGTGTCAGGTAATTCGAGTAAGGGAGATTTAAGATCTACATCGAATTGAAAATTAACAACAATTTGTAGCTAAGTGTAATTTGTTGAAGAGACATAGTTGAATTTGTTTTGCAAAACCATGTAACACAACAAATCGGCAATATAAATGGTCTCAACCCCCATATCTCAATGTACATGATCCGATTTTATTCATAATAAAAATTAAACTAAAAAAACGATTATACGTCTTGACGTCTTGTCCCAAATCTAACTACTACTAAACCACATGTACCTAGACACAATTACATGCTTAATCCAAAACATTTAAGAATTTTATAATTAACAAGGAGCATCTATATATATGCGCTCCTTTGTACATGTTCCCGCACCTCTAAATTTACAATTAGTTACACTTCCATTAAATCTTGTGAGTGTATTACAATTAATTTTATAAATGTATAAACAAATGTTACTAAAATTCTACGCATCGAACAAAAAGTCAAAAACTAATCTAGTGCAACATAAAAAATGCATTCGACCGATGACGCATAAGGTTCTAATACAATGATCGATTGGCTATGCGAGAATCATATTTCTATGTTAGGGAAGTAATTGCTGTTAAGTGGCTTAATATCGAATCATTAATTATTATTTCTAAGAATCAAATTAAGAGATAGAGATTCGCCTACCATTATTGTATGCATGATTCTCTTACATGTGTGATTCGTCACGATATATGTAGCTCCGCCTCCACCATTAGGGTCATTGTCCATATTTTTTTTATTACTGATTTGTCGTTTAAAAGGTGAGCTAGAGTGAAGGATGACAATGTTTAATCAGAAAAAGTGTGCTTATAATTGTTCGAATCGGAAAGGATGCTAAAGTAAGATTAATCGTCGGATTTAAGATAGAGAAAAAAAAATGCACGCATAATGAGATGACATTATGGAATAATACATTAATTAAACAATGAATAGTGTTAAAAAAAACAATGAATTGTTCGATTGTATTATCTAGATAACTCTAGTTTACTTGGTTGAGAATAAAAAACATTGGGGAGGAGTTAAGTTTTTGTTGATACATTCGAAATTTCGATTGAACCAATCTTAATTAAATATAAGATATATGCGAAAGATAGCCATGGATCAGGCGAAAGATTTTCCATCACAAAAACAAAAAGTTGGTCGACAAAAAGAAAGTTTGTTTAATTGTTTCATAGAAGGAAATAATTAATGTGATATATATATATATATATATATATATATATATATATATATATATATATGCATTTTCCATTGTGTTTATTTAGTTTTAAATTTGAAATCATGACATATGCGAAAATATAGTCTTTTTTTTAGTAGGATCACAAGATTATATCAAACTATATGAAGAGATTGATACAAAAATATATGAGAGGAAGCTCAAAGTGATAAAACCTAAAAAAAGAAGGAGGAAATAGCTAGAAAGGTGAAATGGTATATATGAGAAGGATTTTCTGTCTTATTGGGGTAGTAATATGGAGGATTGTGATCATATAAACTTTATGGTCATTGGGCTTATTTTATGTTATTGTTACTGCTCCTAGTTTCTTTAATCTTCATATTGTGTTTACCACATGCGTGAAATGTTACAACCAAATTGTATAATTTAGTTAATTCTCTATAGAACTAGCTCTTTAGTGATCCTTTTTAATCTATAACTTACACACAAATTTTCGAGTTGGAATCGACATTAGGACAAACCACTCGAGTACAAACCAAATTTCATCAACGTTTTCAATTATTTAAATCTACAAGACATGAGCTAATTTAATTTTCTAATCTTGATCGTACGGATTAGATGAAGCATTTCTTATGTTTTATTAATATTACCGAAGAACAAAAGACAACATTTGGCGCTACCAAAACATAACATATTACTCCATGAAAACATTTGAGGGAAATAAATTATCGAATAATAGAATAAAAAATACCTACCATAAGATTTATTCTAGTGCTTAAAATCTTTAAAGATTCCTAGAAAACAAAATCAGAATTCGAACCAATTCTTGCAAAACGTATAAAATACTAGTATTATTTTAAAGATTGAGGAATATGATATGGCATTCCAAATTATTTTAAATAGTGAAAGTAGATTAACCTATAATATCCAAATTATCCAGGCGAGCGACATAGAAACAACCTTCACCAAGCTACAATATCTAGACTTGACGTGTTATTCTATATTTCTATTTGAAACTAATGAACAAAAATGTTATAGTAATATATTCACCTATATAACGGTTTAGGCCTGGGCAAACGGTTTTTTTCGGTTTTTTCGGTTCGGTTTATTCGGTTTTTCGGGTTATTCGGTTATCAAAAATTCTGCCGAATTGAACCGAATAAAAGTTCGGTTCGGTTCGGTTCGGTTCTCGTTTTTTTCGGTTCGGTTATGGATAATAAAATCAATTCCGAAGTAAACCGAATTTTTTTCTAATTCGGTTAATTCGAACCGAATTACACAAAATCAAGGATATTGGGCTCAGAAAATTATTAAATCCAATAAGAAGCCCAATTTAGCAAAATTTACAAAGCCCAATTTAGCAAAATTTACAAAGCCCAGACCGCCAACCCATTAACAATTAGGGTTTGACGGCGGCGACGGCGGTTTGATGTCTCCGTCTGATGAGCCTTTCTTGAAAATCATCCATGGAACCTCAAGGTTGCTGTTTCGATCTTCATTGAGGAGCCACATGTCCCAAACCCTAGCCATCGTGATAAAAGCAACAAAAAAAATCATTGTTAGTGAAGAGAAATCAAAGATGGTTTTTAATCATTCTAATCTCCATAATAAATAATGAAAAGAGAAAAAGTGAGAACAAATACCGGAATAGATCCGTCCGTTTTGTGATATCTCCGGCGGAACAAATGGAGAATCCGATGAAGTTAAGTGATGAAGGATTCACATGTAAAATCGGATTAGTGATGTTGGGGCCGCAAATAGAAAAGAGGAAAGAAGGTCAAAGAAACTAAAGGGGATAGAGAAGAGGAGAAAAGAAGGTATCACGTTAGATCTAGGGTTTTTTTGGCTTTTATAGGGTGTCTCCTTTAACCGAGAAAACCGATCGGTTAACCGCTGCCGAACCGAACCGAACCGTGAACCGATCTCCAATTATAATTCTGCCGATCGGTTATCGTCTAAGAATAAAGGTGAAACCGAAACCGAAAAATTCGGTTCGGTCGGTTCGGTTTACTTCGGTTCAAACCGTTTGCCCAGGCCTATAACGGTTTGTCCTATGTTTTTCATAAACTAATGCATTTTCATTTTCTATAACCTATTGATGAACTAACTTAGGCAAATAACAAGCATTTTTTCATGAAACATTTGACCAAAAGTCGATTTAATTGTTTTATATATCAAATCAACACCAAATATCTTTGCCCAAGCATATGTGGTCTAGTGGTAGAGGAAGCTTTGGGAAAGGGTAAAACTCCCAAACTTGAGTTCGATTCTCGCTAGAAACAAAAAAACACATTTGTTTGGCAAGTCTGTCAGTTGGACCTTGGCCTAATTGGTTTACCTCATAGTCAGAAATGCAGGCGGCCTGACTATCCCCTGACATTAGTCGGAAGACACTCCAAACTCGGATCAGGCAGTGTGGTGGCCCAATTCTGGATCTCATGGATCTCATGGATCTCATGAATCTCATGGCCCGTTCGACCCGAGTCTGCTCGGAGCTCATGGTGTCCGTTGAATCGTTGAACCGTTGAACCGCAGGAGTAGTCCACTCTGTAACACCTCGGCGTGTTCCTACCGAGACTAACCGGATCAGCCGATAGGGTTTATAAAAAAAAAACTATGATATCAATTATGTGCGGCTTATATTTTCCGACACTCCAACACCACAAGACCATAATTCAAGAATCAACACGTCATTTCACTAATTTTATTCATCTTTTAGTTATTTCACCAAAAAAAATCATTGCTGGTTATATTTTAAAACAAATTCTATTTGTCACGTCAAAAGGATATTTTTTTGTCTTGATGTGGTTAGACACTCTTCTATATAATATCAGTTCCACACACAAGTCTCTTCTCAAAAACACAAAATCATTCCATACTCTCTCTTTCTCTCTCAAGAAAACAAAACTAAGGAGAGGAAGAAGAAGATCATGTCAGGCGTGTGGGTGTTCAAGAACGGAGTGATAAGACTTGTGGAGAACCCTAACCAGTCAGGATCCGACACACACAGCCGAAGGAAAGTGATGGTCTATTTACCGACAGGAGAAGTTGTCTCATCTTACTCGACGCTCGAGCAGATCCTCCAGAGTCTTGGATGGGAGAGGTACTTTGGCGGCGACACAGATCTCCTCCAATTCCACAAACGCTCCTCCATTGATCTCATTTCTCTCCCTAGAGATTTCACCAAATTCAACTCCGTTTACATGTACGATATCGTCGTCAAGAACCCTAGTTACTTCCATGTCCGAGACTCCCATTGATTTTTCTTTTGTGTTTTTTGTGTCTTTTGTGTGTGTTGTTCGGTTGTTTTATTATTTAGAGTTTGTTGGGTTTTGTTTTTAGTTGCATGTGCATGTTTTATTTGTTGTGGACGTTGGAAGTTGTGTTACGTAATTGTGGTTTGATGAAAGTTGAGATTAAGAAGGAACATGAATTAGGGAGAACTCAATCTCAACATTAATTGTTCTCTTCCTTAGCATGATTCGATTCTATGATGACTGGTTGTAATTGAAAGATATTCTCTTGGCTCAGTGGATCCCAAATTGTTTTCTATTTTTAATCTAAAGTCAAATTTAGTGATAGATTTTTTTTCGATCCTAGTGTTACTCACGAATTGGTGACGTAATTTATCTCAAATTCAGAGCATCAAAAGAAAATCATATAAGTATATGAAAGTTGGCTAATCCTCTCCATATGAGTGACACGTCATCACCTAAAGAGTACTACATGTACAACTAGAATTTAAAACTAAAAAAGTAAAGTTAAGTTTTACCTTCCATTAATCAATGTTTTTTACCACTTAGATTTCGGAATATCATTGACCCTTAAACTTCTCCTCTATCATTTTAAAGCATCTTCATAAAGCCATCATTCTCAAAGCTAAAATAGTTTTTAGACTCCACCTCATAGCTAGCTTTATATGCACCAAATAGTTATAGGTAAGTTTATCAAGGATCGGAGTTTATAAGGTTATTATAAACGTTTATATCTACATTTTTTTTACTAACTTTAATATTGTTACGGTACTTAACTGAGCAAAATGCTGAAGGGAAAAAGGAAAACATAAACGGAATAAATGGTAGCACACAACGTCATTCATTTTTGTTCTTACACTTTCTTATCCATACAAAGTTTTTTGTTGTAGTTAAATTGAACAAAGTGAATGATTGTACGTTCTACATGGCAAATAGTAGTTTCATGAATTGGCTCGCACATGAAGCTGAGTTCTTGGGTTTAGAGACAAAGTTAGCAGAGGGTTTAATAGAAACACAACCAATGAACAATATTATTCTTCTTTTTTGTTGTAGATGAGGTTCAAATTATTTTGGTGAAAGAGAAAAGTTGTGATATTGATTTACCTCAATCTAAAGCGCACAAGAAAAAAAAACTAATCCTTCTACGAATCGCAATATTAACAACATGATGATAAGCACGTATCTCACATTGATGAACTTTGTTTATTTCTAATTCTCTTATTTCTCTCACAAATTTAAGAACTCTATTTTCATCTATAATTTGGACTTGTGAATTTTCCGAATTTTATTAATTATTATGATATAAAATTTAGTAGTTTAATTTCATATGAATATAATTTCAAAAATCTACAATCTTTTAGAATGAATGAAAAAGTAAAGATAATACAGTAAAACATTATCGTTAAACATAAGCCGGCGCGTAGCGTGGGAACTCACCTAGTCTATCATAAAAGTTACAAATTAGCTGGTGATTGAGTAACATCATTAATGGGTGGCTGCTGCTCTAAGGCCATCTGCATTGGCAGATCATGGGCCATGTTCTTAGCAATATAAAAATTGAGAAAAAATGAATAGTGGGCTTGGATCAGAGGGGATTGATCTCGCCCGTGATCTGTTTTACGCCTTGTTCTTGGTATACGTGGCACCTTTGTATTGGTTCCGAATTTTGGAAGACAAAAAAATATTTTCATTTTGGGAGAAAATCAGAGTTGTCTCCAAATTAAAATATTTTCAATTTCATTTTGCAAAAATATTTTCATTTTGCAATTTATATGTTATTTTTAAATGTTTTAATAATTGTAATATGTTTTAAAATTTTTAGATTATTATATTATTAAATCTTAAGATCTTACACATGTTCTCCCACTAATCAACTTCTAAACAAAAGATCTAAACACATGATCTAAGGGCATATGCAAGGGTGCATCTTTAAAGATTGATCTTAAGAGAGAAAAAATATTAAAATATTATAAGAGCTTTAATTAAGATCTTTTGTAAAGTAATTGATTATTGGTAGAACATGTTTAGATCATATGAATTAATAATTTAATAATCAAAACATTTTAAAGTATATTAAAATTAAAAAATTAGTTTTAAAATTGAAAACATAAAAAAGTAAACTTATATTAACATTGATTTGAAAATAAAAAGAACAAAAAAACATTAAAGATATAAATGAATAACAAAAAAACAATCAAACATATTAATCAAAGGTTACAAACATTTTATTTAATTAATACAAAGTTACAAATATTTGAAAGATTTTCGTTATCACAAATCGCAACGAATCAGACCATGCCACGTCGCCACAAAATCAGCCCAAAAACAGTTCTAGCCCAAGAACATGAGAAGTGTTCTAAACCCACTTTTTACAAAGTTTATTATCATTAAACTCTAAGATCAGGCCTGCAGATGGCCGTTAAACATGGTCTAATACTCTTTAAATTTGTTGTTGTTCATACTAAAGAGTTCTTAACTTATAGTTGGTCTCTAATATGTTTTCCCATTCCAAAGATTTTAAAAATTAAGTTGAAGACCTATATATAAATATTTTTTATTATATCTATTTGGCTTTTGTGATAGAGCGTCGAAATTTGATGTAAAAAAAAAAAAAGATAGAGCGTCGAAAGGACATTACGTAAAAACTTTCACAACCAATTGGTTGTGGCACTGGCAGTCACCGAGCACCTATACACATCTACCATTAGGGTTTTCTTACACTTTCTGGTACTTTTCTGACCTTTTAGGCTCTCTCTTTTTTTTTTTTTGAGCAAAACCTTTTATGCTCTATATGATAATTTGTTCCTGAAAAGATAACTTTTAGTTTGTGTTTTTAATACTTTCTTTGCAAATTTTAAAATAACCATAATGTTATGTAAACCAACCATGTTTATTATCATTGAGATCTAAGAAAATTAGAAACACTAACATGTACTGATGTAACTGATGTATCATGTATATATAGTATTTTGAAATTTATACGTATCCCACGTGTATACATATATATATATATATATGTTCTGACTGTGCTATATGTATTACAAGAGATTTTTGTCGGAAAACATTGAAGGAGATATATCAACAGTAGGTTCATTAAAACCAAAACAAAAAAACGAACACTGTAGGTTCATTATCATAAAAAAAATAAAAATAATATCAATAGTAGGTCCTTCTTTGTATCCCTACAATGAAAACATCGAAATGCATGTCATGATTATGCCGTATTGGTTTAACCAGCTACACTTCCATATGATTTGTAATCCCATCGTCGAACTTGAACTCATGATTGACAAGGCTTGTCAAAAACATACACATAAACGAAAGCCATATAGACCACACTCACCACAGTGTATCACGTGAACAAGCATTGTCCGCTTCTCGTTAAACCAATGAGAGTTTGAAACGTGTATAAAGAGACATTGCTTTGAGAAACACTTCCCACGCTTTAGGAGCCTTGCTCACGTGGCCTGAGCTTTAATATCATCGACACACACAATAACTCTCTATATATATGTGTGTGTACGAGTGAGCGTCGATGACAAGTATTCGTACGTTGCTGTTATATGAAAAACTTTCAATGGCATTAATTAGTGAGAGTCATGGATTTGTGGTAGCTCTTGATATATTGTCGACGTGTTATGTCGTCGTCCATAAGAAGATAGGGCTAGGCTAGGCTAGTACATAGGTACATAGTTTAGGAGACATCACATCTCACTCTGCCTTCTTACTACTGCATGTACTGATTGACGATTGGACATGTCATTACTAAAACATTATTCAATTAACTTCCATTTTATTTATACGTTTAAAACCTCTATCAATACAACATATGAATGTTTAGCTGTTTAATCTATACCATGAACATTTGTGTAAATGCTTGTATATATATAACCAAAATGAAAATTTCATACACATAATGATATATGATTGTCATACATGACTTCTTTTTTCTTATTCAGTATTACTAATAGAATCCATTTTATTTGATAGAATGTGATTACTTTGATATCTATTTTTCCTTTTTGAAAATGTTGTAGTCTATTGCATTTTAAGAAACCAAAGGATGTGAAAAAAGGCACCCAATGAAGATGGTAGCTAGAGTGTGGGAAATGTAGTATCAAATTTATAGAAGTTTCCTCCCCATTGCACACTGTCTCTATTCAGAGCCTAAGTTTAATACATCAAATCTTTTACAGAGTTACTTACATGTTCCATAAAGAAACGTGCGGGTCGGGCGGATTTGAACTTTAATATTATTCCATTCCGTCCATCCGCACCTAATTTGTCCACCCCGCATATCTCCATTCGGAATATTAATTTGATGTACTATATATTCAGTAATATGAAGTGTGATTCGTATATCTGGTTATAATATATACTTTCATCCATAACCAACCAATTTAGCAGAGACATGCTTACAAACGAGAAGACAAAATTCATACTACGAGTCTTACGAGCAATGAAATATATTTTAGAATTGCTACTTCAGTTTACATGCATGAACTATTTGTTAAGAGAACTGATGAGCTTTAATGTTTTGGACTCAAAATCATGTAGTTTTGGTACAAAAGCTGGTCACTCTTCTGGACGAGAGTTGATACGACCTAAATTTGTTGGATATGATATAAAATGGGAATACTAGAATGATTATGCATGACACATCGCATTAGAGCACTTGCAGCAGCGTTCCTTGACAAAGTCCCACGCTGGGCCCCACTCCAAAACCATGCGACCTTTGCTCCAAAACCATGCGACGTTTCTTTATTTGGGACGTCCCTCTTTCTCGTCCTTCACTATTCGCGGGCCCCACTGATACGTGGCGGCCCGCGATTGGTTACTTGTTTTTTTTTTTTAAATAAGGGACGGGACACTCATTTACCATTGCACATGGTCTTACCCAAATTAGAAATGTTCTTCATGGAGCATTGAGATCTCCGATGATTTCTTGAAGTCACAATAAAATGTTTACTGAATTGTATCTTGAACCTGAATGACCCATCCCGCCCCCATTGGTCCCACTTTCAGTAGCTTAAAGATCCATCAATCCATCATATTTTAAAATTAACATAATATTTTGACAAATGATCATGTTGTGTTGGATAACATTGTTTACTTTTTTCGATATACAGTAGTAGTCAATAATCAGTAATTATAATAAATCTCACGTATTTTATTTATTTATTACTGTTGATATGATTATAGACACAAATAATTAAACATTAAATTAATGAGTGGCAGTTTATGTCAATCTATCACAGATAGCGTTTTTGTCTTCTTTGAACAATTATTCTTTTTTTCGACTTGTAAACCTTTATTGCAAAAAAACATAAATTACAGTGAGATGCTTCTAAAACTGAATGTTTGAAGAAGAGTAGACATTAGATGAGAGAAAAGAGAAGAGAAGATTTAGCTTTTTTAAGGATCCCTTATTTCCTTTAAAATCTTTTCTCCATACAACACATTAGAGAAATAAAAACGTTTGCTTCTCCATATGTATATATATATAGAGAACATGCAATAGTTTTGACCAAAAAAAATAAAAAGAACATGGAGTTAGTATAAACAAGGACTTTTGGGCCTGTGACAAAGTTATTGAATATTGACATATTGTGGTTGCTAGAAACAATAGGCATGTCAAGCGGGCTAATCCGGTCTGGTCCGAAGTCTGCAAAACTCCTATATGTTTGAGTTCGGTCCGGTCCGTAAAAATTTTGACTCTATATTTTAAAGTCCGGTCCTAACAGGGATATAGAACTTTTCTGGACTTTTTTGGGATTTTCTTTTGAGAAAAAAAAATAATCTAGTATTATTTCTTGAAAAAAATTCTATGTATGAAACAAGTCAATCGAAATTTTAATAACCACTAAAACCAAATTATTTTAAAAGAAATTTTTTAAATCAAATAAATAATCCAAAAATATTGTTTAAACTCACTCCAAATAAAATATAAAATCAGAAGTCTTCAAACTAGGTAGTAGAGCCAAAATTTGTTTTAGATTTGTAGTAAGACACAATAAGAAAACTAGATGTAGGGTCTTCAACTCTATTAAAAACAATTCTTATACAAATCTCTCAATTAAACGCAAATGTTAGCAAAACAAAAAGTCAAAATATTTTTTAAGGGATTTTCAGGACGGTCGGAGCCCGACCGGGCTGAACCCTAAAAATAAAAACCCTTTTGCTCGAAGGTCCAATCTTTTTGGATATAGATTTTTAAATTTGAATCCGCTATTTTCTAGGATTAGACCAGATTAGCCCGCGAACTTTGGCCTAATTGACATGTCTATGAACAACGGCTAATTCTTTATTTGCTTTTAACCGGAGCCGTAAGTGGAAGAACATGAAGAGTGCAATAACAGTATATGACTACATATGGAATTAAACCAGATATTGGTTCGTAATTTCAACTGAAATGTTAAATCTTTATACAGGTGAAAGAAAGGAATTTGTCCACCTGATCTTATTTTCTATTTTGTTCCCAATTGTGTGTAAGTAAAAAAGAAACCTTTTATGTACAAATAAAAGAGAGCAATGTGGTGGAAGTAGAGAGACAAACACTTTGGTGATGTCTCTGCAAATCCCATCATCATGAAAATGGCTGTGGCTGAGATTCTGCAGAGGTTTTGCAAATAGGACACCAATTCTTCATCCGAAGCCATTGTTGCGCGCAGCTCACGTGGTATTTATGTTGGCAAGGCAAAGTTCCTACTTCATCTCCATCAACATACTCTTCCTATATATATATAAAAAACCTCTTTTGGTTGAGTTTTTCTAATACCTTATCATTGAAAGTAGTAGACTCAGGGATCAGAGAGAATTTATACCTGGCAAATGCTGCACTTTACATCATCATCTTTGTTTAGGCAAATGTCGCCGGATTCATCATTTGGACGGTAAATACTTGACTTCAGGCTTTTCAGAAGTGCTTCTTCGCTTAGTGCAGTGCTCACTGTACCCATTTTCTCTTCCAATGCTAATAATTCCTGCATGATTTTGACAAATTTAGCTTTCACATCCGAATAAGCTAAACTTTAAGTGTTGCCTTTGACCGTCATCAACCAAAATACACAAAAGGTAAGACTAACCTCATACGACATGTTATCAATGTCAAGCCTCATATCTCTATGCTGATCGTGGAAGCTGCTCATACCATTTAAGAACAGATTGGTCTCTAAAACAGCCAATTGCTGCAAGGGAAATAAAGAAGTGTCACAATAAAACTCTAAAGTCAGTCAAAACCTATGCATTTCAAAGTGTCCAAGATGATAAAATCACCTCGTATGTAAGCTCTTCGTCTTGTTCAATCCTTTCCAGCGCCAACAATACCTGCAACATTGTGAAAAAGTATTTGAGTTGTGTTATCAAGACGCTGGAACACCATCACACACAACAAAGGTTATGATGACTACCTCTGCAACTCCATTCATGTTATACCGTCTGAAACCATCACGGTTCATCAAAGAGCGAGAAAGGCCGGCTTCAGAGGGGCTACCAGGCATCATCAGGCTACGTAACCTGCCATTACTACTGATTGGCCTACTGTAACTATTTAAAGGACTACGCGAAACTTCTGCAGATCTAGAAGGATTGAGATCAGCTCGTGTTGCAGGCCGAGGCGCTTGTAGAGTTGCAACCGCTCCAGCACGTCCTGTTCTACCATAATTACCAGTTGATCTCCTAGTACTACTTGAAACAACACTGTTGTCCCTAACACTTGGTATATTTCTGTTCCTCCTAGATTCAGATATGGTGATGCCATTGCCCTGAGGGGAACTTGAATTCCTTCCCCCAACCACTGATCCTTCAGTCTTATTCCCTCTATTCGAAGAGCTGCTTTCTCCATCAGAGTTTTTCTTTCTAAATATGTTATTTTTTCTTGCCGGATTTGAATTAGATGGAAGAACATCAGAACCAGATTTGCTCCTCAAGTCTTTCAATCCATTCTTGTTCACATTAGCTCTTGCATTTTGCTCACTATTAACCATACAAGCCTCTCCGGTGACCAAATCAGGTCTCTGATGAATGCTTCTGCGGGTTCCTCTACTTGAGCTTCCTGCCTCTGTCACAACTTCTCCAGAGACATTAACCATAGTGCTTTCTTTGGTCTTTCCACGTGGAAGGACACGCTCACTCGTGGGTGAGTCTTCATTAACACTGCTACTCTCTGAAGAATCCATATCCAAAAGAGAAGAGAGTTGTCTCCTACAACCAACTTTGGAAGCCTTTTTTGTACCACCAAATCCACTCATACTTCGAGATGAACTCCCAACGGATTCCTTTCCATTTGAAAAAGATCGAAACGAAGACACAGTAGATTTTGCTTTGTGATCAATCAAAGCTCCCTTAGTAGAACTAATCCTAGAACTACAACCAATTCGACTGCAAATAGGAACAACACTCTTATCATCTTTCTTCTTCATATTCTCATGTAAAACAAGACCACTCGCTTTCCGCTGCATAATCGGTCTAAATGTTCTTTTACCCTTCAATCCATCCATACATAAACACACACCCTTAACACTGCAATAGACAAACAAATTTCAATTTCATTAAAAATTCAGTCTTTAGAAATTTTAGGACATACAAGAACAGAGAAAGCTTACGAGAAGAACATATAAACATCACAAGAGGATTCAAAAAGCAAAATTGAGTGATTGTTAAAGAAACCAAAAGAGAGAAAAAAGGAAAGCTAAAGAGAAGACCAACCATCCAAAAGAAGAATCATTCGATTAACACGGACTTTCCATTAATACGACTTAGTTTCTCCGTGATTCAAGCTTCTCCATGAATTTAAAAACGTACACAAAACTCTTAACCAAAAGATATAAACTTTCATAAACTCTCTCTCTCAATCAAATTCAAGAAATCACAAGAACCACACGAAAAATTCAATCCAAAGGAAGAAACTTTTCATCGAATTTACGTTATTAATCAACGAAATTTTTTTAAAAAAAAATTGAATCCAAGAGCAAAATCAACAAAGAGAAAAAAAAGATTTATGGGTTTTTTTTTTCGTTCTCGTAAATTACCGTAGCGAAACAACGAAACCAGAGGCGGGAGGAGAAAAAATCTGAAATTTCCGGCGATGATAACTTTTCCCGGAGGCTATCTCTTCACCGAAGAAAACGTGGAGTGAGAGAGATGCGATGAAGAAGAAGAAGAGAAGAAATATTCGGAATTAGTAAATTTGTGAGGGGTTTTAATTTAAAATCGGAGAAGAAGAAGAAGAAGAAGAAGAAGAAGAAGAAGAAGAAGAAGAAGAAGAAGAAGAAGAAACAGAAGTCGGAGTGATCTGAGCCGTTGATTTTTGGTTTCGTTGAGTGTAGCCTGAGATTAACGGTTTAGATATATAAGTACGGAAGGACATGAGAGGGTTTTTGAAACGACACCGTTGCTGCTTAGGGTCTCGTAAACACGGAATGATATATGTTTTAATTTATACTAATTTTTCTGTTTCTTTTTGTAACTACGTGAAAAAGTTAAAAAGCGAGTTTAAGGAAACAATATTAATTGATTAATTTTTTTTTTAACGTCTGAATTTATTATTTATTGCAAATTATGAAAACTGTTACATAAACGATTCTACAACGGACAATTCCTTTCGACCCTTACTAGATCCACGACGGACGACACTTCTTTCTTCATGCTCTTGACGGACACCTTCAATGTTCCACGACCTGATGACACTTCTCTCTGCGTAGAATCTTGGCGAACGGCTATAATTGTATATCGCTGGAGATCTCCTGTACACTTGCCTCCATTAATCTGCAAATTTATTAATAAATCGCAGTATCTGGGACTCGAACCCCAGACCTCTTGGTGTAGAAGCATTAATTAACCCTTGATCAACCAATGGGTCAAGGGGGCTTCCACAATTGATTAAATAGATGGGGAAATATTAGATTAGATAATTAATCGTACTGATATTATGAAATTGTTCATAGAAATATTTAAGAAACTCTTAAGTGAGCGATGAATTTTTGTAAAACTTTTTTTTTCTAAACACTGATTAATATGCGTAAAATGATATCGAAACGTACTATTAACATATGCAATCGAGCAATATACATAATAACACAAATTTTAAGAAAATTCTATAAGTTTGAATATAAATTAGGTTCTATTTTAAATTAAGGTTTATATATATATATATGTAATTAAAACAAAATTGTATGAAAATACAAAGAATTAGAAAGATGATAAGAAGAGTGTAATATGGACAAACGTTTTTTGGTCTTTTTGTTATAAAAACGTCATTCTCAACCAAAAAAACTTGACAAATTATTGTTGAGGTAACAATAATCAAATAATATCTATTTGGTCTCAATGTGAAAAGGAGTCCATATTTCATATAGAACTTAAATAATATGTAACTATTAAAGGAAAGACGACGTGAAGAGAAGAAACAAATAAGATCCACATCAATGATAGAAACGAAACCAATTATAATATTAAACTTCAAAAAACAGAATAAAATACTAATTAAAGACATCAAAAGTCATTGCTTCCTTAATTAAAAATAAACTTTATTAAACAAAAAAACTTGTTCATTGGAAATTGAAAGATGAGGAGAGGGTTAAATGGGCCCAAGTCAAAGCAAAATGGGCCTACTATTTTCAGAAAACACAGGAGATTAAGAGAGTGTGAGGACCACGCACCATCACGACCAGACGTGATAGGGTTAACACTTATCTGCAAAAATGTCAACTTGAAGAAACAATTTTTGGAATCATCTTAAAGCTGCTTTTCTACGTCATACGTCTTTTTCTATCTGTATGTGTTGCATTTACATACATTTATGAAATTATAGTATTATTCTTGTCTATTGTTCTCTCGTAGTCTCGTACCTAACATCGAGAGAAGCATGCAAGCAAGCAATACATAATCATACAAAATTAATATATAAAAATGTTGGTAGGGTTAACAAAAAAAACATGGTTTCGCTACAAACAATATAGTTTGATTTTGTAAAGATACGTTACGAACAATTCCATGGGGTCATATGCCACTCTTTTGATAATAATTTAATATAATACAACTGCATGTGAAGAGATGTTTCCCACGAACTCTATCTATCGAGTTATATAGTCATATTCATATGTTACTTTGAATGCACTTTTAACTGTTTTTTATTTATTAGAATTATAAAAGAGATTTTTTCTTTAAGAGTAATGAACCATACATATATAGTTAGTACTTAGTTATATATTACTTTGGTAAATATTTGTAAAATATTTATTGCTAAAGAACTGCTATTTCAATACAAAGGAGAATCAATAATAACAAAAACACATTCCTCTGTATCATTTTAATTGATGCTTACAGTTTATACACATAAATTAAGAAATCACATGATTTTCATTTAAAACACCTCTTTTACATAAAAACATCATTAAGTAAAATGAATTCAACTAATTAGAAAATATGGTCTACAATATAATTGGTAAAAAAATAAAAAAATAATAATAATAATTGGTTAAAAAGTTAAGAAAAATCACTTAAAATGAAACAACAAAATTCTTTAAAACATCACTTAAAGTGATACAGATGGTGTATAAGAACTATAATCCAAACCTAAATCCCTAACATTTTTTTAAGCGATCACAATCTGAATCTAAAAGTCGCATTAATAGCTCTTGATCCAAAAAATGCTTTTATCTATATCAACAAACTCACAGCTCCCAACAACTAGTAAACATGGCGTGTACAAGTTTGTGCGTTCCTGATGAAACGGATCAAACACTTACGGATCTACAAACCATTTTATGCAACCTAAATCCAAATCATGCTATGTGAAAGCATAACCTAAAATTCGGCAATCTTTACTTCTTCTTTTTTTCTTTTGTTGATAAAATGCATTCTTCACTTCTCGCACCATTTCCATGAAAGAAAGAATGTTATGATTGGTGATTGCACGAGATTGATGCGTACGAGTACTATAATGTACTGTCTATGACAATTGACATAGTACTTTACCCATCAGAGTAGGAAAATAAAGTCTAACACATCACTACAACTCAAATGGTTTTTAGTTGAGTCAGGTTTTTAACTTTATCTCCGAAATTTAGACTCTTAGAGCATGTATATGGGTGATACCCATATAGTATCATTAGGAATTTTTTAGTATTATTTATAATGTTTGTTTATTGTTTGAGATTTTTTATGATACTCCTACTAAATATGTTTGCATTGGTGAGACCGGTTTAAATATCATAAAAAAAAAAAAAATTGCAAAATCAAAAATTAATATATTAAAACATAAGATTACAAAAGGTAATATTACAATAAAAAAAAGTAGAATATACTTAAGCAAAATAAAACATAAAATTCAAAAAAATTGCACCATGAAGACATTCAGTCTCATCTTCACTTTCCTGCAAATATCAAGTGTTCACTTTCAGTTTCAACACAAAGAACTCTATATTGCTTTGTTTGAATAAAAAAAGATGATATACTAAAGATTTGAAATCCAAAAGAAGCTTATGGAATCAATAACTTTATTTGCCATAGTACGTATGCAAACCTGATACCAGAGTCAATTCAATTTTATACCCCCTTTCATTGTTTATTGTCATATTGTGAGTAATCTGGTGCTCATTGGGTGGTCTTAACACTACAAGAATCTCATGATCCAGACATGTACTACGGAAAGAGTGCAAAAAGCACTGAGATTAAATTATGGACTTACCTCCTCAGGAACAGCACCATGTTCAATGACCACCTTTGTATTCTCTGAAGTCCCAGAAGCAATGTTTGTCAATGCCCAAGCAGCATCAAACTGAACCCACACACAAAGTATTTGAAGTATCAGCTGTAGCTTGTGGAAAAGCATCACATCTCCTTCTTTAACTATGTACTCTTTACCCTCTGATCTCAGCTGCAAAACAAACAAAAATTCAAGCAAACTCCGAGTAAGAAGAGATTCGTAAGATATTTTATTACAAGGCAGCTCAATTTAGGGACATCAGGAAGAAACTCACAAGTCATTTTTCTCTTGCTGCTGCTATAGACCCAGCAGTGACAAAATCTTCATACGCAACCTGAACAAAAAAAAAACAAATGAGATGATGTCCGGATTCTTATGAAAGGGAAAACACAAGAGAGTTGAAGCTTTCAATTTCCAATTTTCATGAATGTTCAGAATAGGGAGTATAATTGTACAAGAGATTCATTAAGAGAAAAAAATGCTTACAGTCTCACCTCTAATAAAACCTTTCTCAAAGTCAGAATGAATGACACCAGCAGCTTGTGGTGCAGTCATGCTTGTATCCACAGAAATTTCCACCAAATTACTTTCATATTCTCAAGAACCAGTAGGGTTCTCAAGCTGTAAACTTCTTTCATCTGACCAAACACCACCAACCATAGAAGGCAAACTCTCCAACTTGCCAAAACCAAAATCAAAAATCAAAATCGATCTAATTAGCTCCAAATCAAAGAACAAAACACAAACCCTACACTTGTGAAATCAAATTTCCAGAAACCCTAATCACAAACCAAGAGAAGGAAACGAAATCTACACAAACCCTATACCTAGATTTACACAGAAGGAAACGAAATAAGAAAAAAACTTATCTTCAACACAGATCTCTTCAACCGACATCTCTTCTTCGCCGACGGAGATCATCCTCGTACCGGCCGGAGCTGAGAAGAAATCGGCAAATCGCCGTGAGAGAGGAGAGAAAAATCGAGAGATACAGAGCAAAATGTTTTTTTTTTTTTTTTTCTCTGCTCTCAGCAAATGAATATTCCGCGACCAATCACAACCCGACACGTCACATGATACCCAGTATCATGAGTTTCACTGGGCTGATACGAATCAGACCCATAAAACATGTTTGGTCCATTTAAAAATAATAAATGGGCTTATGATACTCTTAAAAGTTCTCCCATGTACATGGTCTTAGCCTTTATTTTCAATTTGGCCCATTACCTCATTGTACTAAAAGATATTAAAAGATGACACATCACTACAACTTAAATATTAATATTTTAGTTAAAGGAATTCGGACCAAAAGAAGAAGAAAATGCACAAACAAGGGAAGGTGGTACGTGGCAACAGCAAGCCAAACACATTTGGTCCCTTTCGTGTCTAAATACAGACGAACCAGGCCTGGGCATTCGGGTACCCATTCGGGTTCGGTTCTTTTTTTTCGGGTATCGGGTCTATTCGGGTAGGGGGTCAAGACCCATTCGGGTATTCTAAAAATTTGGGTTCGGTTCGGGTATTTTAATAAAAAAGCAAAATACCCGAAAATAACCAAAAATACCCGAAATATTTTCAGGTTCGGGTCGGGTTCGGGTTTTTAACTCATATATACCCAAATCTAACCGAAATACCCGATTTCTCGAAAATACATTGGTTACTCTTTACCCAAATATAACCAAAAATATCTAAAATACCTAATATATTCGGATTTATGATTGTAATTTTAGGTATTTCGGGTATTATAAATATAAATATAACTAATATTTTTAGGTGTATATTTGTATTCGGGTACATTCGGGTACATTCGGGTATTGAATTCGGTTCGGGTTCGGTTCGGGTTTTTTTCGGGTAGGAGGTTAGGATCCATTCGGGTATTTTTAAAAATCGGGTTCGGGTTCGGTTCGGATATTGTTCGGGTTTTTCGGTTCGGGTATTCGGTTCCGGGTATTTTGCCTAGGCCTACCTTATCACACCACACTGCCACAAATTTAAACCTTTAGACACGAGCGCGCGCGCACACAAAAAAAAAAAAAAACTATTATTAGCTACATAATTTTTTTTTTTTTTTTGCTAAGCTTAGCTACATAATTTTTCTTAGCTAAAAGCTACGACAAAAATAAAATTGTAGCCATTCATAACAATTTTTGGTGATGTTGTTTTGTTGCATATAATTAGATTTTTCATCATTAAACTCAAACAAGTTGAGTCAACCGTCGACATCCCTTTTAGCACAATCAACAATCGCCGTGTGGCATGAGATTTAACATAGAATCTATACTTTTTGCTTAAAACTTTATTTTTCTTTAATTTAAGTGATTGAAAAGGTATATGTCGACAAGAAGAAAATGATTGAAAAGGAGAGAGTGAATGAGCAAGGAATTGGGATGAGTGGATGGCATGTAGAAGTAGAATAATGGTGGAACAGTTCACAAATGGGCTCCATCAGAGTTGAGCAAGCCCAATTTCTCTTTCTTTATATTATTCGTCTTAAAAATTAGTTTAATTTCTATTTCTGGTGATTTAGTTTAACTAGTAAGTCGCAATTACGTGGTGTTTATTTAATCATGCTAATGACGTGGGGACAATTATCTTATTACTGACATTGAAACGGTCCAAAACCAAAAAGAGAGACAAGACATAGTTGGTGTCTTTTTGTATATAAATAGAAACGGCTCAAACAAAAGGTCAACGGTTTTCCATAACGACCGGAATCGTTTTATAATGTTAATTTAGTTTTTGATTTTAAATTTGTTAGGAGATTGATGGCCTCCACCACCATTACCAACCAAGAAATTGCGAGATTTAAGCTCCGTTTTACAATCACATAAGTAATCGATTCTCATTTTATAGAAAACCCTAATTTTCTTCCAAGGAGATTCTTTTCGTTTCCTTGATATACACGTTTCTCTTTCTTTTCCTTTAAAAAAAAGAATTTTTTTTTTTGTTCTTTCTTCCTTTTGATCCATATTTTTCGAGGTAATGGCAACGACGTCAAGCGCGACAAAAGCAAAACCAGACAACCAAAACCTAACCAGAAACAAATCTCTCGGTAGAAAACCAAAGCTACCTTCGTCTACAGGGTCATCAGAAGATGGGTCTGATCAGAAACCGGAGAAGCCTTTGCCAAACTATTTGAAACCAACAATCAGTTCGAGAGCCGACCCAGTCAAGTTATCGAAGAAGAGCAACAATAGTCTTGATGATAACCAGAAGCTTCTCCGTAGAAGATCCTTTGATCGACCTCCTTCTTCTTTGACTTCTCCTTCTACTTCTGCTTCTCCGCGTATCCAAAAATCCCTCAACGTCTCTCCTTCTCGCTCACGAGATAGACCAGCGGTTCCTAGAGAGAAGCCTGTTACAGCTCAACGCTCTTCGTCTTTCCATGGAAGCAGAGGCGTTCCAAGAGGAGGTACTACTGTGAAATCGCCTCCTGTGGCGCCAAAGAAGAGCGGTTTGAGCAGTAGCAGCACTTCTTCGAAGAGCAAAAAGGAAGGTTCTGAAAATGTTACAAATAAGAAAGCATCTGATAAAGAGATTGCCTTGGATTCTGCTTCTATGTCGTCTGCTCAAGAGGATCATCAAGATGAGATTCTCAAGGTTGAGAGTGATCATGTGCAAGTTGCTGATCATGATATAGAAGAACCAAAAGATGAAAAAGAAGATAAAGAGGTCCAAGAAAAGGTTGTGCAACCCAATGAATCCGTTGAAGAGAATACTGAGAGTGGTGGACCATCACCGGTTGCTTCTCCTATTGGGAAAGATTGCAATGCTGTCATCAAAGAACTAGAAGAAAAATTGATCAATAATGAAGAAGAAATCGAAGAGAAAATAGAGGAAACTAAAGAGCAAGACAATAATAACCAAGATAACAAGAGTGAAGAAGAGGAAGACTTTAAGAAGAAGATCGACGAGAATGAGACACCGGAGAAGGTTGATATTGAAAGCAAAGAAGTTGAAAGTGTTGAAGAAACTACACAAGAAAAAGAAGAAGAACTGAAAGAAGAAGAGGAGAAGGAGAAGGTGAAAGAGGAGGAGAAGGAAAAGGTTAAAGAAGATGAAAAGGAGAAGGTAGAAGAGGAGAAGGGAAAGGTTAAGAATGAGGAGAAGGAGAAGGTTAAAGAAGAAGAATCAGGAGAGGGAAAGAAGAAAGAAGTAGTGAAAGGGAAGAAGGAATCTCCATCAGCTTACAACGATGTAATAGCAAGTAAGATGCAAGAGAACCCGAGGAAGAACAAAGTTTTGGCTCTAGCTGGAGCTTTTCAAACCGTTATTGACTATGAAACTGCTGCGTCTAAGTGAGATATATCGTACAACAACAATAAAAAACAATGTCATCTTTAGCTTTTTCCATGTTAATTTTTTTTGTCTTTTTGTACTAATTATCATTTTGCCATTGTTATAATTTTTCTCTCGTGAATTGTATGTTTTTTCGAGTGAACAAAGTTACATGCACCTAATCATATGTTTGTGAATGGATTGGATGTATTTTGGTGTATATATGCATGCTAATGCCATGACCCATGAGACTAGCTAAGCTACCTACTTTTAACTCCAAGAGATATATGCAGCAAAACTTTATAGTTTAATGAGAAAAAAAGATAGAAAGAAGGATAATTAGTCGTCACATCCATCCACTAGAGAAGCTTTTGTTGTGGTACAGAAAAATGTCACGTGGAAGAGGGGTCATCATATAGTGGCCGGGTGGGCTCATGGTAGTACTACTATAATTTCAAAATCTAAATTTGTCTACAAGTCGAAAGTGACTTAAAAATATATATAAACAAACTTTTGGGATCGTAGATATGAACATTTTCTAGCCCAAAATTTTTAAATGGAGCACTTGTCTAATGAGCTAATAGAAATAGCCTATTTCTATAAAATTTAAATCATTTTTAATTAGAGAAAATTAAACCTTAAGAAAAAATAGTATAAAAGGAACCAAGCAACAAATTTTGTGATTTTATGATTGATTGGTTCTAATTTTGTGATAGTAAAAAAAAGAAGCAGATGAGCTTCAGAGCAGATAGAGCCGCTGCTCGCCAGCGTCGAGATGTTGTTAGCTTCCGTCGCTTTTTGTTCCCTCTTGGCTCTTCTATTGATGATTTTTCTTTGTTTTTCTTTTCACTTTTTTCGTTGCTCTGCCCACCATTGCTTTGTGAATAGAAAAGATCTAGGATCCGTCGACCTTGCTCACAAGTGGTTGTTCGTGAGTGTTTCTCTGGCTAAGATTTAGTTTTTCTTTAGTTAGGGTAGATGCGTTGTTTCGCAAGGACAATAGTGCATATATTTGTAAACCTTTTACAAATGTGCTCGTTTAAAAAAGTTTTCAACTTTCTTGTGGTTTTCAGACAAATAACTCTAAACTTTTTTTTATTGTTATATAATTCTTTATATTGTTTCAAAGATATTATTTTGTTTAAACCAAGTAATTCTTATCTATTTCGTATTATAAGATGTTTTAGTTATTTTGTCTTGTTTCACAATATAAGATGTTTTGAAAAAGAAATTCAAGTTTTTATGCACAAAAATAAATTTATATAATTTATGACTATTTATACTTCGAAGTGAATTTTTTATTTGTCAAAATATTTTTAGTTAAATATTTTTTTGGTCAAAAAGTAAAAAAGTAAAAGAAAACAAAAAACATTAATTAATCTCTTAAACTTTGTAATTTTATGCAAAATATCTTACAAGGAGAATATTAAATAATAGTTTGTTTATTTTTAATACCAAAATATGTATTTTAACTAAGATATCATATTTTGTCAAAAAAGAAACTTAAAAAATATTTTATATTTTAAAACATAAAAAATACTAAATAAGTAATTAACCTAATGGATATATCCTATTTGTACTAATTTTATTTAACAAAATCAATTTATTACATAATAAAATAGAAGGATACAAGTGTTTTGTTCCTTTCCAATGTGGAAGTTTGTCCCACGCACATGAGAGTTCCTATCAATTTTGACATTTTATTGTAACAAAGCAAAACACAAATGGCACGACACAAATTTAGTGACATTGAGTGACACGTGTTCGTAGCTCCATAGACTCTTCTTTTTTTTTCCTTTTTTCTCCCAACATTTGTCAGAAAGAGAAGAAGAGATCAAATGAGCAATCGTTGTTGTAACAAAAAAAATAAACAAAACAAGAGGCTACACGTCTTGTTTCCTCAACAACATTTTTTTTTTCTCCACGCAATTACAAAAAGGATATTCTTCAAACTGAATTTTAGTGATTGAGTGATTTTTAAAAATCCAAACATTATCTACTAAAAAAACAGTTACAAATACTTAAAATCCAAACATAATGGATAGACTAAAGGTACTAAAAAAATCATAAGAAGATTGGTTAAGTACTGATTGTCAAAAAAAAAAAAAAAATGGATACACTAAAGGTACTAAAAAAATCAGTTACAAATATTCAGAATTCCAAATTTAATGTGAGATATCAAATTGTTTTATAAAAATAAGAAGATTGGTTAAGTACTGATTGATCCACGGTATAGTTAAACATACAAATTTATAGACATAATTTTATGACCAATATCAGGAAGACCGGTCCAGAGCAGTATTCTTATGACTAGTTTGTTTTAGGCCGATCCAGTCTAATTGTTAATGTTTACATAGACTTAGATTCAAATTTTGTAAAGGTTATGTATTTAGTTTTAAACTTAATGTTCGCTATTGTAAGTTTTAGGAAGACAAATTTTTGACTTTGTAATATTTTAAAATTATACTTATTTATGAACCCCATTTTTATTAGTATTAATTGCATTATCTTTTTTTTTCTAAATAAAATTTTGTTACATGTGTATTATGATGATATATATGAATACTTACCAATTGGATTTACGGTTTTCAAGGATAAAATGAAGGAAATTTTAGATTAGGTTTACATTATCGATTTATGATACACAGTAAAATCTTTAAAAATTAATAATCTCGAAACCATGAAATTCTATTAATTTATAAAATATTAATTTATCGATATAAAATATTAATTTATCGATAAATTAATAATTATTAATTGATAGAGAGATTTGAATAAATTTGTAATTATTTAAAACTCGTTATAATCAATTTCATTACTAGTTCATTTCTAATATTTTTCATATATCAATTTTTTTTATTGTTTTCTAAACAAAATGATTCTTTTTTTACTAAAAAATAATGCAAATTTAAGAAAAACAAAAATTATTAGAGTATATTTCACTAAATTTCTCACATTATGATATTGATGTACCATATATTTATATCAAATTTTTTAATTATTTTAATATTTTATCGAATTGTTGTCAAATATTACACAATGCTTGACTAAGGACTGAATAAATTTATTGATTTTTAGTGATTATCAATTTATCGAATATTAAAAGTTTAACTATAGTGCTTTTTTATTGTTGATATTTACGTTGAAACTTGACTGGTCCACATATTCTTGATTTTAGACTATTTTGCTCATCACAAGTGTTTTTTGAATTGTATAAATAAACTCACATGAGCATAAAAAGCTTCTCTAATCAATTAAAGTTTATGTTAGGATATTTGTGAACATATAAAATTTGACTAAATCATTTTTAATTTTTTGGTATCAAACCACAATTTAGAGTTTTAGGAATTTAAACGTAACAATAGATTATTTTTAAAAAAGTTAGTTTGATTTTTGTGAATTGAGTTTTAGAAAATTCTTGAATTCATGCAAAAACTTTTTTTTTTTAATGTCAAATGCCTTTAATTCATATATGCAAATCATTTATTCTCTTTATTGCTTTTATTCACTTGCAATTTACTTTTGTTTTAATTTAGAAAACCACGAAATAATATTTCATATTATTAATCTAATTTTTCACATACTTTTCATCTAATTTTTCGGTTTTCATGGATTCCACCTCTTTTGTTCTACTACGATTTTACTATGCATTAGCAGTTTGCTTTTGGGTTAAACCTTATGAGCTATCAAAATATTTTGTTTTTATATTTCTAGTGAAAGTATGTGTTTTGGTAATGCTACATTTATATATTATTATGCATCATCATATATTACAAACATAGGGATTTTAAAAATAATTCGCACGATAACTCGATTCACTGAACTCTCTATTTCCGATTTAGTTTGAATCAATGCGTTTATTCTGAAGTGGCATGAAGGGCATGATATATTTTTATTTTCCAACAAATAATAATACTCCCTCTGTTTCACAAAGAGTGTCGTTTTAGAGTTTTACACACAGATTAAGAAAACATTAAATTTTTTGTTTTTTCTGAACAAAAACATCATTACCTATATACTTAAACACAATCTGCCCAATAGTAAAACAATCTGCAGAATACTAATAGTCATAAAACATAAAAAATCATTAAATTTTGCATTGAAAACCTAAAACGACACTCTTTGTGAAACAAAATAAAACCTTAAAACGACACTCTTTGTGAAACGGAGGGAGTATTAACTAATCATTACACCCGTTTCGTTTTTTTAGAACACATGTAATCCACACGATGTTATACCTACACAAATGACGTTGCTTCCATCAAATTTTCTGTTTCGATTTTATATAAGTCAATACGTTATTCTGAATTGTCAGAAAACAACATATATTTCCATTTTCCAACAAATGATAACACTTTCCTTGTTTTAATTTAAGTGTCGCTTTAGAATTAAATTTTGTTTTATAATAAATGTCAATTTTGTTCTATAATTAATATCGTTTTAGGTTTTCAGCGCAGATTTTTGATAAAAATTATAGTTTTATCCCCACTCTGTTTTAGTGTTTTGACTTATAAAATATAGTAATCAAGTGGTTAAACAAAAAATTTAGTTTGTGTAAAAAACTTTAAACACACTTAAATTGAAACAGAATGAGTATAAAGTATTTATTACATACGTTACATGTTTTATTTAAACATAATTCACTCAAAGACATCACGTCTGCCAAACTCTTAATTTCTGATTAAATTGAGTTAATGCATTAAAAATATTTTAAAATTAGCATGAATGACATGATATATTTTCATTTTTAACATATAATAATACATGCAAGTTTTTGTTCTATTTATTCTAGGTAATCATTATTTCTGTTACAAATATTTAAAAATATTTTTCCGCCTTCTCTCGATAACTCCGCATCCAAAAAAAACTCCGACTTGGTACCGAAAATACTAAGGAACTTTACCCATACACGAAAAGAAAACATCATTTACCCAAAAAAAAGGTTTGTGACCAACTTCATATTGATAGTTTCATCCAAATATTTTGGCCATGCTTAAAGTTTTCCACATTATATGATATAATTGCTCATTTCTTTCAACTAAATCAATTAATTTACAAACACCATTTTTAGACTAGTGGTATTATATTACTGCCCCATCTACGTATATTCTCACTTTTCTAGAAAATATCTAAACAATATTGACTTGACCTTTCACTAAATAAAAACAGAGAATCGAAATAGAAAAAGGACAACAAACAGATAAGCTAAAAGAAAGGAACAAAACACTTACTTTTTCTCCATTCGATTAAAAAAATATCATTAATTTTCCCGAATTAAAAGCAAAAAAATAAACATTAATTCGCGCGACGAAAAATTAAAATTATATTTTTTTAGAACGAAAAAAAAAAAACTTATGAACAAAGAAAAAAAAAAAATCTTCATTGCAATTATTGATCATCATCATCATCATCATCTTCTTCCTCAATCAGATCTGAAAGTGCAAAACAACTCCGAGACTTGTAAGCTCTGTTCTTGAAAGATCCTTTCCTTACAACAACTTTCTTCACTCCTTCTTCATCACTCGATGATTTATTCTCATCAAACCCAGATTTCAGATCTTCTTCTTCATCATCATCATCATCATCTTCATCTTCGTTTACTGGTAACAGAGGCATAGATTTAGGGTTTTGCCATGAATAAAACGATTTTCTTGCTAATTTATTACAGATCTGTAATCTTCTTCTTTTATTCAATGGATTCTCTTGTTTTGCTACTTCTTTAACACTTCCAATCTCTCCTAAATTCCCAAATGATTTTGATTTCCCTTTGTAATGATTCGATAACCCTCTCCTGCAAGTAATTCAAGAACCCTAAAAATTTTAATAAAAGAAAAAAAGACGATTTTTAGAAAAACAGAGAATGAAGTTTACTTTGAGAGAAGAGAATCTTCAAGAGAGCTCATTGAAGCTAACCCACGAAGCCCTAGCTCCTTAGAAGAAACGTCATCGTTTTGGTTTTCTTTTTCTTCATCACTTTCTTCTTCGTCTTCTTCGCTATCTCCTGGAGTTCCGATTGAAGAACTATCCGATGAATAATCCGCCGTTTGTCCTGACCAGATTCCACTCCCGGGACGACTTAGACCAGATTCTTCTACTCCTTCTTCGTTTGTTGTCTCGAAAGAGGAAGAAGAAGAGGAAGCTTTCTCCGTCGCCGGTAGATCGGTGCCGTATTCGATGGAGAAGGTTGGTTTAGCCATCAACTCCATAACCGTACTTATTACAGATCACAAATCAGACAGATTTGGTCGGAACGGAATATCACGGTTTGAGTTATTTTCACTTTCTGGGTTTCTGTCTCATCAAATCTTTTAGATCACAGACTCAGAGAATAGTAGAAATCGCCATGGCAGACAATAGAGGAAAGAAGAGAGAGAGAGAGAAGGGATAAGGTTTTTTTTTTTGTTTTAATATAAAATTAAATTGAAGGAAGATGACGATAAGGACGATAATTGGATAAAATATATACTCTTGGCTTTTGGGAGATTAATATATATAATGTGTGTATGTGAATGCGTGATTTTGGTAATTAATTACTTTTAATTAATGCTTGTTCTAGTCCTTGCTTCTCACTTCTGTATTTTTTTAAAAAAAATTTAAATTTAGAAAGTATTTACAAGATTTAGAATTAGAAATTTTTTGAAAAAAAAGGAAAGAAGTATATTTGGGGTTGTGGTAATGATACACTTGACAAAGTCAAAACTAAAAACTACCATCTTTAAATGTGTACAAATCTATTCGTATATTCTTCGTATGTGGAATATATTTATTTATAAGTAAATGCGATCATATCTGACTGATTTTTCTTTTTTGGTCATTTTATGAACAAATGTTATAAATTGAGGGTAGAACCATCAAATTTGTAAAATATAAACCATGTTTTCAATGTATTTATATATTACATGAAGATTTGATTGCATTACTAATGTTACTGTTAATAATGAATGTTTAAAAAAATTAGGATGTGTCATTGACTATTATTTAAGAGACTAAAGTGTGAAACATATGGATGGAAAATCATGTTTGTAAATTGCAATTTAGTATCGTTTTTTCTTAATTCACTTTGGTTTCTACTTAGTTGATACAATTTGAATTTTGTTCAGGTTTGATTTGGTTTAAAATGTGATTGATCGCACTTTAACCAATCAAGTAAAACATGGAAGATTTTTTTTTTCGATTCCCCACAAAATGGAGTCAAATGTTGAACTTCTCACTACAAATACATGGTAAAAAGAAAATTCTTCGGATGTTTGCCAATTTTTCTAATAATTTTTAAAGCTTTTTTTCTCCTAACTTATTTACTTGTGACTTCAGAGGTGTCCCTTCGAAACGATCATACAATACTGCTTGGTGCAAAGCGCCTTTGGAGGTATTCATCTCCTCTTTACTCGGAGTTGGAAGCATTAATTTGGGCCATGAAAAATATCCTTACAAGAAGGATTGATTGTTAAGCGTTTGAATAGTGTCCGGAAGACTGTTCCATCTTCTCCAATCAGTTGGATGAGTTTGGAACCCTCTGAACCTTTTTGCCCAAATTTTTGCTCTCTTTCATTTCTCGTTTATATAATTTTAAGGCGGATTGTTTAGCTAGATCCTCTAAACTTTTTTTTCTTGAAGTTACTTTTGTAGATACTTATCAGTTGTTTTCTAATTAATGTGCGTTTGACAAAAAAAAACATATTATCAGTGACACCCTAAATATATGAATAACTAAAAATAACAAATTATTAGTTTTTTAATTAAAATAATTTTAATGAATTTATACCTATTTCGTTAAAGGTTATAGAAAAGGTTTTAGTTTCGTTTCAATTCTAGTTTCAGTAGAATTTTATAAAATCAAACTGTTTATAAATAAATTTTGGTTTAGCTAATTCGGTTGGTTCGATTATTTAGTATTTGAGAAACAAACTATAGAGTGGGTGAGTGGGTCACACAACTCAACTAAGATAAAGGAAAGGAATATTCCTTTTAAATATTAATAGATGGCAAAAGTTTTTGAATTTAACGATATACATATCATATCAAACCAATGGGAGATAATTACATCATATTTTGAACTAATCTTTTGTTGCCATAACGTTCTCTTTATGCAGGTTGAAAATGTCATTTCTTTTGTTTCAATTTGCCAAATTTTTTTTTTTTTTTTTTTTTTTTTTCAATTTGCCAATTTATAACTAATTTCTGATATTTATAAATCTAACTTGCAATTTCTTACTCCAAAGTCCAGATAATATAATTCTTCGCTTACATGAAAAGATATAGAATCTTCTTATAAATGTCGAAATCTATATACTTAACCGTGACCCTACACAAGTTTTAGATCTATTTATGGTATAATGCCAATATAAGGCATTACTAGTTTCGTGCCATCCTTGAATATTCATATCTTTACCCTCCTTTGTTTTTGTATAAAAAAAGTACAACGCTTTTAAAAAAAAAAGGATAAATAAAGTTCAACAATAATCCTTTGTCTCAAAAAAAAAAAGTTCTACGATAATCCCTTTTCTTTTTCATTTAGACACAATAATGAAATAAAAGTGTTTCTAAGACAATCAGAAGAAAAAAACATGTAATGTAATAGATTGCATTAGTGGTGTTGAATACATGTTGGCTTTAACTAAAATATGGTTGTCAAAATTAATATATAAATGAATAGGAAAAACAAAAGATTGACAATTAATTACAATGTCAAAAACTCAAAGTTAATGGAGGATAATTATGGTAATGATATACTGGTTTTTATAAACTGTCAAGTAATATAATCCCTCCGTTTCGTTTTAGTTGTCGTTTAAGGTTTTTTCACACAAATTAAGATAAGCATTAAATTTTCTGTTTTACCCTTCAATAATATATTTTATAAAAAATTTCATTGGCCAAAACATTAAAACAATAGGGATAAAACTGGAATTTTCACCAAACATTTGCATTGAAAACCTAAAACGACAACTATTATGAAACAAAATTTAAATCTTAAAACGACAACTAAACTGAAACAGAGGGAGTATGTGTTATATTTTTTTTCACCGCATGAAATTTTATTGTTCAACAATAGCAGCTTATCATGAAATTTATATAAAATGGTACATTTCTTAACTCATGATTTCGAAAAACAAAGAAAAATTAAAATTTTCGTTACTAACAAAATTGTGAAGAAATATTTTAGCTGGTGCAAATATTTATGGAATTTACAACTATACATTTATACAACTAGGTTTGAGGAGTAGGAAGGATGAGGTTGATAAAAATGATTAACAATTAAGTAAAAGGTTACTATTAGTCAAAACTCAAAAATAATAATTATATAGGTCAAAGCAAAGTGGCCAATGGGATGAATTTAAGGTCTGAAAAAACAGCATCTAATCTTATCTTTCTGACTTAATTTTTAATCTTAACATTTGCTCTTCGTGGGTGGTAGAGAATCACCCACATATGTCCACACCTCTCAGCTCTCACTCTCTTATTATTGTCTCCTTTCAATTTAATTGTTGATTTTTTTCATGTAAAATTTTTATATTTTAGGAATCAAATGTTTTGTTTTTGTTATTGATTATTAACGAGAGAAAAAGAAAAGGTGTGTTGGGTTTGGTTGGCTAAACTTTATAGAAAGGTTAATTATCATGCTTCCACCCAGAATCTCATGTTATAAACAATACAAAACAATCATTCAGACACAAGTTTCTTGGCATATTCCATAAATATTAACTTTAAATAATTATAAACAACTTCTTCTAACGAAGGATCTTAAGATTTGATTGAAAGCTCAAATCTGTGCGATGACGAGATTAAACTATAGATTAAAACTACTTTATCAAAAAAAAACTATAGATTAATTAAACCTAAGAACATCAATCTTTTATTCATTTACTATGGTTATCGTTTTTTTTTTTTTTTTGTCAACAAGCAAACCAGCTAGCTCAAACCCAAATAAACCAAAAATAAAAACCAATACGAGAATTTTAGAATAATAAAAATTGTAGAAAAAGATTTAATGGCCTTTATGTACAGTGTATGGAGCCATAGAATGAGGCAAGGTTCCGAAGCTAAATATGGTTGTAGCCTTGTGGGCCTTGTGGCTTGTTGGATTATAAAGTTTTGTCTTTCCGTATTAGAGAAGATGTGTTTCTCAAAAGTGAAATCTTTTTATCCATCCTAATTTCAATCTTCGTCTCACAATATTATAGAAAAAACCATATATTAATATTTGGATTTCGTACAATTTCGTCTCACAATAACTTATAAAATCATTTTCCTTAAAACGTATTTTTAATTTTTTATCCTTCTTAAACTTTGGATTACACGAAATCTCTTATAGGTTTGGATCGGGCGTGAAAACGCTGATACTCACTTACGATCTTCACATAATACGATCATGACTTTTATGTTGGCTAAGTCATAGTAAACCTTATTCCAGTCCTTTAGTTTCATGCTTTCCAATTTAGTAATATTTTTACTTTAACTGAGCAACAAAAATTAGTCTTTCTTTGCCGCCTTATATTTGTAAGAAAAATATTTACAAATATTCTTTTTTTTTTTTGTGAAAATACGTAGGTTTTTAGAGTGTCTTGCCATATTACCTTCTGATAAGTGCATTTTTTATGTGGTTTTACTGACTACATTATTTGGTAAAACCGCTGTGAATGATCTATTTTAGACCAACTAAGTGCTCTGTTTTCCACTCTAATTTTTTGAAGTTTTCTTTCAACTAAAGGTAGCATAGCATGCATGTAATGTAAACAAAGTTCTCTCTTTCAGACGCATGATAACCTTGAACATCTAGCTATGATGGAGAGGGCATTGGGACCTTAATTTGCCTGAACATCTGACCTGTCGAAGCGTCTCACAATAGACAAAGCTCCTGACCATCCTTTCTTTAAGAGCTCAAGTTGAGAAGAAGCAAAAACAGATGAGGCAAGTTGATAAAACATGAGAAGCAAGTAGAGAAAAAGGAAGCAGATAAGTCAACAGAGCATTGACTTTGTGATGAGCTCGAAAAGGAGAGCAAAGTCTCTGGGCGTTGCACAGAGTTTGCTGTTCCAGTCTTCATGAGTATAACATAAATAAGAGATTGTGGTGCTTGCAGTCTTGGATGCTTAAGGTTGATTGTGTTTCTCCTGCGTGAGAATGGTAGAGGAAGAGCGTGTGTGATCTGTTCTTGAGTAATATAAGGAAGGAGAATTGTAACTCAGTCTTTATCACAAGTGTGCCTAAATAGCAATGAGCATTACAAAATGTAGAATTTTACTTAGCATCAAGTCTTTGTTAGATTCTAAAGGTCCCTTTCTCAGTAGCACCAAACAAGACTACTCCAATTCCAGTTTCAAGTTTGGCTACATTTATTCTCGAGAATATAACCTCTGTTGTACATTGTGTTGTCTAGCCTAATAAAAAAACTAAACCACATATTAATTGATACTAATCGACCTTGTAAATTGCATATCGTAATATCCAAAATCAAACTGAGTTTTTAACCTAATCATTGCTAAAGAAGTAAAAAGATGATGAAACAAGATTCAAGAGATTAAAGATTTAGCAAAGGAAATCTGAGAAAAGTCTAAAATCAAAAAAGTTGTCGATGCAATATCTGTCTACTGTGTCATAGTCCTGATGAGTTGATCCCTTACTGAAGATCTTCAGTGAAATCAGTCACTCTGTCGCCCACCATATACCGATCATTGTATTCCACTCGGTGAATATAAACGAAGAGATCGAGGGTGAGCTTGGCTACGAATCCTAGGACGATGATGGCTAATAACACCGGCCATATGAGCCTCTGTACGGCTAAGTTGACTGCAGCAGAAACTCCAAGACAAGGGAGTAGAGAGTATGCCACCAAGAAAGGGAAGCCGAGAGTTGTTGAAAGAGTGATCATGATGGAACAAATGACATCTTGAAGCAGCCACGTAAAGGGAAGCCGGTTGATTCCTACATTTCTGATTCTCTCGAGCTTCTCCCGCCAAGCCACAGTTGCGAAACAGTTGATACGCGTGAACATAGTCTGTGCGAAAGAAAAAGAGAGATATTACTTGTTGGGCAAGAAAGCAAGTTTTTTATTGTAGAAAAAAAACTCAAGATGAAATTCTTACCAGATATGTCCAGATGTGAAGAACGACTAATCCAATCAACCAATCTTGGAGCAATGAATAAACTGGTGATTCGTTTAACGGCACTTGTAATGGGATGATGATCATAAAGTCGATAAGGATACCAAGTAATGCCGGAATGACAGAGATCTGTTCATTGGAATTTACAAGTTATACAACATTTTCACAGCAAAAGACAAAAAGTTTCAAGCGTTTGGAAGAAAGGGACCTGAAATTTTGAGTTTACTTACCCAGATGGAGAAGAGTAAAGCATTCCGTATCCACAACAGAACAAGGTTGAGAAGCAAATCGGTTCTTCCAATCATGATATGATTAAATACGAAGCAAGTACCGATATAGATTGCTCGCAGGATATAACATCCAATCCAGAAACCATAAAGATCTAAAATGATAACATTTGAAGCTTAAAACAAAAACCGCCATTTGCAATGAAACCATAAGGAGAAAAGTTATGAAGCAAGATGATGAAAGTTACAACATACCGTCGTATTTGAGTTCGAAAGGTATGATGAAAGAGATAGAGTGGAAGAACACCCTTCCCATCAGAATTGGAAAAACCATGGAGATTGTGCTAATGAGAAACATGCTCAAAGCAGCTAGAACCAATATCACTCCGATCCTTAGTATAAACCTGCAACTTCAACTTATTAGAATTGTAAATTTTATACATGAATAAGTTTTTATTTAAAGCACGTTGTTTATTACCTATTGTCGCCAATATCCTCTTCAAAATTGGTATCACTCTGTGATCCATGGAAACAGACTACAGAGCCTTCGGCTATGGAATACATTAGAAACCATTCATCAAGGTTCTGCAACGGTCTCACATTCTGATCTGCATGGTTTTCGAGCAAGAACTCGCTCAACTTGAGCCAAGAACTGATAGTGATAATCCACTTGTGAACTATGGGTTCTACAGCTTGTTTAATAAGCTCGGCTAACCACTCGATAGGTCCTAGTTTCACTAAGAATACATAAGCAGCCATTGAGCCAAACATAATCCTTTCGTCATAGATCCTACATCATATTCAAGCGTTTTTATTATATATAAAAATGTCCAAATAACATGAAACTACAAGTGATACAAGGTAAGACAGAGGAGCTATACCAGAATTGGATCGGGAAAAATGAGGGGCTGATGAGAAAGATGGTCATTATAGGTAAGTGAACCACAATCACCATCATTGACCCGTGGAAAGCCAATGCAAATAGAATTTGGCGAATGTGTAGTTTAGTGATTGTGTAGTTGGGATCAGTAACATCTAGGAGAAACCAAAAAAGTCGTTTCTTAATGAGCTGTCACAAGAAAAATGCGCGGTAAGTCAAATGAAAATAGGGTCATTTGTGGATAACAGTAAAACAAAATAAAACTGTTACCTTCTGGATAAGCTCCATGGAATTGAAAGCCAACATCAAGCAAATTTGTCCAAACCCCCAATGTATGATCATGATTATGGGATAGTTTGAAAGCAGCTCAAGCCTCTTGGAAATTCGCGTCCCGAATATAGGGAGGGTGCAAAAATCTAACCAGCAGCCAAGTACCAAAGGTAAAACACCAATTTTCAAACACAAGATGAAACCATCCTTAACCACCGATAGATTTTTCCACACTTTTACTGCAAGTATCCATAGCAAGAATGGGGGTGCCACTGCTACCAAGAGAAACCCCAATGATAATCTTCTAGCAATGGTTTGAATGGAGCTTCGACTCGGAGTAGCAAAACTTCCAAGATAAGCAAAGGAGAGTGAGAGCATAGTCATATATCCAACAGTGACAGGTTCTTGGCCAAGTGATGAGTATCCTGAAAGAACCCCCATACGTTGGAAAAGAAGTAGGAGTGCAAAGACAAGTTTCCCCATAATAAATGGAAGAAGAACGAAGAAGAATGAAACACAAAAGCTGATGGCAAGAACCTGGAAAACAGAAATATTGTTAACAGGTTTCAAAATCCGGATAACTTAGATTCACAAACGAGTGTTGGAACTTACAGCAAACGAATTGTCATCAAGAAAGAAGAGAAAACTCCTGATAGCTCCAAATTCATGAAGTCGTGTGTTTCGAGGAAGAATTACTACTTCACGAGGTCCAACCATAATGGCGTGGAACAATCGAAAGCGTATGAGATGATCATGCCACCAATCACTCAAAATCCCCATGTATTTCCACAATACAGCACCAAATCTAGCAACAACTCCAAGTCCTAAACCATTCACTAAGTAAATTCCAAAGAAATGATCAACAATAAACCTAAGAAGCACCATCACTGCCATAACATAACCAATAAAACCACTGTAGATGCAACCAGCCAAAAGAGAAGCAAATTTCTCAGAAACTCGAAAAACTCTCTGGTTTTCAATCGCAACTTCTCTTCCCCAAGGATGCAAAGAATAACAATAAGCGTTGAAGAGAATCACAAAACCCCAAACAACAACGCGTATCGCTCTCAACAACAGTCCTATCAGAAACTCATGCCATGGAAGCTTATGCGGTGCGTTCTCCGAATAAACAGGGACAAAGGAGTAGCTAATCCCACATACCTACATCGGAACAGAGATTTAGATACTGAATCACCACGATTCTACTATAAACAAGGTTAAAATCGAAATCAAAACCTCGCACTGCTTGAATCCACGACGGTTGAGCCAGAGAAGGAGACATTGTTGGTGAACGTACTTGATAGAACCTCTACACGCACATGGATACCTCAACGGATTGTCTGGTGTCTCTGGTGATCGGCAAATCCGGCACAAATCCACTCCGTCGTCGTCGTCGTCTTTGTCAGTTTCTTCCGCCGGAAAAGCTTGGTTCTTCTCCGCCGGAAACACGTCCATATTCAGAATGTTGACTCGCTTCTCTCTCTCTGTTTCTTTAGTCTCGTCTTCTTCTTCTTCGCTTTGAAATGTTGAAAGCTTAAAGAAGCAAATATATTTAAAATTAAACAAATCAAAAAAGAGAGCAAATGCCGTTTTTGTGACTTGTACTGTATTTTGTTTGTTTTTGACAGCCTATAGTATAGACTAGAGCCTATATACTTTGCTTCTTAATATTTACCAGTTACCACAGTAACTTTTTTTTTTTAACTTTTGCCGTTAGTTATTGGGACCCACACCAAATTGGACTATGTGTCGACCAATTGAAATCCGCCACATCAACAATCATCCTAGCTCTCGGATCTTATGACTTTTGGCACTATTCAATGGAGCTAAGCTTATTTGCATATTGTTTTACTAATTAGTCCTTTTGAATCGATTCCCATTGAAACCCAATTGACTAAAAGCGTATTTTATGGTGGAGCCAATAACAACATCCCGAACCATTTAAAAGAAAGCAATTGCTTGTCGCTCAAGAAACAATTTTTATACGTCTACCTATATAAATTGTAGATTTTTTTAATATAAGAAAAATATCGTTTTTACAACAAGTGTGAAATTCTTTCGAAAACTCTACGGAGAATTCTAATAGTTTAAAATTTTAGCTTCTTGAAGCAAACCAAACTTAAAAGCCCTTTTCGTTTTCGACAAAAAAAAAAAAAAAAAAGCCCTTTTCGTATCTCTTATCACCAATCGCTCGTATTGATGAGAACTTGTCTATGATTTATTTATCGATCCAGCGGATAAGCTGAGCTGCTTGTTGTGGATTTTCTCCAATGCTTTCGTCAGTTTCTCTCTCTCCATAGAGTATGTATAGCAGCTTGGAAGACGTATCTTGCGAGGAAACTCTCAATTCTATCAAGATGAAGGTCTGAAATATAGGTAACAATTGACTGCCAGTTGTGTAACAATTATATTGTAGAAAAACTATGTAAACTAATATCGTTATATTAGTTTTTGCATTCAGTATATGTTTTTTTTTAGTTTACAGATTTGAGTTGCTAAATAGATAAAAGAGAGAAAATGTAAGAGACTTTAGACAATCAAACACACAAAGTATATATATCACAAAGCAAAAGAAATCATTATCAAAGTCTACGCATCACATAACACAACATCTCACTGTCAAACAACCCTAATGACAACACCATGTTGAGGCTCTACAAGCAGTTTATGGCTTGGAGAGTGTTGATAAGTTGGAGACAGAGTAAAACTAAACTTTGAGACAATAAGTGAAACAAGCACTTTGACTTCCATCATACCAAAGTTTTTGCCTACGCATATTCTTGGTCCAAGGCCAAATGGGATGTATGACTGAGGGTATTTGCAAGCTTTAGAGATTCCCCCACTAAACCTCTCTGGCTTGAAGTCGTTTGCGTCTGGTCCCCAGATCTCGGGGTCTCGGTGTAAGGCAGGAATGAGTGTCCAAATGCACACTCCTTTTGGTACCACAAGGTCTCCAAGTCTTATGTCTGTGGATGCTTCTCTTCCCACGATTGGTGCTGGTGGGTATAGTCTCATTGTTTCTTGTATTACCATTGTCACCTATTATTTATGTATATAAACAAGAAAATGTACGTTGTTAGGTTTCAAAAAAAGCTACATGTATACAATGATTTTGTGTATTCTATATTATGCCCCAACTTATTCAATGTATAATTCTCTAACGTTTTCTTTATGATAAATGTATAAAAGATTACCGTTTTTAGATTAGGAATTGATTCTGCGTCGGGAATGCCATTCTTGCAAGATCTCAAGATTTCATCGCGTATTTTAATCTGCCAACTAGGATTGAGAGCAAGGAGCATAAGGCACCAAGACACGGAGACTGCGGTTGAATCATGTCCGGCGAAATAGATGCTCTTACAATTGTCCACCACAAAACGTCTATAGGCTGACTTGTCCCACAAGTTACCATCGCAACTACGCATCGCTCCCTCGAGTATCAACTGCATTAGATCCTTCTTGTGATGAGCATCCTTACATTCAATTTCCCTCTCCTTAACCGTTTCCCATATCGAAGATTCCAGTTCCATCTCAAGCGCATCAATATTGACATCACCATGCTTCTTCTTACTCCCAAACACCAAATCACTTGCCACCATATACTCAATTATATTATATAGAGAAATACTTTTGCATGAACTAAAGAAGTTCAAAGCATAAACATATTGAAACTTACGTGAAGCCATTGAATCTGAAGAGGACGCTTCGTTTAGTAATGGCCGTTAGAAGATCCCTAATCATAGAGAATATTGCTTTGCCTTTTGAAAAAGAGCTCCCAAAGCAAGCCCTAGCGATAACATCAGCCGACACATCCTTAAGGTCTTCGTCTACTCTTATGTCACACCCCATTTCACCTCCTCTTTTCACCATCTCTTCCCATTTATTCAACATTGGCATAGCAGATTCCACCATTAAACCAACCATTCCCTTCACCAATCACAACAATATTTCAAATAAATTTATATAAAGATTTCTAATATCCATATCTTGAATTATTAGTTCACAATAAGAGTAGGACCTTGATTTTGTCGTGGGTAAACTCATGGGCAATGATACGACGTTGATGGGCCCAATGAGGCCCATTAGAGGTGATGATACCATTGCCAAGGATGGGGTTAAGGCGTTTGGTGATGTGAGTGATTCTGCCAAGGTTAAGTGTGTTGGTTTGGCTAAGCTCCTTCACCATTTCCGGGTGGTTTATGTAAAGGTGCTGCTTTAACCCCGTTGAGTATGTGTAAATCCTCCCTTCAATACCGTTTTTGTATAAAAGATAAATTACTCCAATTCTCCAAACCAATATGAAACTTAGTTCAAGTTTAGCCACGCGCATATCACAATCATCATGCTCATGCATAATTTCTATTTGTATTAAATTATAAATAAAGTAAATATGTACGTGGACCATTACCATATATCTCTAATTGATTTAGATATGGCTTATATAGCATATTCATTTATGCAAAAGAGGTTAATATCTTTTATGGGATATTTTTATATTTTCTATCTGGTAATGGATTTTTCTTTCTGTAACGTTAATTGAGAAAAAGCTTGCAAAGCTGTCTTTTTGTGAATGCAAGTGAAACGTTCGATGCCTTTTAATTGGGATGGACCCTACTATAAGAACATTGATGTTTGTTCTAACAATAATTTTTTAATGAAAATATACGATTTTGTTTTTGTTAACCAGAAAAATCCTAAATCAAAGTGGAGATAAATCCTTTGAAATTCCTCGAAATTGCAAATCTTATATTTTTGTTTTTTTTTTCTTTTGTTGATTACTTAGTATTTGTAAGTGACGATGTTACAAAAATTGTTCAATAGACTTTGTTTGCATTAGTTGCGGAAGAAAATGGTATTTTCAGATATGTTTTCTTTTTAATGCGATGATATAGCTGGAAAATCAAATCCATAAACAAAAAAACTGATTTCATGTAAATGAGATCTCATATGTAATTGATAGATTTATAAATGTGGTTTTTGTTTCCAATTTAAATGATTTTTTTTTTGTTATTGTTATACCATAGGCTATCTAATGAGTTTTTGTTATTGTTATACCATTGTTATAAATATGCATTATATTTTGTAGTAAACGAGACTTGAGAAAACAAACCGTATTGTTTTCGCCAGTGATCGAAATGAGGAAAGAGAGAAGAAGAATAGTCATGAGAAATGATGTTATCGCCGGAACAGTGTTTAGCTTCCGACTGAATCCGTTGCATCTCCGACACATTGCCGTTAAAGATCGACGGTGGAGGACCCTTCACGCCTTGCATCTTTAGACTCCTTCGCATCCTCCACTGCTCCACCACCGCTCTTCCATACACATGATAACCTAAGCTGACGATTCCGACAATAACTATGCACCAAATTGCATTTACCGTAGGAACAGCCAAACTCTCCATTTTAACTTTTTTGTTTATTCAAGATTTTTTACTTTTTTTCTTACTCTTCTCTTCTTGACCCATATATAGTCAACCAGATTCCTTTTGAACAAATAAGTCCAAATTGTTATTTTATTAAATCATTACTACTTTGAACAAATAAGTCCAAAATTCTATTTTATAACAATATTATTTATTTCAGACTAATGAAACAATAAAAATTCAGATATTTATTATTTTATTAAATATTACAAATATTATACGGGCAGGGAACAATCTTGGGACGCTCGGTCCAAATAAAGCTTGAAAAGCCCACATAGTTTTAGCACGACCTTGGCTGTCCAATTGTTCTTGGACTTATATTTAAAAACTTAACACGACCCAAACAAAGCTATAGAATAATCTCGCTTTTCCTTTTTAAACAATATAGATTTCAAACACTCATCAATCAATATGATTTAAGCAAATCCAAGTTATTCACTCTAATAGGGTAAACCGAACAAATTTAAAATGTAAAAAACGATTAAAAACACTATAATTTTTTTTTTATAAAGCCTATCGATTGATCCGGTTAGATAGGATCGCACTAAAATTCTATTGGACTTCTTTACGAAGTACTACCACAAATATGTAGTAGGGTCTATACACAATTTGTTAACTTTAATAGTTTGTTTTACGAATAGTAATTTTTTCACAAGTGCTAATCATTATTTTATTTTCGACGAATATTGGTAAAGCCTTTGTTTATTTACAAAAAAAAAGATACCAAAGAAAACACTATTACTATATAGTGTAATAAGATATTACATAGGAGTAAAATACTAAAACCATAAGCTAACGATCTTATTGTCTCAGAACTCTAATGACAACACCATGCTGAGGCTCTACAAGCATTCTGAACACTGGAGAGTGTTGATATGTGGGAGAGAGAGTAAAACTAAACCTTGACACAACAAGTGACACAAGAACCTTGAGCTCCATCATACCGAAGTTTTTTCCTAAACACAACCTTGTCCCTAAGCCAAATGGGACGAAGGACTGAGGGTGTTTGCAGGCTTTAGAGACCCCTTCGTTAAATCTTTCTGGCTTGAATTCATTCGCGTCAGCTCCCCATATCTCAGGGTCTCTGTGCAATGTAGGGATCAATGTCCAGATGCACACTCCCTTTGGCACCACGAAGCTTCCGATTTTTGTGTCCGCAAGGGCTTCTCTTGATACGAATGCTGCTGGTGGGTATAGCCTCAACGTTTCTTGGATAACCATTGTTACCTAAATATATGCAAGTGATGTTAGGTTCTGAAATTGGTCATACTTGGAGGTCAAGAAACTTGACATGAGATGTGAGGTTATAAATTACCGTTTTTAGGTTGGAAATAGAGTCTGCGTCAGGAATACCGTTCTTGCAATAAAGAAAGACTTCATCGCGAATCCGATTTTGCCAAGAAGGGTTGAGAGCTAGGAGCATAAGACACCAAGAGACAGCAACCGCACTGGTCTCATGGCCGGCAAAATAGATGCTTTTGCAATTGTCCACGACGAAACTTTTGTAAGATTGTGTCTTGTCCTCCAAGCTACCATCACAACTACTCATAGCCCCTTCTAGTATCAACTGCATTAGATCCTTCTTGTGATCTCCCACACATTCCCTTTCTCTTTCCTTAACGGTTTCCCATATCAAAGACTCAATATGCCTCTCTAACTCATCAATCTTCCCGTTCCCATACTTCTTAGTCCCGAACACAACATCACTTGCAACCACAATATTCAACAACATTACATCCATTCCCAAAACTTAATTAATTTATTATACAGTAATATAGATAAATTATTTTAAATTTACTTACGTGAAGCCATTGAGGCTAAAGAGGATGTTGTTATGAGTGATGGCCTTTTGAAGACATCTAAGCTTAGAGAAAATCTCTTTGCCCTTGGTGAAGGAGCTCCCAAAGCAAGCTCTAGAGATAACATCAGCAGAAACAGCTCTTAGGTCTTCGTCCACTCTTATGTCACACACCATTTCTCCTTCTTTCACCATCTCTTCCCATTTGCTCAGCATTGGCATCGCCGATTCCACCACCAATCCCACCATTCCCTTGACTTTGTCAAGAAAGAACTCGGGGGCGATGATACGACGTTGATGGGCCCAATGAGGCCCATTAGAGGTGATAACACCACGGCCTAGAATGGATTTAAGGCGCTTGGTGACGTAAGAGACTTTTCCAAGGTTAAGAGTGTTGGCTTGGTTAAGTTCTTTCACCAATTCCGGGTGGTTCATGTACAAGTGTTGCTTCACCCCCGTCGAGTACGTGTACACTCTCCCTGAACAACATATTTATTCCAATATATTACTCATTCAAAATAAATATACAATAAATTCTCAAAACCAGTTCCTCTCAATCAACATAACTGATCATAAGCTATTAACGACACGCGTGCTAGCGAAGCGACAACTAACAACTTTGGACCTTTGGTATTTAAAAATAAAATTTAAATTATATCTTACGATTATTACTAGGAAAAAAAGGGAATCCAAATGAATCATTGAGAAGATATCATATAATTGAAGCTCTCCTAACTTTTGATCACGTAGACCCGATCGTACAAAACCTTATTGGCTTTTCATAAATTTTAAATTCTGCGGCGTTAGTTGTCATTAGGTGTCATGTCAATCCATGCATACGTTACATATACATAACACACCCACATATATTATATACGACTTAGCTGTCAATCAGTATTCACATATGTATGAATTAAAATTCACGTATGTTCTTACCAAAAAAAAAAAATCACGTATGCATGTAAATAGTGTATATATATGTGTAATGATATAGTCCTTTCGTTAACTATTTTACAAGATTTAATGAAGAGATATAATTAAGTTTGTTTTGTCTACTTCACCAACGGTCCAAAAAATGGAATCGTCTAATTCTAAACGACCAAAAGGGACTAATCTGCCTTGTGTGCTATCTTTATTCAAAATCAGAGGCGTATCTACTTTGTCTTTGTTGACAAAAAAACATTTGCCATAAAACCTAAAATTATAAGTCTAAAAAATTGTTGAAATTATGAGATTAAAGAGCATACCGTATTGTTTTCGCCAAAGGTCAAGGTACGGAAAGAGAGAAGAAGTATAGTCATGGGCGATGATATTATCACCGGAGTAGTGTTTAGAGTTACTCATCATTTGTGATTGAATTTTTTGCATCTCCGGCACGTTTCCACGAAATATCGACGGCGGAGGACCCTTCACGCCTTGCATCGTCAGCTTCCTCCGCACCCTCCATTGCTCCGCCATCACTTTACCGTAAACACGAATCCCTAAACATAACACTCCTATAACAACTATCCACGAAATGGTCTTGGCCATCTCTACCATCAAACTCTCCATTCTCCTCTCTTTTTTTAATGGTTATAGACTTATAGTTTCTAAACTCACGACTTTGATTTTTTTGCTCTTCTTTGGCTATATATATAGTCGACCACATTCTTATTGACCAAAGAGATTTTAAATCTATATATAATAGCAATCTAATAAATACCATTTGCACATCTGAACGGTTGCGTCTTTTTATCGCAACCTTTCGTTTAAATCGGTTATTTTTTACGGTTATTTTGGTTGCGTCTTTTTATCGTAATTTTTGTTTTAATCGGTTATTTTTTTTACGGTTATGTCGTTTCCAATAAATACCATTTGTACATCTGAAGGGTTGTGTCTTTTTATTGCAATATTTCGTTTAAATATTTATGGTTGTTTTTCTTACAGTTATTTTTGTACGGTCATGTTGTTTTATTGAATTTCTTTTTACGTAAACCAATAAACTACATATAAAATTGGTTTATTTCATAGTTTACATATGGATATATTTTTAATTTTTAAACTAAAATTATATTTTACGGGTATGTTTTTTTAGAAAATTGCAATCCGAATATCTTCTGCGGTTGCTTCTTTTTATTGTACCTCTTCATAAACAGTTGCAACCTTTTATTCGAATTATTGCAATATTTAGTTTATTTCACGAACAATTGCAACCTTTAGTTTATATCACAAACAATTGTAACCTTTGATTTATATATTTAGTTTATTTCACGAACGATTGCAACCTTTGATTTATATATTTTGTTTTGTATTTCACGAACAATTGCAACCTTTCGTTTATTTTACAAATTGCTATAACATCTAATTATCTACCGTCGCGTCTCTCGGTATAATTTTCATAAATTAATATTTTTAATTTTTAATTACCAAAATGCATTTAAATGAGATTGTAATCGTTTAATTGAACCGTTGAAATATTTGGTTTATTTGACCAATCATTGCAATTTTTGGTTTTGTTTTACGAACCATTGTAATCTTTAGTTTATTTGACGAACTTGACGAACCGCTACAACTTTTGATATATCGCAACATTTCATTTATTTCTTTTTAAACTAAAAAAATTATTTTACGTTATGTTTTTTGAGAAAGTTGCAATCCGAGTAAATATTTTTTATGGTTGCACCTTTTTATCGTAATTTTTCATAAAATGATTGCAGCCGTTTAGTTGAACCATTGCAATATTTAGTTTATTTCACGAAAAATTGCAATTTTAAGTTTATTTTATAAATCGTTATAACATTTAATCATCTACCATCGTGATTATTAATTTTCGTTTGATATATTTTTTAACGATTTTTGAAATATTTTCCCCCGCGACATCGCGGGGGTCCGGAGTCCTAGTAATTATAATAAATGTATATATGTATATGTAACGATGGAGAGTACTTTGCTTTTGATGAAATAATTGTAACATTCATAACTGTAGCCCATGTGTCTACCTATACATTTAATTTGTCTATCGGTCCATACACTAAGATACATACGCATAGAGTTGGAATGAAGTAGATAGTACTTTGCTTTTTGAGGTAAATGTTCAAATAATTAATGGTCCGTTATCTATATATGGTACATATATATAGAGTTACGTACGTAATAAAAACATGAAAATATGGAATCTCGTGTATATGTACTCTTTTTCTATCTTTCGGTCCCTCTTATTGTGTGTCTGTTGTAATTAATGCGGAGAAGTACAATTGTTTTTTTGCAAAAGAAAAAAGAAAGTAAAAGTTGGGATAATGATCGAATTCATAGGTTCGGATCAGATATCTCCCGAGAAAAAACCAAATTATTTATTTATGGAATTGTTCTGTGACTATGTCTTAAGTGAAGAAACATGATTTGTATTAACATTAATTAAGTAATTCATCAACATTATTTTTTGTAATATTTTACTAAGAGAGAATCACAATTTCTTGTCAATTAATTGTGTATAAAATTTTGTAATATTATATTTTAGATGTGTATAAAATTTATGTATTTGAATCTGATATGCATAATTCAACTAGTCATATATAGCCATAAAAAAAATTATGCGTATCAGATTCAAATACAGACATTTTATAGTAATTTTTCATTTTGATTTGATAAGACTTAAACTTAAATTATGCTTTTCAACTAAGAAAAAGAAGGACGAGTTTAAATATACGTACACGATAATGCTTCTTTAATTGCTATTTGAAGTATATTATTTGGGGTCTTACGAATAATTATGTATAATTATTATATATAACGTGGGAGGTGCGACTAGATACAGATTACACTAATTGAAGATAGCAACTAGGGACGTTCCAGCGTCACGTATTTGGAACTTTATGAAAAATATGGGAAAGTACAAGATCAAATTTATGACAAACTCTTAGGTGACGAACGTGATCGTAATTACAATTTGTTTTCGCAAAAGAGTTGTTTGATTTGTATGACTGCATTATGTAGACGTAGAAGGGCTGGTTCAATGATACTTGGGGTCTTGTGCGTTTAATACAAAATAAAAAATAAATAAAGATATATATCTTTCTTTTGTGTATTGGTTTTAATCTACTGAGTATATGAAAGATGTATTGGTAACTAAGCATGAAATGATCAATTATATGTCAAAAATGTAAAAGAAAGTAGATGAAAAGAATATCAAATAACAGATACTAATACAATGCCTCTCTTTAATGAACTTTGAAATTTAGCATGCCTCTAGTGCTTTAAAGAGCTTGAGGCACTAGTAATGTTTTTTGACAAATGGTTATAGTTTACTTGGTTTTAAAGATTTTCTTGGGAGAGAGATTAAGTTTTTGAACCCAAATTCGAATTTCAATTTGGGAGGGATTATTTATGCTTTAATAAATATATCCAAAAGGTTGTTCCGGACCAATAGAAATTATAGAACAAAAGCCTAGAGTTTCATTGTTAATCAATTGTTTTACGTTGCCTATAAATTACATTTACATTTTCTTTGTTTCGAAAGAAACTATAATCTTAAACATCTTAAGCAAAATTGAAGTTTTAAGTGTTAAAGTAAGTATATTTTATGTTGCATAAATTAATTTTTTTTTTGTTAAAGGCCTAAAGGGCTTACTAAACTAAAATCTTCGTTTGAAATAATTGAGATCTTAAAAAGATTTATATTTCTGGTTTACTAGTATACATGAAATAACTAACATCCAATAAACTTATAATAATTGTTTTTTTTTTTGTTAAATATACCATATTCTTACGTTTAAAAAACGTGATTTCATTATTTTTTAAGATTCAAAGAATTCATCATGTTTTATGTTTTTGGAAAATATTCTGCTATATATAACTAGAAGAAAAAAAAAGAAACGTCATTACTATATATAGTCTACTAGAGAGAAACCCACGCGATGCGTGGGATACTGATTAAAAATATAATTGCAAAATAAATAATACAATTATAGGTTTTGATGTCCTTCCAAATAATTATACATGAATTTGTTTGATACTTTAGTTATTCCTTTTGTTATCAGTTTAAGAATTTTGTTATAAAGAAAAGTAAAGTATGTATAGAGTGGCTAAAAATAGAAAGTATTGGCATATACATTATGAAATTTATTTCGAATGTAAAAATTAGTATGTAATAAACTTTTTCTGAAGGAAAAAGGTCAACAAAGAATAAAATGTAGACGTTTTTTGGAAAAGAAAAAATACCCATCTTCCAACGAAAAAATCAGTGATCATAATCTCAAATATTAGATTTTATCCTTTAACTCTATCATCATCTCCTCCTTTTTTTCTATAACAAAAGTGTAGATAAGGTTTGGCCATTAATTCTAATTTAAAAATGAGCTCGTCATGAAGTTTTTAACTTCTTTTTCACGATATGTGGTCCTTTTTCTTTGTCTTTAAATGCTCAAAAAAATCCTATATTTTGTCTTTGTTTTTTTTTTTTGATCATTCAAAGTTATAAGAAAAATTAAAATAGTTTAGAAATAGATAAGATGCTATATTATTTATTTCATATTATCCCTTCACTTTATAATTGCAAGACCTTATTATATTTTATTTTTGAAAATGCACTTTTTGGTGTGCCATTTTTAAAAAATGTCCCATTCTTTTGTGTATTTTCAAAAATACGTCTCATTAAACCTGAAAAGGTTTATGAGGTACTTCTGGATGGTAAGTATTACTCAAGCCTCGATCTAAGTATTTATAAGGTTTTATAACGTATTTATATAACATATTTATAAGATTTTATAAGATATGTATAGGATTTTATAAGGTATGTATAAGTTTTAATCATGTATTTATACATATACATGTAGTTTTGTATGCTTTTATAATGTTACATACGTAATTAGGTAAATCTTAGATTTTTAAGGAAATTTTAAAAAAGTTTTACCTAGATTGTATTTTTGAAAAGAGGTATTGGAAAAAAGCATTTCTAACAATTCCTAAATTTATAATGTCATTTTAATAATTTTATTACATTTTGCTTCTCGAATAGTATTCATTTATGTAATGATTTATAGTTAAATTAAATATGAAATAATATTTTAAAATAAACTACTATAAGATAATTTGTTGTTAATTGTTTAATATAAATTTGTGGGAAATAAGGTAAAATGTAGAAAAAGGCAACATTAAAAGAATACTTGATTTAGTGATATATGCGTTATAGAACATGTTGAGAATGTATTTTAAGTTTTTAAGTAAAATCTTCTTAAGAAAATAGAATGGCAATGATCTTATAAAAATGTATACGTACATCTTTCATTGTTCCATTTCAATTTGAATCTATATATACATTTTCGAAGTACAAATATGAAATAAATCTTTGAGTTGGCACTTATTTACAAGAGAATGTCATTGTTATAAATGTTTATCTATTAATTAATATTACAAATTATTTTCGAAACAATTTTTTAGAAATTGTGGCTTCTAAATATGGTAACAAATTGATTTTGTTTCTAAATTTGATTAATTGCTAATTTCCTAAAACTTCTCTACCTAATTTAAACATTAATATATGATTTTTCTTTCACTTTTATATGATCTTATATTTAATTTATTTTGAATTTATGTAAAATACATATAATTAATAAAATAATATATTTTTTTGCATATAATAAGATTGAAGATTTAAAAAACCGACATATATTACTCAATCGATGAAGAAAAAATATGTATTCAATGTCCCACATTGCTTAAAAATTTGGACAATGGTTCAGAGTCATATTATAAAAGAACCAAATGATTCTGAATACAAATGAGAAAGAAGCTTGATTTATCAGACGTCCAAAACTAAAATTGTTATCCAGTTTACTCCGGTTCCTTATTTTATTGAAACTTTTAAGAAATTTCTAAATATTATAAATATTTAAATTTGATTAAAACTTAAATATTATAGTCAATTAAACGTTTGTAAAATTCAACTTTATAAAACGTTTTAAATATTTATATAACTAAAACTTTTATAAAGTTTATAATATTTGAACTCTATAACAATTAAATATATATATATATATATATATATATATATAGATATATTATGTCAACCATTTAAAGCAAAGTTTTAAATTGACTCGAATTATATGTATTTTAAATAAAACTATTATTAAAAAGAAAATAACAAAATGCTGTTTTATTTTATGGGACGGAGTTATATGATGGGACGAGTTTGGGTCGATATTAATACGGGACGATGTAGCACGGGTGAAATCCTAGAATTAAAAATAAAAATATAATGATATTATCTTAAACACTAAACAAACCAAACAATATTAACATAACAAATATAACTTAAAATTTAAGTTTTTAGTTTTAAAAAATCAATCCGCAATATACTTCGGGGTAAAAAATTTAGATACAAAATAATATCAAATTATTATAATAGTCCATGATTATAAATGGTTGCCAATATTAACACTACATCACTTCTACACCTACAAATCTTCTAAGTACATGAATACAAATTAACACATTTAAGTAAACAAATACAACAACTCAAAAACAATAATCATATATTTCAACTATATTATTATAATATAAATAAGTAAATGAGAAATAATTATTTGGGATTTTTGTCAAATGTACCACATTTTTCAAATTTCTTAGCATCTCTACCATAATGGAAAATGATTTAGCACTTGTACCACATTTATGTGGTATTGTGATATGAAAAAGACGGTTTTGCCCTCGGCTGATGTGGCAGATAAAGTGTAACATTTAGGGACAAAAAACCTTTTCGGAAACAATAATCAAACGAAATATAAACATCAAACAAAATGAAAAGACCGTAATTATAGTTTACATACTAAAATCCAAGAACAATAAATTAAAATTGAGGGACAAAAACCAGCAAACATGCAAAAATAAGATGAAAATATGGAGAAACTCAAATTTCGGGGACAATTGTATGTAAACTTCTTTTTGTGTGCTCAATCTATGAATTTTGTCCCCGAATTTGAGCAAACAAAAGGAATGGCAAAATGGTCATTACACACCTCAATTGTGGTATGAGTGATAAATTGGCATGCAATGTGGTAGAATGAAAAAGAATTGGGCCAAATATGGTATACATGCTAATTTTCTCCAATTATTTTATAGTATGAATTTAAAAATCTAATAAATTATAAATTATTATATAAAATACAGAAAATACAATTTTGCTCCGCGGTGTACCGCGGGTTAAATCCTAATTCATTTGGTATTTGTGATTTTCCCACGATAAAATAGATAAAAAGTAAATATCACAGCTTTGAGGAATTTATATTATATCTTACCAGACCCGGCTCAATAAATTTTAACGAATCAATGTGTTATTTTTTTACTATTCATATTATGACAACATGAACAAAACAAATGCACAAAATAATTATTAGTCATCACTAACACCAATCTACAAAAAGAAATCATGTTTTAGCTAATCAACATGAAACTAAGAAATGCATTGTACCAACTGGATATCATGTTACTTTTTGCTGGATCATATTTTAAAAATATTTAAAAGTAAACAATACTTAAATGAGAACATACATATCCAAGAGCATAATTTCTTGACGATCCAACCTCAAATTCAGCAGTGTCGTTTATGTTCTACAACACAATTATTGGCTAGAATGAAGATAAGGCACATACTAAAATGAAGATGAGTGAGAAAAAAGAAAATGTAAATTTCAAATAACTAAATAAAAAAAGAAGTTAATTTAGAAACATAATCATTGCTTGAGCTGAAGTAGAGAGCTTCTTGTAGAGCATTGAAGAATGTTCCAGCCGTTAAAAGAACAACACGCCAATTGTCTAGATTTTATGAAATTGATTAAATAAGAGATTTGTAACATGAAAACGTAATGTGAAAAAGAAACGTAACGTAAAGAAATATAATGCTACGATTTTCATTTATTAGATAGAGTAACGTAAGGTAAAAAGAGACACTTAATTATAATGTCTAGAAATATATGCTTAGAGAAGAGAAGAAACGAATGTTCAGTTGTTTTTTTTGAAATTTATTTTGAGTAAATTTGGATAAATGCCCTATTTTTGACTTTTCTTTTGAAAAATATCCTATTTTTTTTGTTCTCTTTTAAAAACTATATTTTAATATATTAAATTACTGAAATGGCTTTAGTGAAATTTAATATTAATTAAAAAGAATTTATACGTAAAACAAAAAATCTATTAATTTAGTTTTGAAATTAATATTTGAAATAACTAACAATTTTAATAATTCTTATCTTAAATATTTCTTTAAAACAATCTAAAATCATTGTGAATTCACCTATCAAGTGAATCATGTTCCTACATTTGATTAAAATTTAATAGTTCATCATTACTTTTAAAATCTCTTGACTAAAATTACTTTTGATTGGATTTCTATTAGTTTTTGGTACTCCATCTCTAATCGATAACACATGTAAATAAAACAAAGAATATTATGTTAAAGCTAGAAGCCGTACATTGATACATGTATATTACATCATTATACCAATGTTAAGTCGTAATCTACGTTAACCTTGAAATTGGAGCAGACTTTGGAGTTGAAGAATTTGATTGTTACGTTGAGATTTTTTTTGTTTATACAATATTAAGGGATAGACTTTATAGACTTTTTAATATTTTTAGATATTATCTTATTAAATTTAATATATAAAATAAATAAACTATCTTTAGCTCAAAAAATAATTATAAGGATAATTAATATTATTTTGAATTTTTCTCTCAATTTTCGAATTTAGTTATAATTTTACTAAAAATACAGCTTTCAATTTAAATATAGACGGATTGTCATTTTACATATAAAAATTTGTAATTTTCAATAGAAATAGAAAAAGGGTATTTTCAAACGAAAACTAAAAAATAGGGTAGTTTTCAAAATCACCCTTTTATTTTCTACAATATAATTACAAATTAATCACCACTAATTACCATTAATTGGAGAGGGACACATGTCAGATGCATAGGATGCCAAATGGCATGATTATAGAGCTTCTTCAAAAAAACCTTGTCATATTATATGAGATTTTTTTTGTTTATACAATATTAAGGGATAGACTTTATAGACTTTTTAATATTTTTAGATATTATCTTATTAAATTTAATATATAAAATAAATAAACTATCTTTAGCTCAAAAAATAATTATAAGGATAATTAATATTATTTTGAATTTTTCTCTCAATTTTCGAATTTAGTTATAATTTTACTAAAAATACAGCTTTCAATTTAAATATAGACGGAATTGTCATTTTACATATAAAAATTTGTAATTTTCAATAGAAATAGAAAAAGGGTATTTTTCAAACGAAAACTAAAAAATAGGGTAGTTTTCAAAATCACCCTTTTATTTTCTACAATATAATTACAAATTAATCACCACTAATTACCATTAATTGGAGAGGGACACATGTCAGATGCATAGGATGCCAAATGGCATGATTATAGAGCTTCTTCAAAAAAACCTTGTCATATTATATAAGATAGTGATTGTTTTGGGTTAACTTTATCTAGTTTAGTGCTTTCCCTTATTCGATGAAAAATACATAAGCATATTAATAGCAAGAGATAAATGACGATAGACCAAGGAATAATAATATATGGATCGAAAACATGAGATTTGTCGCTATCTATAGCTCTTAGTTGCAATTTAGTGGTAAAGTATAATTGTATTCAATTTGTCGCTATTAGCAACAAACTTATGACGGTGAAGATTTGTCGTTTAAATAGAAGTTTTCTAACCGAAATAAATTATGAACGTTAAGAATAAAAAGAGCATCAGGAAAATAGGTGTAACAAAAAAAAAAAGATGTTAATAATGCGTATATTAATTGACAACAATTGTTTTGAAGATGTAGTTTTTAATCAATGCATATACTAGGAGATTTTTTCCTTCTCATCATGATATATATTTCTAGTATATATATTTCTTCTGAAATGTACGTATGTCATAATCACTCATTTGATGGTCAAAACCAATCTACATACCCATGTTTAGATATTAACAATAAATTTCATGGTTAGCCATGTATTATTATTTTTTTTTGTTGAAATGTGAAATTGATTAATCAACTAGAAATTATATATAGAGAGTTTGAAAGTATAAAAGCAAAAAGCTTAAGTAAAACAGTCCAAAGCTTAGGCAAAACAGAGCGTTGAAATGATCAAAACAGAGCACACAACCTTTATAATTAGCGACTAACTCTCGACCCGAACCAAAGCTGAAGCAGTCCGTGGGTGAAAGTAGCTCAGGAGCAGCTGTCCCAACATCAAAAAGGTACTGTTGTCGTTCCAATCGTTTTAGGAAAGTCGGCATTCTTTGTTAAAAGGACTTATACCATGAACAGGCTCTTTGCTTTGGGTCAATCATACCCGTTTACGATGCAACTATATATCGAAAGCCATTTGCACCAGGTTTATAAAAACTGGTCCAAAAGGACCAGACGAACTGCGCTTTCCCTTGCTTAGATGTTCGCCTTTATAAGCTAAGTCAAGAGGCCTCGTAACATGTTGGGGAAGAGTTTCGAACTAAGGGTCCGATCAGCATCAACTAGGTAATGCTTGTTGAGACCTCTTTTCTTTTCCCATAACAAATAGTGGTGTGGTAGTCGCAGAAAATTGAAAATAAATTTAACACGGATTATTAGTGGTGTGGTGAAATTCTTGTAATCTTTAATCAATTAGTTAATTTATCATTAACTAAAGTTGCATTTCTTAGTTATCTCTTGTTTTTATCATCATATGTTTGATGGGTTTTTTTTTGTGTATTTTACCGTTTTATATATTAACTGATATAAAATTGCATATATTTTTCCGCGAAATTAACCTCCAACCTTATCTCTTTCTTTTTGTTCCATAAACAAAAGAGTTAATTTCAAAACAGGCATTTGTTTCGCATATTTATTTTATTTTAGGCACATCTGATATGTCTTTACGAAAAGAGGTACTCCCTCTCATGTGCAAAGTCGTTTCTACCCTTACAGAGATGATGTTGCTCTTTTTTTTTCTCAAACAGATGAAGGATCACGAAGGAGCGGTGGTTGAGAGCGGTGACGAAAAGAACGATTCCGCCGTTGTACCCTCTACCGCCGCTTCCGGCGAGAAGATGACGAAGCATAAAGGTTTGATTTCGCGTATTTGAAATGCGATATTTAGGTTTAGAGATGATGATTTCGATTAGAGACTTAAAAATATCTCAAAGGAATTGAATGAAGCGTAGATCGATTACAAGGAAGAACTTAATTAGAAACCTCATCGCTTTCTCTGTCTTCTTTGATTGTCACCTCTTCTTCTTCCTCTGAACAAAGGTTATGCCTTTGTTGCTTATGTTAGTAGCAAAAGTTATTGATGAATGCAATTGAAATTTTTGTGTTTCTGTGTAGTGAAAGCAGTTCATGAACAGTTTTGCTGTTTGTGCATACAGGTGATAGCCATGATTCGATTGTTTTGGTTGGAGGTCACGATGTGGAACGGACTCGATTCCAGATCCATACAGATCTAATCTTGGCGAGTCGATTTCGTAGTTAATATCTGCAAAATTTGTTCGTGTTGATCTGGCGAAGAGACATTGTTATCTTTCTGGAGATGTATCCAATATCAGCGTCTAGAGAAGAGTTGGCTGAGATCGAAAGACAAATCAATGACATATTCTGTGCTTTATCGTGAGAATAAATCTCTGTAGCTTTTTATCCATTTGTGATTTGGGAGTTTTCATGTTTATGTTGTTCTCTATATAATGTTATGATGTTTGGTTTCTCCATAAATGGATTCCATAATCTGTAGAAGATCAAAGATGGTAAAAGGAGTTAACATTCTCTTTTGTCCCTTTTTCTTTGATTAATTCTGGTTTTCAAATTTTGATTATTTGATGATGATGTGCCACCTTCTTCTTTGCAGCCTTATTACAGATTTCGATAGGGAGGTGAAAAGCTTTGAAATTGGTACTAATGCCAAGACTAACAAGATGTTGAACTACATACAACAATCTATGGTATGCATTTATTCTTCTCCTTTTGATGCTATTACTCGAGGTCTATTTAATGTTTTCTAATTTCAGGTGGTGTTGTGTTTGTGCAGGTTAAGGAACTCAACTCATATGTTGCTCTTAATAAGAAATGAGTGATACTTTGCTAATTGCTCAACTGATGTTCATAATAATGTCTACAAGTATGTCATCCACTCATGAATTTTTGTCTCTTTTTGAATATTATAACATTTTGAACCTCTGAATCATTTGAATATTATATGTGTAGTTTCGTGTGGACAAACAACAGTTTTTGTGGTATAACGTTTTGATTCTTTAAAATTTTGTAACTTTTTCATGCATTGCGTTCTGTCGATTAACTGTTTGGGTTTACAAGTCCAGTTCTAGGGTATAGCGTTTTCACTTCTTTACATATTTTATACTTTTCTCGCACGTTATATTATATAGCATACTGTCGTTGAAATTGTTTGGGTTTAGTCGTCCAAATCTAGGGTATAGCGTTTTCACTTTTTAAGATTTTTAACAAAATTCTATTGAGGATGCAAACAAAGCTTCCAGTTTCCGGCTTATTGGAAAAGGGTATAATCGTCCGACTGTGGCCACTTTGTTACAACTGTTAACTTCTACTGTGCAAAGTGCCTATTTTGAAATAATTGTTTTCAAAGCGCCTCTTTTAACAATAAGCTCTAAACAAAATGTGCACACAGATACCTAAAGGAATGTTTAGAGTACTACTAGACTTATATGATGAGCACTAATTATATCCAACAAAGCATCAAAATCAATATAATAAAATATAAGTAAAGAAAACGAAGCTAGATATGATTCGTAGATGTCTCACAAAGTCATCTATATACAGATCAATACATCAATGAAGACAGAAATATATTCGTATCTAACATTGATTCACAACCAGATCTCGAATAATTTCATGACTTTTTTTGTTGTATGAATAAATAAATATATTCTCTGGCTTCCCAGTAAATGTATGAGCCTCTCCCACGTACATGGAAGCGAATCTCTCCGGCAAGCACAAATCAATATCTCTCTCTATCAATGGCTTGCGTACATCAATCACTTTCACATCCACATGTTACAAGTACAACTTACAACTATCATTATATGTATAACATGTGCATGCATGTACGTTCGATATATTATGCCAAAAAAAAAGTTCAATTACCATATATGTATATATGTGCATGCATGCATCATCATCATGCATATATATTTATTCTTCACGTGATGGAGTCGTGATGAACAAGAGATGACCCTTTGGCTTAACCAACAGGTTGTTTACGAATTACGATCAGTGAAAGGAGAGTAAACTTGAGATGCTTTTGCGATGGTGGAAAATAGAATATATATTTTACAAGAGTGTACTTTTATTCATACGATCTAAGTGGATTACTTGCACATGATTTCCAATTTCGAAGAATCTATTTTAAAACTAATAATCTAACTTGCTTTTTGAATTACTTTTTCTAGAGTATGTAGATTTAATTTGAGGGAATCATCTGTACACTATATATGATTTAGGAGCAAAATAACTTTTCTAAAATGTATCATGGGAACTTTTTTTGTCAACCCATTTCTTTTAAAATAAAACCGGTACAAGAAACTTAAAAGGTAAATTCAGAATTGGGAGACACTAACCTTCTCAAAACCAACATGTTAAACTTCTTTTATAACTGTTTTATATTGACACAAAATATCTAAGAATTGAGATGATTAGGGTACCTTGTGTATGTGTGTGCAACATGCATATACGCAGGACCGGCCCAACGTGATATGATGTCAAAAGCAAAAATAAATTTTTGGTCCATCATAAACCAAATTGAAAAAATTGGAAGGTTTGAGAGTCAAACTCTTAACACTATGAAAGAAAAACAAGGACTTAACCACTCTGTCACAACAACTTTTATTAAAATGATGTCCCTATTTTCTTTTATAGAGATTTGATGTCTTAAACCCTTGTTTCACGGGCTTTAGCTCAGAGTCGGACATGTATATACATACATATAGAAGTATTAAAAAAGTAACATACAGTTTTTTCATTATTTTGAAATGTATAACATTGATTTAAAGAAAAAGGAGAAGTGGTCATGGTAAGTAAAGCTGAAAATCAGAACGAAAACTATAATGATTACAAAGGACATGGCTGTAGTAGAAGCGCTAGGTTGGAGAGGAATTACTATGATCTAGCCAACGAACTAGGAGGTCTCCATTTACTGGTTAGAGCGTAATGCAAATAGCTGATGCGGCTGCGAGCACATACTTTTCTCCGTATTGTAAAAATGTCTTCTTAGTGTAGTGGCAAATGATGAATGTGGGCAATGCTACGATACCAGTGTTGGAACCATAATGCTGCATATTTTTTTTTCCCCATTTTTAACGTTTTTTCAATAAACTAAAACGGTAAATTTTTATCTTACGGCCTTTTAAAACTCAAGGCGAGCTCTGCTTGGTTGCAGTGTTGGTCAAGTGGAGCAATGTATGGCTGCCTTGCGGGTGTGACATCTTCAATTCCGTTCAAGCCATACATAGTAGATTGGAAGTAGAACATAATCTTGTTATTGGAAGCGGCTAGCCATGGGGGCACTAATATACGGCCTTTAACCAGTAGCCCAAACTAAAATATAAACTAGTTTTAGATTTAACTTTTTACTGGAAAATATTATCTAGTCTGTATTCTGTAATATAAACCGGTTGAAAAATCAAAATGCATCTTCGTAATAGAATTTAATTAGCTGTTAGTCAATGTGACTAACATTAACAACATGGCAGATCACAAAACCTTGACACATTGAGAAATAATAGACTCGAATTTCCTAGCTTTATTTCGTCAGAATTTTGATTTTATTAACTCGAATTTCATAGTTAGAAAAATTAAATGGTCGTGAAAATAAAATAATTAAATTGATATTTATAAATTGTATATTTATAGTATGCATTGATGCACCTCTGTTATACAATTTTTTGTGTATGTCAATGTTATAGATATGCATGAATATCTTTAAATGGGTCCAAGGTTTTGAAAGTGCATGTTTACTTTACTTGCCTAATAATAATAATATCAAGGGAGAAATATCCGCAAGTTGACAATCCATAAATTTTTTTTTGATAAAGAACAATCCATAATTCTCTTTTCAAGTTGTCATGTCTCCTCCAACTCCATCAAAATATTCTCATAATCTCATTCATATATTGTCACACAACTCAAATAATGCTTTGAAACAAGTACTCAGCTTAAAATTAAAATTAAAATTACTTGCCTAATAAAAATTAGCCCACACGGCTGTGGTCTAGTGGTAAGGGAGAATTGGGGAAATGTTGGAAAGAACTAACCCATGTTCGATCCACCCTGGAAACAAAAATCACATTTGTGTGGGAAGTCTGGACTTGGGCCTTGGCCCAAGCAATTCACATGGTATCCGGGATCAGGCTAACTGGATACCCCGGGTATTAGTCGGAAAGCATTCCAAACTTGGGGTTAGGCAGTGTGGTAGTCCAACACCTAGGTGTTGGCGACGAGTTCACATGGTAGCACTTCGGTGCGTTCCCCCCAGGGCTGACCGGATCAGCCGATCGGGTATATAAAAAAAAAGGGAGATTTACTCAGATGTTATACATTTTATATGAAATTACCAGAAACATACAGATCTTTTTTTTATTACTATCATATTTCGGGTATATTTTTATACCCAGCGTGCCCCTGTTAAACGTTACAGGAAAAAACGTAATTACAAAGAATGCCACTGCCACGTCAGCAAAGCCGCGTCGCCACGTCAGAAATCGCTGACGTGTATTAATGAACTCAGCCGTCGAGCGATATAGCGGCAGTGACGGCTGAGTTACGGTATGTTGCGGCTGATTTAAGAAAAATGGCTGAGTTATGAGCAAACGGCTGACTTACGAGTATAACCCAGCCTGGAGTTACGGCTGACTTACTGAAATCTGTCTGAGTTATGATAAAATGGCTGACTTTCGAGCATAACCCAGCCTAAGTTACGGCTGAGTTTTCACCCGATGGTTGATTTGTCAAATTTTTGGCTGACGTTGACGGCTTAGTTATGGGATGACGTTACGGCTGATTTATGTTCGAGTATCATAAATCAGCCGTAATGAGCTGGATTAACGGAAAACTCGGCCTTATTATGGCTGACTTAGTAGCGAAAGATTAATTACTAGAATAGCATGCAATGACGGTCGACTTATTAAACGACACGACTGAGTTAAATATTTTTGGTTGAGTTACGACAGTAAACGGCTGAATTTGGCTGCCGTTTTTTCGTTTTTTAATTACTGTAATAGTATTCATGTTGCGGCTGAGTTAAAGTTTTGTTTGATGGCTGGTTTAATTAAGCTGATTTACATTTTCGTTTGGTGGCTTACTTGCCACTTCATCAATTAAAAAATGACGTGGATACAACATTCCATGTCATCATTCCATGTCATCATCATCAAAGGACAAAAAAATAGGGCCAAATTTTTTCAACTCGTCTTCTTCACCTGAGTTTATCACATCACCGGAACTTCCAATTCCTCATCGTCTTCCTCATTCTTCTTCAATTTCTTTCATCCTTCTCCCGATATGGTTGATCCGGTTCCGGTAATTGGGTATAAAAACACAAATACGTATTTAACACCGATGAAAGAGGGTGTAGAGTTGTGCAGATAGATGCGAAAACAACGCACGAAAAACTTGTGAAGTTGGTGCTCGATGATAAAGTTAGAGGAAATGTTGCGTCTCTTATTGTTTCGCTGCAAATTTACATGTCACGGCTGAGTTATATGCTTAAGGGAAGACGAAAGGTTCGGTCAATTTACATGTCACGGCTGAGTTATATGTTCCAGGGAAGACGAAAGGTTCGGTAAAATTACATTACGGCTGAGTTATATGCTTAAGGAAAGACGAAAAGTTCGGTCAATTTACATGTCACAGCTGAGTTATATGTTCCAGGGAAGACGAAAGGTTCGGTAAAATTACATTACGGCTGAGTTATATGTTTAAGGGAAGACGAAAGGTTCGGTAAATTTACATGTCACGGCTGAGTTATATTCTCCAGGGAAGACGATAGATGGGTGTAAATTATATGTTACGGGTGAGTTATATGCTTCAGGGAAGACGAAAGGTTCGGTAAATTACATGTCACGGCTGAGTTATCATTCAGGGAAGACGAAAGGTTGTGTAAATTATATGTTACGGCTGAGTTACATCACGTTACGGCTAAGTTACATCACTTTACGGCTGATTTATAATACAGATCGGAAAGCAACATTTTTTTGGAGAAGACAATATGAAATTTATTGGTCAAATAACAACAATCAAATTAAGATTCGTAAAAATATGTTTGAGGGATACATAGGAGGAAGACTAAACCGTATGAATCAAAACATAGATAGAAGTAGAAATGTCTCCAAATAGATCGATTGAGAGGAAGATTAAACGAGAGACATGTAAAATCAAAGTAAAAGAGTAGCTATTCTTGATTTCAACTCAAACATGTAACGAATCATGTAGAATTCCATAGATCTCTTTGTTTTGGGTTTTGATTTTTGATGACTTTTTTCGTGAGCGTGGTTGCGAGTAGATCTGACGAAGCTTTTGATTTGGGACCCTATGGCAAGCGTTGTGGCTGTGAGGTCTAGGAAGATCCAGCCCAATCCTGCAATTTGAAGATCTCTGTCAATGTTGTACCCAAGTTAATTGCAGATTATTAGATCTAAAAGCTTTTCTTGGATTTGAAGACAAAAAAAAAGAGAAGAGGAGAAATGATCTAAAAGCTTTTCTTGGATTTGGAGACAAAAAAGAGAAGAGGAGAAATAACGTGAGTTTGAGGAGTGTGAGATTGGTGATGTGGATTAATGACATGGATAATCAAATTTTTATTTATTATTTTTTAATTAAAAACGAATTAAAAATTATTAATTAAAAAAAACTAATGAAGGGTGTTAATTGTAATTACACAAATGCTCAAAACATATGAGTAATTTTTAGAAAATGTATGATATTCTAGTAATATTCGAACTTTTGGTTAACATTTGAGTAAATATTTCCAAAAAAAAAAAAAAAAAAAAAAAAAAAAAAAAAATCTTTCCTCGATCAGTTGAAGTTTTCGATCGTTAACAAGTAATCACGACTAATATTATGTATTTGTAAGTTGTACCTCAATTTTTGGATATTATAACGCGAAAACTAACATAATCCAAGAATAAGAGCGAATCCATCTTATATATGGTTTAGTAATGTTTATTCATTTAAAGATTGTAGATATGGTTTATATAAATGTTCAAATACTAGGATATGACCCGCGGTACACCGCGGGTTAATTATTTGATTTTTTTAATCATTTTGTAAACTGATGAATTTATTGTGTATAATATTATTTGTTGTATACCACGGATCACATGCGTTGTAACTAAAAAATAAAAATTTTAAGTTGTATTTGTTTTGTTTAGTGTTTAAGATTGTATAATTGTATTTTGATTTGTTAATTCTAGGATTTCACCCGTGGTATATTGTCCCGTATTAATATCGACCCAAACCCCTCTCACTATATATTCCCGTCCTGTGAAATTAAACATCATTTTGTTATTTTTTAATAACACTTTTATTTAAAAGATATATAATAAGGATCAATTTAAAAGTTTGCTTTCAAATGGTTTCCATAATATATATATTTTCAAATTAGTGTGTGTTTTTGGACCAACCCGTAAAAACAATTTATAATTTTATCTTAAAATACTAAATAATTGTATTTTGATTTGTTAATTTTAGGATTTCACCCATGGTATACGGTCCCGTTTTGGATAATTATAGAAATTAAGGAAAGATCCGAATGATTCAATTCCGGGTCAGAAACAAAAAATGACCTGATTAAATGCGCAAATTTGTTTCTTCAAAAATGTTAATATATATTACACACAACTTTTTTCTTCATCGATTAAGTAATATATGTCCGTTTCAAAAAATTTGAATCATAGCATATGCAGAAAAAAATCTAAGGTTTTATTAACTACATATATTTTATAATAATTCAAAATAATATAAATATAAGATCAAATAAATGTGAAATGAGAATCATATATTTATGTATAAATTAGGTAGAGAGGTTTTAGGAAATTAGCTCAAATTTGTTATATTAGCATTAAATCATTATATTTGATTTCCTTATCTATAAAAATCGTAAATAATATACCATAAATAAAGAGTTTATATATAGTAATTAGTTGAGAAAATATATATATTTTAGATTTTATTAATTAATTTTGTTTTTAAATTTTGCCAAAATTTAAGGAAAGATCCGATTTAGATTTCCGGGTCAAAATTGAAACAAAATCCGACCCGATTAGGATCTCTTAAAAGTGTTGCAAAAATGTATAGAAGATTAATTAATCTGACCATTTTGCAATTGACATGATTAAAAATGAAATATATTCCCTTCCAACTATGGATACAAATAAAATCTAGTTGTGGAATATTAAAAAGTAAACCCATATATAATTTACTGTTAACGGCAAATCATTATCCAATAGCACCTTCTAAAAGACACATATACCCCTGGCTCAGCGTAATAAGAAATGGCCATGTGAAATTCATGGGCCCGAATAAAACACACAGCTGGGCCCTCTTAATATTCCTAATTCCAAATAATCAAATAATTATGTTTTCTTTTTGTCTCTCCCAAATATGATGTCGATCAAATTATAAGTTTATAACCATTTACATAAGGCCAGAGTTTTGAGTATTTTCGTTGCAGTGTTCTAAGAGCACCCACATCGGTCATTTATATATGGGTGTCTTTAAATATAAACTAATTAAAAAAAAGAAAAATAAAGTGGAGAATGTTTTTAATTTTAGATTTGTGTTTTCGAGACATTTTATACCCAAAAAAATGAGTATCTTTAATTTTAACATTAACACTTTTAAATTATTCATAAAATCTTCAAACTTTCATTGTGGGACAGTATATTGTAATAGTGTTGTTTGTAAAAGGCTACAACTTTTATTGTTTATCTTTTATAGGAAGTCGTGTGAAGTTCTGGTGAAATCTCTCAATAGTTTGTTGCTCAATGGTGAACTCTCAATATAATTTGGATAATTGGATCCAACCTAATTTCATTGGTCATTGTTTGTTTTTTTGTTTCTCTTTGAAGTGGTCTTTGTATATAGTTTGAAATTTTGATCATTACTAGTTTGGATTTCTTTTCAGAGACAGGCGACACTTGATAAAATATTTTAATTTTTAAGTTCTTTTTTATTTCACTTTTCATTTGTAACATCATAATTTAGAGGTATTTTGATCATCTCCAACTTCTCGCAACACATAAATTCACTATCGTTTTTACCATACACTAAAATTTCCTAAAAATTTATATCCATAATTTGGCAATTTAATCTCATACCTAGTATATAATTTATAAACACCAAACCCTTGTCAACCACTCGAGATGTTTTGTGGGTAAAATGCTTATTCCCTTGGAATTATGATAAATCACCAAACTATTTTAGTATTTTGTGGGTAAAATGCTTATTCCAAACCGCTTGTTGTGTAATCAATATCATTTTGTAGTTTCTATGTATTTTACTAGAGATTGGCCAAAATAACTTTCTAAACAAATCAATAAATTTATCGATTTTTATAGTTGTCTTTTGCCACCAAATTTTGAAATTATCTTGATTAAATACTTTTTACCACAAAAATTCAACTTCAATGACATAAAATTCCATATCAAGATTACTTAATCAAATATCGACAGCATAAAAGATTTTTTTAGCATGTTATAATTTCTGATCCGAAGAGATTATGAAACTAAGATCCAAGAAAATTTGATTCTCCAAAAAAGATTTTATAAAAATAAAGATAAGAAAATCAGGGTATATAGCATGTAAATGCAAATAAAACATATTGGGAAAAACATTATTAAATATCTTCGAAACATTATGAAAATCAAGGTGCATGATCAAAGCAATGTAACGTATCATGGAGATTCCGTGACCCACTTACCTTCAAATTAGTTTTATAATAATAATAAAAAAGGAAGAGAAATAACACTTTGTGAAATATTTATAACATCTCTCTCTATTGTTCTCTGCCAGTACTATAAATAAACTCAAACACTCTTAAGAAAATCAAACTAGCTTCACAAAAAAAAAACAAAACAAATCAAAGTATAAGCTTCACAATATTCAAGCTTCTTCTACTCTGTTCTTTAACAAACCCAAGAAAAACAAAAACAATGAAGCAATTTCCAAGCATAAGAGGAAACATAGATGAGAAGATGATGACAAGAATGGTGGAGTCTCAGACACGGTCTCCGTGGCATACACCGGTTCCTTACCTATTCGGTGGTTTAGCCGCCATGCTTGGACTCATAGCCTTCGCTCTCTTGTTACTCGCTTGCTCCTACTGGAAGCTCTCGCGGGGGACAGAAGATGAAGAGAAACAGACGGAGTCCGGTGAGAAAGTGGTGGCTAAGGTTTTTGAGGAGAAGATTCTTGTGATCATGGCTGGACAAAACAACCCTACCTTCTTGGCCACTCCAGTCGCCGCCAAGATTTGCTTGGAGTGTGTAAATATGGAGAAGAAAGTAGGGCAAAATGGGGAATCAACAGAAACAGAAGAAAACCTATGAGCTCTGGAGTGTACTTTTTTTGTTTTTTGGTTCTTGGATTCTCTGTTTTTGTCGGTTTGTTTGTTTGTTTGTTTGTTGGGGAAGTAGTTTTCCTCTGTTTTAATCGACCTTGAGATTGTAAATCTTCATTAGAGTAAAAAAAAAAAGTTGACAAATTTTCGGGTTTCTATGTATAAATGTTGGTATATGAATATATTTTGCTAAATTGAAGTTATCATTGTTTTGATCATTATGGCAACTTAGTTTTAAAGATATATGCACCTGATATAGCCAAATTCTATAGATTATTTGTAAAAGCTAAGAATTTAATTAAACCACATTTTCATAGCCGAGTGGCTACCACTTAAGTTAGATGATCATATATTTTTGGTCGAGGCCAGAGATTGATGATGTCTATTGAAGATGTCTTTGATGGTAAAAATACTTGATTTTTATTGGACCTAAAATTAATCTGCGTGACCCCAGTTAAGAAAAAAAAACACTAATCAATTTCGTGATAGTAAAATTGTAATCCTAGCGCCGGCGGTTTCAAAATCCACATTATCCAATCCACGGCTGATTGGCACCCTCGACGGATCGAAGATCGACGGTGAAAGAAACCGGTTTTCGCCATCGATTTCTCCCCTCCGATAGACCATCGTCCACACATATGTCAGGTCATTTTGCGACCAAGTATCAACAAGGACCGAATTCTTTTTTCTTAAAACCTAGACAATATCATCATGTCAATTTTTTGTAAAAGTAATCATAATTCTAACTCAATCATTTGCCCCTATTTAATCTGAAAAATAAAACCACTCCTTTTATTTGTTTCTATAAATTTATGCAATGTTTAAACTTTGTTAGAACTGATTTTCGTATCTTTCAAGTCATCTAGTTTAAGAATAGTACAAGAGCAAGTACGATACGATCAATTTATTGATTTTTTTTTTTTTTTTTTGAATAGAATGTAAAATTTATTCAAAAAGAAAACGTTTTGTACAAAGAATTGCAACTAGTTTAAACAATTTCTATGACTATTTTCAAAGATTAAAAGAAAAAAGTAGAAAGATTATTCTATCGTGTTGCAAACCATGTCGACAATCCTTTGTCGAATCGAGTATCTCCCAAGGCTCGAATCGTCGAAAGTCTATTACGCACTTGCTTGTCAATGAACTGAATTAGCTTAGAATGGTGAGTCGTCGGTTCTCCATGTCGCCTACCATTTCTCTCCCGCCAAATTGTATGTATTGAGATTTGAAATACATACCTCAAGAGGAAAAGGCGGAGAGCATCTTGTGCATTATCAACCAGGAACCCAATTATGCAATCCCATTTTACCGTGAACGTCGAATCAAAGAGCTTATGAGTAAGACTTCGCCAAACCTTTGCTGAGTATGGACACTCAAAAAAAATGTGGTTCCGAGTTTCCATTGGCTCTGGGCAGAATGTACAAACCGTTGGAGCACCCATGTTCCAACCAACCATTCGATCACCCGTCGATAATCTATTTTGAATTGCAAGCCATGCCATGAATGAGTATTTGGGAGTTGCATGTGTGAACCAGATTCCCTTATACCATTCTTTTATTGGCTGCAATTCTCGAGTTAGATACCATGTTTCCTTAGAGCTGAATCTGGGTCTGAATTTGTCTCCTTTATGTTTCCATAAAATCACGTCTTCTTCTTCCGAAGAGCCTCGTTGACGTTGAGAATCAATTGCTGCTTCAATATTATTCAAAAAATCCACTCTATGAGTTCGGCGTCTATGAGTGGCCAGCACATTTTCGACGGTCGAAAATATAGGTATCCCCAAATCTCTGCTACCTCGTGAACCTGTGATGTCAAGTAATCTACCCATTGGTGACCAGTTATCAAACCAAAATGACGTGGATGCACCATTGTAGACTTCTATTCTATTCAAAGGTGCAGCAATATCTCTGTATTTCAGCAGCTTCTTCCATGTCCAAGAACCAAGAGATGATGTTTCTTTAACCGACCATAAAGATCCTTTGCGTATTAAGTACCTTCGAACCCAGTTGACCCATAGAGAAGAGTGAGCAGATAAAATTCGCCAAATAAGTTTCAAGCAGCTCACCTTATTAGCTTCAGAAATCGAACGTAATCCCAAACCCCCTTCTTCCTTTGGTTTGCAGACATCTTACTTTATTGATTTTACTTTGCTCGTAACTCATTTATTGATGATGACTCGACTCCAATGGTTTTTGCCACCGGCATGCTTTTATCGGTTGGCGGAAAAAAAAAAGCACTTTGAGAAAGAAGACGATGACGTCATAATATGGACATGTGTCAGTTCATAAATTGGCTTCAAAGAGTTTCAATATGTTTGACTTTGGAACAGTTGTTGTATGAGTTTGGTCTATTTGCTGCAACTACCTGACGCGGCGATGCGACTCTGCAACATCATAATTAATGCAACGCTCATTTGAATCAAACTTTCACTAATCAATTCAATTACACATTTTTCATGATATATGATTCTGACCGTTTTCAATATTGTTATTTTATTTTCTCTTTAAATTTAACTTTTGCTTTTCTTTTTCTAATGATGAGTTTTGTAGGTAATGTCAAATGTGTGTTCCATCGCTCAAGCTCGTTAGAGACGAGCAATGTTCCATGGTTAGATTCATAGTCTCTCCGTTTCATATTAAGTATTGTTTTAACCTTTGAATTTTATTTTAAAATAAGTGTCGTTTTATGTTTTCAATACAGATGTTTGGTCTAATTTCCAGTTTTGTCTCTACTAATTTAATGTATTGAACAATAAAAAAATAAAAAAATATATAGATAATGGGTAAAACAGAAAATTTAACTGTGTTCTTAATATGTGTGCAAAAACCTTAAACGACACTTATTATGAAACAGAGGGAGTATGATCGTATCCATTAACTTTGATAATATTCTTTCCGTTTTTTATAATGTTTTAAGAAAAAAGATTTAAAACTAAATGATGTTTTCAATTTTCAATGCAATTTTTTTTTTTTGGTTTGACAATTTATACTTTTACATAGATAGTAAATAATATTTTAGTTTAGAAATAAAAAAAAAATTTAATGATTAACATTTTGTTAAAGGATCGAGCTTTGATAGTAACTTGAACATTGAAAGGTCTTTTTTTTTAACACATTGAAAAGTTTTTATGTATATATATACAAGAACAATTTTTCCAACACCTAAATGGCCAACTAATACATTGTTACTTTTGTTAATTTTTTTAAAAAGAACACGTACAATTATACTTATCTCTTTTTCTCTCCCGATAGCAAAATCAATGATGACTACTCTTGCATAGAAATTTGTTTGTACGTGTTCAGTGCCAGATAATTTGGTTGCCTAGAAGCAGCCTCCATTTGCTTCACTTCATCCATCATCGTTTTCGGGTCAACAATAATTTGTCTTGCAATTTCTATATCAAGGTAGAGGGACTACCACGATCACCACAACCGACGGCCCCAATTCAAGATATATTCCCAGATATAGAACAAGAACCTGAGACAAGCAGCTAATAAAGAATCAGAAGTGGAGTGATGTCCTTCAATGTCAAAATTGCGATCGGTTTGTATGCATTTGATGATGACTACGATATCATTATGGACGTAGAGATTGTTAAAGGCTGGGTTCTAAGGATAAAAACTCTAAGACACCTTACATTGATGGTGTTGCCTTTGTCAAATTCAAGTTTGATTACATGCACCTTTAGAAACAACAAGGCAACATTAAGTAAGTGAATAAACTCTATAATGAAAATTCAATAATTTGGGTGTGGACTTATTTAAGACAACTATTGTTTTGAGTTTAAAAGTGACTAAAGTCTGTACTATTTTTATATTGGATATTTGTGCTTTATGACTTATGTTTGAGCTTTAAATCTAACACTAGGAAAACATCCAAATGAATCTTACATAATTTCAAAATTAAAAATAAAAATGGTTCTGACCAACCAATAGAATTTTAAAAATTCAAAGAAAATTTTGATTTGACACAATTAAAAGAAAAAAAATATAATTATTCACACAATGATAAATGAGTCTTAAATAATTCAAAAACAAAAATAAAAATTCAAATAAATAATCTAAAATTAATTAAAATATTAGTATTAAAAAAAAGTATATAATGATCTTATATATTCTTTTTTACACATGTCAAAATTTGATTTGACCAAACTTTATATAATAAGATAGTAAAAAACTATAATGTCTCTTATCCATGAGTTATGTGTGGAATAGTTACGGCGCAGTTAACCATCTAATTTTGAAGAGGTATTTTTGATGAATATCTAGGGATTTCTTTGTTGATGAAAGTGCCAAAGTGGTATTGTGACTTTAGCAAATTGAGAAATAAATTTATTGGGCTGAAATAAGCAAAATAGGGAACAACAAAAAACATGCGGAATATATCAGTAATAACTAGTACTCATGGTCCACAGAAGCCCATAATCAGCCCACTAGTTACCGACCTACCCACCGGCCATTTACTTTATCCTCCTCAGTCACAGTCTCGTCTCCATTTAAGTTTGCTCCTCGTGGCGGTGGTCCTAGAACTCATCTACCCATACTTCTTCACCATTTTTTCAACTTTATTTTGCAAAAGAACCACTTTCTGTGACAGCTTATAAATCATATTAAAAACCATAGACAAATTTGCTACGCATTATTTGGCAAAATAAAACACCTGTTGCCAAATGTCGACGATCCAGAATTATGAATACAAGTATCAATAAACCAAAAAGCATGATTACAAAACTCAATTTTATGCAATAGTCAGAACTATAATGCCAAGTAATTTCATCTCAATGAAATAAAATTAGGTTGTTTGGCTAAGATTTCACCACGTGTCAACATTTCATTCGATCTAGATGGATACCCATGGACCCCACATGGATAGACTCATTGACACGCTCATGTGAAGACATAGTAACACCAACCACAAAAGAAAGAGAAAGAGAGAGAAACACTGAAACTTAGAGAGAAGAACCTAGAGAGAGAAAAATGGCGTCTAAGCTCTGCGATTCGTGCAAATCGGCGACGGCGGCGTTATACTGCCGACCAGACGCAGCGTTTCTATGCTTAAGCTGCGATTCTAAAGTCCACGCGGCGAACAAACTCGCGTCACGACACGCGCGCGTGTGGATGTGTGAAGTGTGCGAGCAAGCACCGGCACATGTCACGTGCAAAGCAGACGCGGCCGCGTTATGCGTCACGTGCGACCGTGATATTCACTCTGCTAATCCGTTAGCTCGCCGTCACGAACGCGTTCCCGTTACTCCGTTTTACGATTCCGTCTCTAGTGACGGTTCCGTTAAACATACCGCCGTTAATTTCCTTGACGACTGTTACTTCTCCGATATAGACGGTAACGGAAGCCGTGAAGAAGAGGAGGAAGAAGCTGCTTCGTGGCTGCTTCCGAATCCGAAGACTACGACGGCACCGACGGCGGGGATGGTTGCTGTTACTGCAGCTGAGGAAGTTCCGGGAGATAGTCCGGAGATGAACACGGGTCAACAGTATTTGTTCTCGGATCCGGATCCGTATCTAGATCTGGATTACGGGAGTGTTGATCCAAAAGTGGAATCGTTGGAGCAGAATAGCTCCGGTACCGATGGTGTTGTTCCGGTGGAAAATCGGACGGTTAGGGTTCCGACGGTGAACGAGAATTGCTATGAAATGGATTTTACCGGCGGATCTAAAGGGTTTGCTTATGGTGGTTACAATTGCATCAGTCACAGCGTAAGCTTCTTAATTAATTAGATTAACTATAGTGATTAGTTTAATTGATTATGTTGATAAAACAATTATTTATCCAAAAATCTTTAGGGTTTAGACTTTTGATGAGAGCTAAATTATTAATTTAATGGGAACTAATGATTGGGTGACTAAAATTTAGGGTTATAGGAGAGCAACAAGTGTAAATTAATCTGTAATTAGAAGAAATACCATGATAGTCCTTAATTTAAGCATTCTAATATTTATTAATCAAAGAATTTTTTGTCTTTTTTTTTGGATCTGTTTTGTTTAATCAAAGTTTAGATCTTTGTGGTAACATGCATAAGCTAGTCTAATCATATAATGGTAATCCTCAATTTAATTATGTAATCATATAAGTTAAGTTCTAAGTATGCATTCACTTTTAAACTATAGTATTTGTCACTTATTTTATTGGCAAGTCAAAGAGTTGTTTTTGATTGTTGCAGGTCTCATCATCGTCGATGGAAGTGGGAGTGGTGCCAGATGGTGGCTCTGCGGCCGATGTTTCGTATCCTTACGGTGGTCCTGCAACCAGTGGAGCAGATCCTGGAAGCCAGCGGGCTGTTCCGCTGACTTCAGCTGAGAGAGAGGCGAGGGTGATGAGGTATAGAGAGAAGAGGAAGAACAGGAAGTTTGAGAAGACGATAAGGTATGCTTCAAGGAAAGCGTATGCGGAAATGAGACCGAGAATCAAGGGACGGTTTGCGAAGCGGACGGATACAAGTGAGAGCAATGATGTGGTTGGTCATGGCGGTATCTTTAGTGGGTTCGGACTTGTACCTACGTTTTAGATATTGAGAGAGAAAGAGAGAGACTCTAAAAATGGAAGGTGGTTTGGTGTTTGTTTTAGTAATAAGGTTTTAACGAACGTTTTATTTATAACGAGTTTGTTTGTTTTTGTTGATGAGTTTTTTAGTTGTTGTGGGCGAGAGAGGAAGAGAAGTGAGTTGGTGGTGTTTATAAGTAACTTGTTTTGTATATATCGTGATTTTGAATATGTTTGTTTATGTTAATTATGTGCATCAATTATGTTTTAGGACGTTTAGTGATGGATATTTAATTACATTTACAAAATTTAGTACACTGCAAAAGGAAAATTACATTATTGAAGTTAAAAACCTCACAAAAGGATGTCAAAGAAAAGAAACTTTTACATGAACGACAAAAATCAGTCTGAGTCAAAATCTTTGGACACTAAATAGTTCAAAGTTAAATGAAGACGATACATTCATTTACCAAAAGATGATTCTGAAGTTAGTGGACGTTTCAGTTAAAGACAGAGGGAGTGCTACTTGTCTTGCTTGCGGCGGAATCACTATGAACTTGGATTGGTTTTCGATTCTTTTCACCGGTTGATCCGCTTATTTCTAAGGAAGTTGTGTGTGTTGCTGCGACCGGCGAATCGTTGTGTACTGTGCTTTTCCCTTGATTAGGTACCTTGGCTGAACTCTTGGGCTCTGAGCCGCTGCGAATTGCGATTGGCATTTGATTCTTTTCCACGGCTAAACCACTCTGTTCTGAAGAAACGCTGCGTCCTCTTGCTGTAACCGCGATTGGCTTTTGGTTCAGGTTTTCATTGTCCGTGTTGCTGCAGTCCAAGTCTCTGTGTACTACAATATGGTCTTGATTGGTTTCTTTGGTTGAGTTCTTGTGGTCTGAGTCATTTCTAACAGCGGTTTGAACTTGATTCGCTTCCTCGGATGAGCTGGAACCGTTGTTGTTAGCAGTCTTGCTCTCCAAGAAACGTACGACTACACATGTAATATTGTCTGCACTTCCTCTCCGTATTGCTTCGCCTACAAGTTTCTTGGTGGACTCTTCCGGATCTTCAACTTCTTTCACCACTGCAACCGCTTCCTAAAAACACGATAAAGATCTCAAATCATTGAGACTTATGTGGAATGGGAATTGATGAACTTTGTTCGTCATCTTATAAAGACGAAAAACTTAATTCACAAACCTCATTGGAGAAAACATCCCATAGTCCATCACTGGCAAGAATCAGAAATTCAAGAGAATCATCAATCTTCTCTTCCTGAAGTTCAAGACATGACCTTAAAACATAAGTACATGTATGTGGTAGATAGAGTACATATGCAAGTGAAGGTATATTATATACCTGAATTTCTGGATCAGCCACAACATACTGTTTCAGCAATCGATCACCAAAGGCGCGAGAAACTGCTAGAACTCCTCCAACTCTCCAAGTCCCTATTCAATGTAGATATTTAGGAATATGCGCAAATAGCGGATAAAAAATCTACAGTTTCTTGTTACCTGCCCACATCACAAAACCACCAGCATTCTCAATCCGTTCACGTTCATCACTTTGGTCAGGTTTATGGTCTCTTGATACAGCAAAGGCTACAAGAGCACATGAATTCATTTCAGAGGATATCAAGAGATAGTACCAAGAGTCATGATGACTTATCAAAAATCTCAATAAAATACCATTTCCGCCTCGACATATAACAGCTCTGGAATCACCAACATTAGCAACAAGTAAACGATCACCAACAAGAATAGCTGTGGAAGCAGTAGAACCAGCATCTCTAGTGTGACTATTTTCTGACTTGAGAAGTTCAGAGTCTGTATGAGTATATGCATCAGCTGGACAAAAGAAACATACATTGCAGAGTTAGAATATACGGATCAACAAGAATAACTCTGTCACCAAAAGAACTTGGAAATAAACCTATTGCAGATTTGGTGTCAGAGATGAACTTAGGATGAGTAATAAGATTGCTGAAAAGATGACGCTTCACATACTCAGCTGCTCTTGCTCCACCATGGCCTGCAAAAATAGTAAGAAAACAAAAAACGCTCATGGAAACTTTGATAGCAAGTTCGTTGAGACCTAATGTACAAGTTCTTATAGAGAGAAGGGCCAAGCATACCATCAAAGACTCCAAATAGACCGACGATTTCTCCATCAATACCGTCGATCCTCGTCTCAAAAAAGTCTTCCATTGATGATCTCTTCCCAGCTGAGCTTGCATATCCATAGCTGAATTTTCCATTTTGACTGCAGTTAAGAAAAATCATGAACATTGTGACTGATAAGTTCACGTTAAGGAAAACGAAAAATCGAATCAATCTTGAGACGAATCAAACATTGTAGCTAGCAAAAAAAAACAGATATCATGGAACAAGTTCTACATGGCTTGTGATTCAAGTAACCTAAACTAGATCAAAAACAGAGAACCACGCAAGATCAAAACAAATAGAAACAAAACTGATAAATCCTAAGCCCTAAATTTCAAAAGCAATAAAAGTTAAGTATTCAATCATGTAGAGAGGTAAGTAACCTCAGACCACCTCCGCTTGCGGGAGCTTCAACAATCCGCATTTGATTCGAATACGATAACGCCAGGTCCATATATCCCATTTTTGCAGAAATTTCAAATACTAGTCTTCAAAACACAGTATAGAGCCAATCTGAAATTTAAACAACATACAAGAATTTCAGGAATAATTCAGAGACCGCGACGAGATTAAGGAAAAAAGTCAAAGGAAACCTGAGGAAGATGATAGGAGAGAAGAATAAAGGGAAAATGATTGAGAGATTTTGTCATTGATGGTGGAAGAGAAATAGCGTAAGAAACCAAAAAAGGAAACAGAAAGCAGTGAGCGGTGTTACGTGTTCCGGAAGCAATGGTGTTTAGCATTTTCCGGGGTTAAATGTTCTTGCTAATTATAGAAAGCTTTTATTGACTTATAAGTCAAAAGTTTGGACCAATGATACATCTTGAAAATGACATGTCAAGCGATGTGTTATAAGCATCACGTGGCTCTTGTTTAGCTATTTTCTCTGTTTATGGTTTTATGCGGTGTTAAGCCAAGATAGTTAGTTATTCACAAAGAATAGCCTGTCGACGAACAACGGAACAAGACATAAGAATCGAAAAGATAGACGATGGAACTTTAAAGTTTTAGATTTTTCTTTGTTCAATAATCAAAAGCTCATCAGCAAGGCTTCTTAACAAAAAATTAGAAATGAAAACCCTAATCTGAAAAGAAGATAAAACCCTTACAAGTTAAAACATTTAACCCAACATGTTGGGACTAGATTAAGCCGTAGATGGATATCAAAATTGTATATATATCGACATCCACACGGGCGTGGTCTAGTGCTAGTGAGATTAAAGGAGGTTGTAATGAGCTACCCCATGTTAGAGGGTTTATATGCCTCTGGTCCAGGGATTAGTCAGATCTCATATCCCGTTGATCCGAGAACCAGCTAGGAAAAAGTCCTCTCGACATAGCTCAGAGTTCATGGTATCCGTTCTGTTAAACCAGATCACCCGAGTTATCAAGGAAAATTTTTTTTTTTTAAAATTGTATATCAACTTAATTCAGTGTTGGTTTATTTGCGGTATCTAGAAGCTCTTGCAACAATTTTTCCATATAATATCCAAATTTGTTTTATACACGACCTTCAAGCTCCATCACTTGCGTCACTTGATTATTGAAGTCAATATACCTTCGTCCTTGCTATGTTTCCGAAGGTATCATTGATTTCAAAAATCAAGTGAGGCAGTGACACCATGCATGGGCGGTTGGGGATGTGTCTCCAAGGTAGACACAGCCGCAGGAAAAATGTAAAAGAGAAAACGGAAAAAAAAAAAAGACAGAGGAGGCGGTTATTGTTTTAGGTCTAGGTGTCGATTATTGCTCTCATATCATATAAGCTTTTGTAAAGTGATGAACCGATGGTGATTATTATTGATAGAGGAGGTATGCATTTATACAGAGGCTATGTACAAAAGAAAGGAAAGGAGAATAATCGTAAATAAATGAGGAAGATATGAAGGCTACAATATTGCACAACAAAATCTTAAACACAAGGCAACAATATAAGTTAATAACAAGTTGGAATATTTTATTACCTTTACCAACTGTATATGGGTTCGTTAATTAAGAGAATATGAACCTTGGTTAGACTAAGGTGATGTGATAATAAGTACGTGTCCCTTTTTTAAAGGGAAGGAGAGGAAATTTAAGGAATGTATTGTAGAAGATGTCAAACATTTGCTTAGAGGATATTTTGGACGAAGCAATGTTCTTTGCATCGAGCCACTTGGAGTGGTTAGCACTTAGCAGGAACGGAATGTGCCCGCCACATATCTCAAGGCTTATACAAAATGCGGACTAACAAGACATGGTAATTATAAAAGGATGGTCAAAGATAGATGATTTTGAGAGTTCTAAAATAGTTATAAAAAAACCTTGGAAGTTCTAACTAGATTTCGTTTATTCGATAATCAACCATACAACACTTATTCAAACATAAAGAGAAAATCCATTTGAAGAACTGCATCATGACAACATGGGGACTAGATTAGGCCGTAGATGGAAAGACAATAAGAGGAAATTTGCGGCAAACATCGATTCCCGGTGCTTCAGCTAGATTATATTCATCCTCTGAAAACCGAACATCCATTCTCCAGTTAAATCGGTTCACAAGGTTGGCTAGTGTCACCTCAACCAAAGCCATAGCAAATCCGATTCCCGGACAAATCCTTCTTCCAGAACCAAATGGAATGTATTCGAAATTTGTTCCTCGAAAGTCCAAAGGTGAATCTAAGTGCCTCTCTGGCCTAAACTCTTCTGCATCCATCCCCCATGTCACAGTGTCTCTTTGAATAGCCCAAGCATTGATTATTACCTATAATAGACTTTTAGATATGCATATTTATGATTACAAAACAAAATATTTTAAAAAAAAAACCCTCACCTGTGTGCCTTCAGCTATGTCATATCCTTTTAATTTGACATCTTCAGTCAGTAGCCTTGGAACTAGTAATGGAAGAGAGGGATGTAACCGAAGCCCCTCCTTAATCACCGCTTTTAAGTACTTCATATCTTCAACTTCTTCGTGTGATCTATATATATTAAGCTTTGTTGTGTCACCGCGAATCTCGTCTTGGAGTTTCTTCATGCATTCCGGATGTCTAATAAGCTCCGTCATTGTCCATTCTAGTAGTGAGTGAGTTGTTGCCGTTCCTCCTAAAAAAAGATCCTGAAGAATGGAAAAATTCGTTGGTTCATATTGTTCCAACCAAATTAATACAAAAGGCTATCCCGACCTCAAGGCCTATATATGATCTTACCAAGATTATGAACTTAATGTCGCTTCGTCGAATTTCTATTCCATCTTTATTCTGTCTTTCGAAGGATAGCAATATATCGACTAAATCCATTGTTTGTTTATCTCTGGAATCTAAATGCTCTTGCACCACTTTGTCCATAAGATCTCCAAAAGTTTTACTCACTTCCTCCGCTTTAGCATTTAGACCACGTATATGATCGATCCACGCCAAAGACGGGATATATTCGCTAACGGGAAATCCGCCTACCAGCTCCGTGATTTTCCTCACTTGATTCTTGAAATCGCTCATGCTTGCAGAGTTGCATCGTTGCTATGTTTTCTTCCCAAAGAAACTCTACTTGTCACATCGCTTGTAAGTGTTATAAGAAGCTCGCTTAGATTTAGTGGTAAAGAATCGGAACTTGCTTTCTCCAACCTCTCCGTCATTACACTTATCTCCTCTTCTCTTACTTTTTCAAAAGACTGTACCATTTTTTTACTGAGTAGATGGATGATGCATACAGCCTTCCTCACAAAACAGATTTAATATTTTCATCAGTTAATTAAACATATGATAGCCTCAATTTATAAGGATCATATGACTCTAATATTTACTATACATATGTATTATCATAAAACAGTGTTCAAGAAAGCGCTAGGCGCTAAGCGGGCGGTGACCCAGTGCCTAGCGCGTAGAACGCCTAATCGGGGCCTAGGCGATTTTTAGGCGGTTTAGACATTTATAACATAAAATATTATAAGTATGATATTTTATATAAAAGTTATACAAAATATCTATATAAAACTAAAAATTAGGAAATTATAAACAAAAACTAGATAAAATATTTATTTATATTTATATTAAACAATATATAAATATTTATAACTATATATATATAAATAAAACTCTAATTTTAAAAAATCACATTAAATAAGATCTATGTAATTTTAGGCGGTCAAGGCGGTTATCTAGGCGTCGCATGAGAGCCTAGCGACTAGTCGGGGCCTAGGCGACCGCTTTTTAGAACACATAAAAGTAATAAAAACAGCAGAAATTAAATAGCGTTGATTAAGATGAATTTAGCCGCAAAATACTGTAAATAACAACTAACTCTGTTCTAATTCATCCAAGTCAACACTATTATTAAAGTTTTTTTTTTTTTTGATATACCCAATCGACTGATCCGGTCAGCCTAGGGGAACACACCGGAGTGCTACCATATGGACTCGTCGCCAACACCTAGGTGTTGGACTATCACACTGTCTAACCCCAAGTTTGGAATGCTTTCCGACTAATGTCCGGGGTATCCAGTTAGCCTAATCATGTATACCATGTGAATTGCTTGGGCTAAAGCCCAAACCCAGACTTCCCACACAAATGTGATTTTTGTTTCCAGGGTGGATCGAACATGGGTTAGTTCCTTCCAACCGATAATGAAACAGTTGAATTATTTATTTTTTTCTTTTCTTCACCTAAGTAAATATCAAACTTGGGGTGTATTCACAACATCATGTAATTACTATGTCACTGATAAATTAAATCAAATCTGAACTTTGAAAATTATGTGGTACGTCACAAATAGCAAATCAAGAGAGCTACACACAACAAATGATTTGTTATATAAAAAAAAAATGAATTTTCAAAAAAAAAAAAAAAAAAAAATACCTTCATCTGTCTCCAATATTCTCCGTAAGGGGAAAAAGCCACATCTCGCCCACCTTTGATAATATTTTTGATCACTTTTGTCTGTGGTCGGTTTGCAACCTTAAGGTCGTGTGTTTTCAGGAGGTCATGAGCTACGTCAGAGGAGGAAACTACGAGGATCGGGACGCGCCCAAAATGAAGGAGCATGAGTGGCCCGTAGCGTTGGCTGAGGGAACGAAGGGAGCGGTGAGGGTGGAGGCTTAGCTGGTGGAGGTTTCCGATTACCGGAACTCGCCACGGAGACGGTGGTAGGTTGAATTTGCCAGCGGTTCGATTCAGAAGTGGTTTTAGGAGAAGAAAGCCTAGGATTGTTGCTAGGGAGAGAGAGATGATTATTATTTCCATTTCTTACTTTGAACATAAAAATCCAGTTTCTCTCACTCGTAATATATTTATATACGTTGGATAGGCATGTTAAACGGGGGGAAAAATGTCGAAAAATGCGCCAACTTTCAAATTTGAGACGTTTAAAGCATGAACTCCCGAAATGTCTATTTAATCACAAAGTTTCCGTTGACCACTCGTAAAATAGCCAAGTTTTCGTTGACCTGGCCAAATAAGGCACCGCGTTAAGTCTCCGTTAGAACCAAGATGACGCTGTTAACAGACCGTTTACGGTCTCCGTTTAAGCAAAACGACGACGTCTCTTTAGAGACTGAATTACAAAAGCCCCAAATCGATTTCAATCTCAAAACAATCCCTAACCCTAGAAATAAAACATTCTCAAATTCTCTCGATCTCTGCTTCTGATGAGTTCAAGTTCTGTCAATGCAGGTGTCTCCGAAGAGCGTGGTGTGCCGTCGAAGTGTGTGTGTGGATTAGGGGTCACGATCTTTACATCTAAGACGCAAGAGAACCCGGGACGGCCATTCTTTCGATGTGTTAGCAAAAGAGATGCAAAATCGTGGACAAACAAAAAAGATGTAAGTTGAATATAAGTAATCAATTGAGATTTGAAACTTTTGTTAAATTTAAACAAGCTAAATTGTGGTTGTATTGTGGTTGTGCATTAGGATCACTTGTTTAAATGGGTAGAGGACGCCGTGTTTGAAGAAGTGGAAGATGTTTTACCAAGACTAGCCATCATTGCAAATGAGATTAGCAAAGCCAAATCAGAGACAAATGTGTTAAAAGATCAGATACAAGAGTTGAAAGAAGAAACAATTCTCATAAAAAAGGAGGCTTCCAAAGCCAAAATGTGCTTGAATGTGTGTTTTCTGTGGCTTTGTGTTACCACAGTTGTGGTTGTCTATGTAATGTTTGGTCAGGGGAACCAAAAGAAACTTGCAATTGGTTATTAAGTGTATGCATCTTTTGTAATGTTGTATGAACATGAATGCATCTTAAAATGAATAAAAATGCAACATTGAAACAAAACAAACATGTCTTAATACCAAAAAGAGAACAACCAAGTGAGTGTTACATGAGTAACTAATCCGAGAAAACACAAACAAAACAAGACATATTTTTGATGAGTACCTAATCCGAAAAATACAAAACAAAACAAGACATGTCTAAAACAAGAAAATAACATAAGCTGCATCAAGTCTTTAGTTTGAACATTCAAACCATGATCTCCATCCACCTATCTGTGAATCTCCTCTTCCTCTCTGTGTTCCTCCTCTCTGCCATCCACTCTGTGAATCTCCTCTTCCTCTCTGATTTCGACCTCTCTGTGTTCCACCCCTCTGTGATCTTCCTCTCTGTGATCCACCTCTTATGTGTGATCTTCCTCTCTGTGGTGGTACCTGAGGAGCTTCAGATGTTGCTCCCTGCGATTGTAGTCCCTGAGAAGCCTGAGAAGGTGCTCCTTGTGATGATGCTGGCTGAGATGCTTGAGAAGGTGAAGGTGCTCCCTGTGATGGTACTCCTTGGGAAGCTTGAGAAGGTTCTCTTTGCAATGGTTGTCCTTGACCAAACAATATATTCCTCGGCTCCTGTTTTCAATCATCATCTCAATATTCACAGATATGTCATAATATAACAAAAATTAAAAGATGATATGAACCTGATTTTTTCTTGGTCGACCCCTAGGTCTTCTTTGAGGAGGTGTAACTGTCTGATTCTTACAACCTTGTTTATTATGCCCTTCTTGCTGGCAATTGGAACAGGTCATGACTCGGTGCTCTCTTGATAACTGAGTACTGGAGCTAGAGGCTGTTTCAAACAATGACTTCCTCCTAGCATGATTGTTTGGTCTCCCTGGATTACCTCTTCTCCATGGAGGTGGCAGCACTCCCAATCTGTTTACTCTTGGCCATAAAAGCTTTCCCTGTACAGGTCCAATGCCATCATAGTATGTCAGCTCCCACATTCTAGCTGTGTACCAGTCGGCAACATAATCTTCTACCTTCTGTTTTTTCCCTATGATGACTGATGCAGCATGAATACATGGTATTCCAGTCATCTGCCACTTCCTACAACCACAAGTGTTTGTATTCATGTCCACTATGACCTCCATATCACCACATTTAATCTGATGTTTATTGTGTCTGGCCAGCCATCTCTCACAAGACTGTGACCCAACAATCATCTTCTCAATCTCAGCATGTGCTCTCTTTGTGAATCTTGTCTTTAATCTTCCAGCTATTACATACCTCTTCTCATTCCGCACCATACATTGCCTCCTTATATCTTCCAACATATCTAGAAGAGGCTTCCTCCTTGCTTGTCTGATTGTTTTGTTGAATGACTCACTCAGATTATTGAGGTTGTCATTGCAGCAGCTTCCAATCCTGAAGAAAGCTCTAGACCATGTCCTGGGATTAGTTTTCAACAAAGACTCATAGGCACTTGGATTGTACCTCTGCAGCTCTATCATATGACTAGTGAATTCTCCTTCTGTGTAACTCCTAGCAATCTTCCAGAAGAGTCGCTGTAAATCCATGTCATGACTGCTCCTTTTCCAGTTGTCCATGATGTGCCTAGCACATTGCCTATGCTCAGCTTGTGGAATGACAGTCTGAATAGCTTTAACTAGTCCCTGCAAATGCATGATACACCTATGAATCTCAGACATTTATATGAATTTAAGAGACTTATAATAGTTACAGAGACTTACCGATTGTTTGTCTGATATGATGGCTACATTCCTTCCATCTTGAAGTTCCAAACTTGTAGAGAGCATCTTGAGAAACCAGTCCCAGTTATCATCATTCTCAATCTCAACAACAGCCCATGCAATGGGAACAATTCTATTATCTCCATCTCTCCTTGTAGCTGCTAAGAGATGTCCCTTTACATCCCATTTAAGGAATGCACCATCTATTCCTATGATAGGCCTACAAGTGTTCTTCCAAGAGTCTCTTTGTGCTTTAAAACAAATAAAGCATCGAAAAAACCTTTGTAGGCTGCCTATGGTTGTACCAGGAGTTGTCTCAATCTCAAATTTTGTCTCTGGATTAGATCGGAAGATCTCTGCCTGATAGTCCCAAATCCTTTCAAAATGCTCTTCATGCGTCACTTTCATTTCTCTCAGGACCTTGGTCTTTGCCTTGGAACATTGGTCTTCAGTAACTGTGAGGTTATACTCTCTCAGGATCTCAGCAACCATCTCTTGCTTTGTAATTTTGGGATTCTTCCTCAACCTTTCTCTATACAACCAAGCAATTGCCCCTTGCTTCAACATCTTGGAGTAACCTGACCTCACACAAGCATGCTCATCATCGTATATATTCACAACCATTTTATGTTTCTTCTTATCATATGAGCAGTAGCATCTCCATGGACATTTCACATCAGTAGAAGAACACTTTGCACCAATTCTCAAACTTTGTGACCTATAAAGCTTGATGTCGTATCTGGTTTTAAGAGAGTACCTTAGAACTGCTATCTTGAATTCTTCTGGACCATTGAAAGTTTTGTTCAATCTTAGCAGCACCTCAGGATCTTCAGCATCATCTGCAGCAGCTTCGTCTTCATGCCATTCTTCATCATCACTGTGTGACAGAGGAGCTGGAATCCTATCATCGTCCCAGATTTCGTCTCCACTATCTGCATCAATATCGCTATGATGGTCAGCTTCTCTCGCACCCACTCCAAACTCTGCTTCGAAGTCGTCACAATGTTCTTCCTCTATACCTTCATCGCCATTGTCTTCCTCTGCACCTTCTAGGCCATTGTCTACATCTAAACCTCCATTGCCATTGTCTGCAGCTATACCTCCATCGACATTATCTAACTCATTACCATCAACATCATTTGCATATCCTACCTCCTCACAGTCTTCATCGCCGATAACCTCACAATCATCCCCACTCACACCATCGCGATCTTCTTCTATATCTTCTGGATCACGAGTCTTCTTTTTTCTTTTCTTCCCTTTCTGTTTCTCTTGAGGAACCGTCTCATTGACTGCTTCTGCTGGGGTCGACACCGGTGGTATCGACACCGTCTCAGTGTCTGCTTCTTCTTGACTCTTCTCTGACGGGTCTCCAATTGTAACCGGCTCTTCTGGGATCTCAATCGTTCTAGGTTCTCCATCATTTGCTCTGTCTTCTTCCTCTACCATAGCCATCAGCCTCCGCGACCGACGAGGGCTCCAATTTTCTCCACGCTTCTGTTTTTGTTTATGTTGAGGTTGGGGAACCTTCTCAATCTCTGCTTGTGCTGTGCTCTTCTCCGACACTGCCTCGACACTGTGTATCGACACATGCTCACTCTCCGGTGGGTCTGGAATTGTCTCCGATACTTCAGGGATCTCATCATCTGGGATCTCAATTGGTTCTCCATCGCTTGCTCTGCCTTCTTCCGCTCCAATGGCCAGCAGCCTCCGCGACCGACGAGGATTCCAATTTCCTCCTCGCGTCTTCGCCATCGGGTTCGACTGAAATCGAGAAAATTTGATTTTTCTTTTTCTAGGGTTAGGGTCGACTGAAATCGATTTGGGGATTTTGACTTTCAATCTCAGACTAAAACGACGACGTTTAGGGTTTTAGAGAGACGTCGTCGTTTTGCTTAAACGGAGACCGTAAACGGTCTGTTAACAGCGTCATCTTGGTTCTAACGGAGACTTAACGCGGTGCCTTATTTGGCCAGGTCAACGAAAACTTGTCTATTTTACGAGTGGTCAACGGAAACTTTGTGATTAAATAGACATTTCGGGAGTTCATGCTTTAAACGTCCCAAATTTGAAAGTTGGCGCATTTTTCGACATTTTTCCCGTTAAACGGGCTATCCCGGTCTTGTCTGATCCGAAGTTGTAAAACCTGTAATTATTTGATTATGGTATGATTTAATCTGTAAAAATTTCGAGTATATTTTATATCTGACTCCAACAAGGTTACATGGATTTTCTGGACTTTTCTTTCGAGAAAAAGAAACTAATTTATAATTTATAATATATTTTGTAAAAACAAATTTATGTATCAAAATGAGTCAATCAAAAATTATATAAGAACTATAACAAATTTATAGTTTAAAAGTAAAAATTTAAAACTAAATAAATAAAAAGGTTAAATTCATACCAAATTAAATATAAAATCATAAGACTTCAACTAGGTAGTAGAGCCAAAATTTGCTTTTTAGATTTATAGTAAGGCACAATTAAACTAGGTTTAAGATTTTTCAACTCTATTAAAAAAATCTTCTAAATAAACGAAAATATTAACAAAGGAAAACTCAAAATATTTTAGTCCAAAAAATTAATTTTTTCTAGATAAATAATTTTAAGACCAAACTCGTTGTTTAGCGGAACTGCACCGGAGTAATGCGTAGAATTTGGCTCTAATTGACATGCCTAACGTTAGGTGATTAGTGGTCTTTTTTCTCCTTAGATCTGGTGCAAGCACACAAACTTTTTAACTACCACTAGGTGAATACCTTCATTTACATGCAGATTTATGTGTTTTACAATCTTAAGTTATTTTCTATTAAATATAGCGGATTATATTATTTACAAAATGTAAACCAAAGATTTTAAGTTTATGACAAAAAAAAAGATTTTAAGTTTTTAGTTTAAAATTTTATATGTATTTTTTTCTTTATGCTTAGAGCTTTAAAATGATGAAAATTTTGTAATTTTTTTTACACTTCAAAACTAATTATATATATGAAAATTGGTCAATTTTCTCCATATTCCAGAAACCGCTACTTGTCAGTACCATAAATTTACTATTTTGTTTTGTCAAAATATTCTCTAAATTATTTTACGTTTAAAATTTGAAATAAATACGGTAGCCGATATGACAATTAATATATTAATCTTCTAATAACAGCTCATTTGGCGTGTCTTTCCGTATAACATATTATTTATTTATGTTTTCCAACATTATATACACATGTGCTCTACTTACAATAAGGTTGACCCGATTAGTTGGTTTTCATGTAAGTGTCATCTTAATTTCTGTTATTTTAATCTTTCTTACATATATTAATCTAATAATAACAGCTCATTTGGCGTGTTATTCGGCATTATTGCATGTTTAGCATAAAATATCGGCTACTGCAATTATTTTAGATTTTAAGCGTAAAATAATTTAGTAAAATTTTGATTAAAAAAAAAATTATGGTGATGACATGTGACGTTTTCTGGAGTGATGACGTGTCACTTATATGGAGAGAGTTAACCAATATGTATATATATGATTAGGATAATGTGAACCTTGGTTTAGAGTAATCTGAACCTTTGATTTTTGTTTTTGTCAACCTTGGTTTAGAGTAGTAGGTGTGATGTGATGATAATCTATTAAACAATATAAATAATTAATTGGAGAAAAATGTTTATTACATATTGAAATCTTTTATTACGTAGTAGTGTAGTACGTACCAACTATTGGTTATTTGCTTGTTTAGAAGAAATTGAACCGTGCTTAGTTAAAGTACTTAAGTTAAAGAAGTGATGATAATTGATAGATTCCGTTGCAAAAGAAAGAAAAAGGGAAGGTTTTGATTGATGATTTTCCTGACGCTGAGATTGATGGTCTTGAGATCTACCACTCTGACTACGTGTTAACTAAACAATTAACTCATGTAAATGGTGTCTCACCAAACAAGAAATTAACTCATGGAACCGTTGACTTCTAAAAGGTGTTGACTTCTCTCTCAAAAAAAACGCGATCTTCTTCTTTCACCCTCCACCTTCGCCGATCTCGGCGTCGGTCACCACCGCCCCTCATGGGCAAACCCAAACCAAAAAAGAAACCTCCTCGCGGTATCCCCACTGGATCCGCAGCCTCTGGTTCCTCAAGCTCGAAGTCCCCGCCGCCTGTTTCCCCAAATTCAGCTGGTGTGGGTTCCGTTTCATCCCAATTGAAAGTGGTGCCTGAGTCTCCCACGACTGCAGCCATCCAGATCCCTGAAGATTCCTGCAATATCGTCACACCGGCGAATGGTATTGCGGCAATCGAAAACCCTAATTTTCTCCAATCGGTGGAAGTAGCTACGGAAGCCATTAATTTAGCCGATGTACCTGAAATCGAAGATGGTGAAGTGGTTGCAGAGCCTCTTGTCTCTTCAACACAAAATTTGGCGGCGTCGATCCCTCCTCCGGTGGAATCTGTGAAACCCCAAAAAAAGAATGACTTTCCATGGAAGAACCTAGTCAATGGAAACTCGTTAAAGCTCGAGAAAAAGGGTACACCGTTTGTTCTTGACTCTGGGGAGTCGTGTGTTACCATCCCAAACTCGGTGATTGAGAAAAATAAAAAGGCGTGGGAGTGTTTTATCTTAGGCCAATTCTATGAAGAACCTCCTCCTCGTGGAGCTGTTCACGCTATCGTCAATGGGATTTGGAGTAGGCAGCGAAGGGATATCTCTGTCTCCAAATTGGAGGGCCACTCGTTTCTCTTCAAAGTTCCCTGCCCTATTGCTCGAAGAAGAATTCTGAGTCAATGTCTTTGGCAGGTTGATGGTCAATCAATGTTTGTCGCAAAATGGTCTCCGGATATCACTCCAACTAAACCAGAGTTGACAATGGTACCTGTTTGGCTTGATTTTGTTGGTGTTCCGCTTGAGTTCTTTAACAGAGAGGGGCTGGAGCATATTGCTGGGCTAGTTGGACACCCAGTATGTCTCCATCCACAAACAGAGAAGCTGACTAATATTGAAGTTGCAAAGGTATATACTGTGATCGACCCAAGAAAGCCTCTCCCTGAAGCTGTGAACGCGCGTTTTGAGTCTGGGCAGATCAAAAGGATCCAAGTCTCAAGTCCCTGGCTCCCTTCTTTGTGTTCTTACTGCAAAAAAGTAGGCCACACAGTCTCTCGTTGCACTAAAGCACCGCCGTCGTGTACTCTTTGTGGTTCAAGTAAGCATAAGGTTGATGCTTGCCCTCGCGCCAAAAAAGAGAAAAGGAAAGGGAAAGAGCCCATCCAAAGCAACCTTCCAATTGTTGAGATTGGTATCCCTGATACTTCAAAGGTTCCGATAGCTGAAACTGAACCAAAAGAAGCTGCCTGGCAGCAAGTCAAGCCTTCAAATCCTGTTAAGATTGCTGCTCCTAAACACACTTCTCTGGTTATAGGGAGCCCGAGTAATGAAAAGCAGGCTGCTCCTGTGATGCAGCATGCACATGCGCATACTTCTCTGCTTATAGGGAGCCCGAGTAAGACACAGGCTCGCCCTTCTCTTGCAGAAACAAAGACAGGTTACCAAGATTTCTCTAAAGCTTATGCTCTTGGTCTTAAAGAAGATAGACTATGTGTTGATTTGAGTGCAAATCTCTTCTCGCATCTTCCTCGGAATGGTGACTCAGGTGATTCCCAAGCATCTGACTCAGAAGCGGACAGTCTCTCAGATGATGATGATAATCCAGAGGCTGAATCGGATAGATTTTTGAATGTAATCTCAAAAAGAATGGTAAAGAAGAAAGATAGCAGAGCTAGGGCTGGAGGCCCTTTAATCCTCTAAACCCCATTCCTTTATGGATATTTTTTGTTGGAATGTAAGAGGGTTTAATGATTTAATAAAGCGTAGAAGTTTTCGGAAATGGTTGAAAGTTAACCAACCTCTTTTTGGCGGGCTAGTAGAGACCCATGTCAGTCCTTCGAAGGCGCAAAGTATAGTTTCTCATGTGGTTCCTGGTTGGTTTTTTGAGGGGAACTATGAGTACTCGGATCTTGGGAAGATATGGGTTGTTTGGCATCCCTCTGTTAAGGTAACTATTCTCAGTAAATCTCTTCAGATGATTTCTTGTCTTATCAAGTTGCCTTTTGTATCTGTGGAGTTTGTGGTGTCTTTTGTCTATGCATCTTCAACCTGCAATCAGTCTAGAAGGTCTTTGTGGACAGAATTACATGATTTTGCTTCTTCTCCTTTGGTTTTGGCTAAGCCTTGGGCTGTCATAGGGGATTTTAATCAGATCCTATTCTCCCATGAACATTCTCTGCCAAACGTGCCTTCTTCTTCTAGTGGAATGAGGGATCTGAACCAATGTCTGATTAGTGCTTCTCTTACGGATCTGCCTTATTGTGGCAACACGTTTACCTGGACCAACAAGCAGGATATTGGTTTTGTTGCGAAGAAACTTGACAGAATTTTGGTGAATGATCAGTGGCTCCTTTTGTTTCAAAACTCTTTGGGTGTCTTCGGTGAACCTGGTTTCTCTGATCACAGCCCTTCATGTGTTTTCCTGGACCCTCACAAGCCAAAGCAGAAAAAGCCATTCAAGTTTCTGGCTTTGTTAAACCAGAATCCGGAGTTTGCACCTTTGATTAAGTTGTGGTGGGATGCGTTATCTTTTGACTGCTCAAAAATGCTTAAAGTGTCCAAGAAGCTTAAAGAACTAAAGAATGTTATCAGAACCTTCAGCAAAGACAACTACTCGGAAATTGAAAAAAGAGTTGCTGAAGCTTATGATCACCTTTTGCAGTGCCAGCAGCTCCTCCTTAGTGCTCCAAGCCCTCACGCGGTAGTAAGCGAGAAAGAAGCTCGTCAAAAATGGTGTCTTTTGGCAAAAGCGGAGGAGTCTTTCCTGAGACAGAAATCAAGAGTTTGTTGGATGGATGAAGGGGATAAGAACTCTAAATTTTTCCACAGGTCTATTCTCACAAGGCAAGCCCAAAACCAGATCATTTTTCTACTTGATGAAAATGACCAGATTGTGGACTCTAAGCAAGGCATCCAAAACCTTGCAGTGGCTTTTTATCAGAATCTTCTGGGAGGGCAGGTGCTTTCTTCGACGTCTTCTGTTGAGGAAATTGCCTCTCTTGTCCCTCAAAGGTGCTCCACCTCGGCTATACAGGTTCTATCTGCGCCTTACTCTCCAACTGAGATAAAGAATGTTTTTTTCTCTCTTCCCAAAAATAAAGCACCTGGCCCGGATGGCTATTGTGCTGAGTTCTTCACTGCTCATTGGGACACGGTTGGACAGGATATGATTGATGCGGTTTTAGAATTTTTCACGAGTGGACAGATTCTCAAACAATGGAACTCTACGCTGCTGACACTCGTCCCAAAAACAACAAATTCCACCAGGATGTCAGATTTTAGACCTATTGCTTGCTGCAATACCATCTACAAAGTGGTTTCAAAGCTCTTAGCAAACAGGATCAAGAGTGTTCTTCCTGATCTTATTGCCAATTCCCAGTCAGCCTTCATCCCCGGAAGATTATTGGTGGAAAATGTGCTGCTTGCAACAGAACTTATCCAAGGTTACAATTATAAAAACATTTCTGCGCGGGGTATGCTTAAGGTGGATCTAAAGAAGGCTTTCGATTCAGTCCATTGGGACTACATTCTAAACATGCTTAAGGCCATGAGTTTTCCCAGTCACTTTATCCGGCTGATTGGTGAGTGTATCAGAACTCCTAGTTTCTCAATCTCTGTTAATGGGGAATCTTGTGGTTTCTTTAAAGGTACTAAAGGGCTGAGGCAGGGAGACCCACTTTCACCTTACCTGTTTGTTCTAGCAATGGAGGGCTTTACACAAATGATAACCAAAAGCTACAACAACAACTTGATTGGCCACCATCCTTCTGCATCAAACCCGCATGTTTCTCATCTGGCTTTTGCAGACGATATTATGGTGTTCTTCGACGGTAACACGCAGTCTCTGGAAAATATTGCAGCTGTGCTTCAAGACTTCTCGGTCTCTTCTGGTCTATCGATGAATAAGAGTAAGACTGAACTTATTCTCGCTGGAGTGAACCATCTGGAAACCTCTCGGATGACTTCCCTTGGTTTCAAGTTGGGTTCACTTCCATACCGCTATCTTGGTCTCCCTTTGATGCATAGAAAACTGAAAAATGCGGACTATAGACCGTTGATTGATAAGATTGCTAGCAGGTTTTCCTCTTGGTCTGCTCGTGCTTTGTCCTATGCTGGCAGGAAAGAGCTTATCTCATCAGTCATTTACGGGACGGTGAATTTTTGGGCATCGGCTTTCATACTACCTAAGGGGTGCTTAAATAGTATTGAAAGTTTGTGTTCTAGGTTCTTGTGGAATGGGGATATAACTAGAAGAGCTGTTGCAAAAGTGGCTTGGAATACCCTATGTCTACCAAAGGAGGAAGGGGGTCTTGGTTTTAGAAGTTTCAGCTTGTGGAATAAAACACTTTGCCTGAAATTGATTTGGAGACTCTTTACTTCTAAAGATTCTCTCTGGGCTGAGTGGCAAAAGAAAAATAGGATCAAAGATGGAGTTTTTTGGATGCTAGATGAGAACAAGCAAACTTCATGGACTTGGAAATCCCTGCTCCTCCTACGGCCATTTGCTTCTTCTTTCATCAGAGGCATTCTAGGTGATGGGCAGCTCTTAAGCTTCTGGTTTGATTGGTGGACTCCTTTTGGTCCGCTAATCAAATTCATGGGACCAACAGGGCCATCACAAACTGGTATCCCGCTGAACAAGACTGTTGCTCAAGTTCGTTCTTCAACAGGCTGGAATCTAAGACCAGCAAGGTCGCCTCATGCGGAGTTGTTGCAAATCCACCTTACCACGGTAACGCTCCCTGATCCTTCTCATGGCCCTGACTCTTTTCTCTGGACGTTAGGAAGTGAAGAACTGGCTACCTTCAGTACAAAGAAAACTTGGGAATTCATAAGACCACGTACGGCGCCTTTACCATGGACTAAACATGTTTGGTTTAAGGGAGCAATCCCACGGCATGCTTTCTTGTTCTGGCTCACACATCTTGATCGACTTCCCACTAGAGCACGTCTCGCAAACTGGGGCTTACAAATTGATACAAGCTGCTGTCTCTGTGGCTCATTCGCTGAAACTCGGGACCATCTCTTTCTTCACTGTGAAGTGAGTGAAGATCTCTGGGCAGAAGCAAACCGCAGACTAGGGTACGCACCGTTTACCTTCCACACTTGGGAAGCTTTCTCAGCCTGGTTGGATGCTAAAGATTCTACCTCGCCTCGGACCCTCCGTAGGCTGGTCGCTCAGGTTGTCACTTACGAAATCTGGAGGGAGAGAAACAAGCGTTACCACAACAACATCTCCACAGAGGTCCATGTTTTATTCAAGGCGCTTGATAGGCAGATCCGGGACGCCATTCTCGGAAAGAAAAAACGTAAGCTTTTTAAAAGTCTTATGCGTGTGTGGCTCAAGTATGACTAGAATTATTTTCTACTCTTTTCTCTACTAGTAGATTCTTCCTTGTTTTTAACTTTTTTTGCCAAGGAATGATCTGTTGTATCAAGTACATTGTAGCTTCTACAAGCCTTTTCATATAATGAAAATTCACATATTTAGCAAAAAAAAAAAAAAAAAAAAAAAAAAGAAATTAACTCATGACAAAGTCCTAAACTGGTTGGGTTTCTAACAGTTGGTAATATCAGTCAGTATATATATAAATAATCTTTCTCACAGAAATTTGAATTCCTTTCTCAAATTGTTTTAGCACCCTTCCAATGTGATAACAAAAGGGAAACCCTAGTAAAATAGAGAAGAAAAGCTATAACGTTTTATTATCCAATCTTATCTCATATGATTACATTGCATACCTATTTATAGCAAAAGCTAAGGTTATAATGATAGGACTGATTACTGACAAGTGTCGTCATCTGCACATGATGGTAGATCCAAGAGAAGCGAATCTATTCTTCATTTGGATCATAGTGTGAGCTGTATGATGAGCTGGTAAGACTGCTTTGACTGTACGGAGCGGAGCACAAAGTTTGTGTGATGATGCTCTGTTACCGTTGGAGTCTAAAGAGGCTTTATCATTTGAATCCTTGATGGGCTTTGGTTGATCAGTGAAGCCCACACTTTTGTCTCTGTTTTGCTGAGTATCATTTACCCTATGTTTAGGATTTGCAATAGTTAAAAACTTGCTAATGAGGTCGGTCCAGTTACCATCATTGTATGACATTAAGAGAACCAGTAAACAACTACTATTTAGTTTTTAAAGTATGGAAATTGGATACACCACCCCCATTCCGCATCAATGTGCACTTGATGAACGTAGTGATGATACATAGGGACTAGATTAGGCATTAGATGGAAAGACAATAAGAGGAAATTTGCGGCAAACATCGATTCCCGTTGCTTCAGCTAGATCATATTCATCTCCGGAAACCCGAACATCCATTCTCCAGTTAAATCGGTTCACAAGGTTGGCTAGTGTCACCTCAACCAAAGCCATAGCAAATCCGATTCCAGGACAAATCCTTCTTCCAGATCCAAATGGAATGTATTCAAAATTAGTTCCTCGAAAGTCCAAATGTGAATCTAAGTGCCTCTCTGGCCTAAACTCTTCTGCATCCATCCCCCATGTCACAGTGTCTCGTTGAATAGCCCAAGCATTGATTATTACCTATAGTAGACTTTTAGTTATGCGTATTTATGATTTATGATTACAAAGCAATAAAAACATCACCTGTGTTCCTGCAGCTATGTCATATCCTTTTAATTTGACATCTTCAGTTAGTAGTCTTGGAACTAGTAATGGAAAAGGGGGATGCAACCGAAGCCCCTCCTTTATAACCGCTTTTAAGTACTTCATATCTTCAACTTCTTCTTGTGATATATATAGAA